GGGGGGGGGGGGAGGAGGGGGAGGAGGGCGCAGGCGGGCAGGGATGGAGGAAACTGGTTTGACTTGTACATATCAGAAGGGGTCGATTGCGATCGGGGAGTCTTCCTGAATGATAACAGAGAGCCTGTTGGCTAGTTCCCTCAAAGGCACCTTTCATGCGTGGCTGTCCTTCTAATCCTTGGTTGGTGACAGTGAGAGCCTAACTCTCAACAACTACAAACAGATTCGTGCCTCAAACAACGGCCACCTCGTGCGCAGCAATGACGTCTATAAAGGATTGAAGACGGCTGCCGACATGCGCACAGTGTCATATGTTCGGTGTTTGCAATCACACAATGTCGATGCAGTGTTTGCCTGCTTCACCATCGTTTCTTGAAATCAACACAATGCTGTGGCACAGTTTCACAGCGACATCCTCCTGCTTCCTACCTACTTATCTCCATCAGCCACGACGACCTCCGAAAGACTTTGAACAGTTCTTCAGATATTACTTGCCGAAATGGACTCCTCTTCAATGGCACCATGGGCCCGATTACCTCTGGAGATCAAGTCGAACATCATGGGACGACTGACACGGATCGACTTGAAGTCCTGCCGCCTCCTCGACAAGTGTACAAGCCTGGCAGCCACGCGGGTTCTGTTCCAAACACTCTGCCTTTCACCCAGTATGAACAGCGTCGACCGGTTGTCCAAAGTGGCAGCGCGGCCTGACCTCGCCAGTCAAGTGCGCACCCTCGAGATCCACCGACACTATCTCAAAAAAGTGCCCTTCGACGAATACCTCCAGGCCGGTCACTTGTCAGAACGTCTCCAGAGACTGCCTCCCCTCGACGCAGCGTCACTCGCTGTCGTACTCTCCCAGGCATATGAAGACGAGCTCGACGCCCAGGGGCGCTTCCTTAATGAAGCACCTCCTCTGGTGGTAATTGCGCTCAAGAAATTCCCGCGGCTCCAATGCTTCGTCCATGGTGGCAGACTGACTCGAACCGAGGAAGGAAACTTTCTCCTAGACGAGCACTCTGATCTGTTGAGACGGACGGGTGTAAGAACACTGAGCGGCGGAACACACTTTCTGCTGATGCACTCAGTCCTGCTGAAGTGCCGGGGTTTGAAGCCCCTGTCGATCGGATTTTCGTCAGTCTACTGGTGGGAGTTTTGGAACTGCATGGAAATCCGACACGCAGGGGCCCTTCTCAAGAGCGTCACGCGCTTTGAGCTCACGTTCGAGATCAACAGCTTGGATCGACAGCCGTGCCCGCTCAAACCGACCAGCGCTCATTGGAGGAAAGGCTTGACCAGATACCTGAAGGAACTTGGAACATACCTGCTTGCGACCGAACACTTGTGGCTCGGGTTCGACGAGCTGCTTATAGAGCCTCAGGGAAGTCAATCCATTCGCCGCTATGCATGGACAAGGATGTCGAGCTTGCTGCTGCGTTGTCCACATCCTGAAGTTCCTGATCTGCCCAGCTTGACCACCCTCACTCTCGAAAACACTGCCGTCCGCCTGAACGAGCTGTGCAATTTCATCACCCGACACTCCCAGCCACTGCGGTCCCTCACCATCATCAACATGCGTCTCAGCAGCACCGGCACATCTAGTCCAGGGATCCTGGCCGTGGTGCTGAAGCTGATCTCGTTCCTCAACAAAGAGACCCAGCTGGACCATTTCTCCATGCAAGGCACTTTTCTACATTCGGACGATGAGACCAGACTCTTGTGCTGTCCCAAGAGCGATACCAGCGGCATCCTGCACGAGCTCGAGGAATATGTCTGTCACCGCGGTGTCTTCCCCTTTCACAATTCCGAAATTCTCCTGCAGGCTCTCGACACGTTCTGGCCACGTTCGGGGGCGGCGGAGGAGGCGGCGGCCAGTGACAAGGAATTGCCTCGACCGAGTCTGCGCGCCTGCACGGTTGAGGTCACGCTTCCGAGCGACGACTCGTGGTATGTCGAGGCACCGAAAACTCCGCGTCACGAATGAAGGTTTTGTGGGTAGAGAGCTGGAGGGTATGGAAGTGTACATCCATGGGACGAACGGTTCGATATGCCAGTTCGATGAGCGACTACGGAGCGTATTAGTGGATCACCGGAAGTCAATCAGTCAATTTGGTTGATTTTAGAAGAAAAATGTTATGAGCATACCTTGCATCCTGGCTCAAGTGGTCAGCATTCAGCATTCAGCGTGTAGCGTTTAGCGTTTAGCGCTCAGAGGCGACAATAACAAGTGTCAAGAGACAACATGGTCCCGAGGTTTGGTTTCACCATTCATTCATCCATTCATTCATTCACTTCGGCACATTCTCGTTCCGCAAGAGAGAGAGAGAGAGAGAGAGAGAGAGAGAGAGAGAGAGAGAGAGAGAGTGTGTGTGTGTGTGTGTGTGTGTGTGTGCACATAAGCTGCCGGTTCGGGTTGGGAGAGCTGGTGGGATCACCACAGGGACAGTGGGTTCTATCGGCGTTGTCGCTATCACCATTATCATCATCGTCAACAGGAGCGGTCGTTGAAGAGTGAGATGAAAGAAACGTATTTTCAAGGCGCGTGTGTAGTTTGATTTCCCTGGCAATTTTGTAGGGTTTGAAACAGAATGTCAAGAAGCAGAACTCCCACCCAAAATTAGACTCCGTACCGCTCGCCAGTCCCGTATCTCTGGCGGCAACAACGCCTACAGTCAACCCTCCCATCCAGCTCATGTTTGGATTTCTCATGAATTCATCCATCGTAATCACCAGGTCGCCGGTTTTGACTCATGAACGCGTCGACGTTCTTGTCGTAGATCTCTGCCTCGTCGCCCTGGCTCCCGTTCAGGAACGAATGCCACTTGACTTCTCCGCCCTCGATCATGATGGGCGTGGCGTACGGAGCGCGGTCGGGGCCCAGGAAGTCCCATAATCGACACTGTTTTTGGGGAGGAGGTCAGAAACTGAAACAAGAAATCCGGGACACGATCCAGTTGATCAGTGGAGACCGGGAACAAATCCTTGGAGGGAAAAAAGTGCCGTAACTTCTTTCTCACAGGTGTCCTGTAAATTGCCATGTTGGAGCGCAGCAAAAACGGCCGCCCCACAAAGAATGATTGCTCCAGAAGGTTGACAGGCAGAGAGGGAAGTGGAAAACACCACACCACAAGAAACAGCACGCCACGACACGACACGAAACACCCGAATTGCGTGCGACTGATGAGAAGTGAAGACATAAGACACAAGATGCACTTACCAACTGGGTCCACAACCGCGCGTTGACCTCCTTGCTCAGCAGCATGGTCTCGGGATCAAAGTAAGGCAGCGTGGGCAGGTCGTGATTCTTCTTGGCCTGCATGCTCAGGTTCGTCCACTGGGTCTCGCACCACAGGTTCTTGCGGTAGTCGTGGCGGTGTTGGTCCTCTTGGGATGCGCCCTTGCTGGGCCGCGACGCAGAGGCGATAATGTCCCCCGCGGTCTTCCTGGTCGATGTCGACATGGTGGTGGTCGATGATGACATGGATTTCTAAACGCTCGGTCAGGGTGACGGTGGCCCTATAATTTTAGCCTACTTCGCAGGCTCACCCTGATCGATGTAGACCAGTCTTTCTTCGTGATCAGTGGCCACGAGGTAGAGTTCCCTGCTGCAATAGATGGAGGAGAAGGAGAGTCGCAGGAGAGCTGGGAGGTGATATAAAGGCTGGTCATGTGATTGTCGGCAGGCTCGGGTAAATCTGCGCTATTTTTCCGATACGCCGCCAAGTCACAGCCTCGCCACCACAAATTCACCGCTGCGAGGCTGTGACGTGGACGGGGATGCCATCAGTACCGAGTACCTGCGGTGAGGAAATTATGAAATTCTCAACTCTCGACAATGATTGTTTCTCAGCTATCTGATTGATTCTGCTCAACGCTATCCAGCTAAAGTACGGGTACAGCTTGTGATGGTACGGGATCCAGCTAAAGCTAGTAGAGTACACAAAGTACAGGAGGAAACCTACCCGTCATTGTCCCTCAAATAACCCTCGCAGTCACATCGCTGATACAAAGTTCATCACATCATTGCATTCCATGTTTGGCCCATCATCAGCTATCAAAAGGACTTTACAAACCACACCTCTCTTTCGGATTTGTCCCTATGTAGAAGCACCCTAGCTCACCACCAGCATATCGCGTTCACCTTCATTTCATCGTCATGCATCTCGTAGCTGCACCGGGCAGCATGGTGGATTGTCCACCATCTTCATTTGAAGAATATTTCCAAGACATGATTTAGGGGTTGTCTGGATACCCAAATAAGAGCCGCCTGGGCAGAAGGGCTATAATCACATATAACCACCCATTACAGCCGATCTCTTCCGCTTCTGCGGAGATGGTGGTGTGCGTGACGTTTGTGATAGGTCGTGGCAGGACTGGCAATGTCGGTCAAGGTAACTGTGACAACTTCCTCAACCAGGATCAATTTCACCATAACACCGTTGCTCATATAGCTAGTCGTGGTTGTGTAACGACTGTTGGTGGTGTGTGGAGTTGTCAACGAGGTGACAGCAGGCGAAGCCGTGGATCCAGCAGTTTGCCCTGCGGGCGCTGACATGGTGGCGTTTCCGAATGATGAAGAGACTTGAGTTGGTGTGACGGCCCCAGGGATTGGTCCCATTGTCGCAGGCGCAGGACCGGCCTGAACTCGTACCTTACCAGGCAGCTCTTGGACAAAGTTGATTTGCTCATTTTGAAGCATCTCAGGGACCTCCATCTTGCATTGTGTACCATCATCTGGCTTTTGGAGCTTGAAGATTGGACAGTCGTCTTGGTTACCTGAAGTCCCCGTCGGAAGATTGCAGGCTGGGTCGTCGATGGCACTTTGCAACACACCTTCATCCCAAGCGCACATGAAATCTCCATGGTAGCCGTACCCGGTAGGATCACCGTTCGCAAACGTAAACTCTCCATCGATGCCTTTGAAAAGGTTTGTTTGATAGATTGTTTCGTAGAATAAGGCGGGCAAGTGTACGGGATACCCTTCTGGACATCTCCCATTTTGGATTTCATCTGGGTACGCAACGTGAGTTGTGTGATTGGCACTGTCCAGATCTTTTCCATTCCAGCATGACGGGAACATGAGTTCCGCGCGCACTCCGTCTGCACACGTCGCGTCGAGGAAAGTCTTGTTGCGGAGATAGTGATATTCTCGTGCGCCTTCCGCAGGAAGGTTGTAGTTGAGACAATTGAAGCCGAGGGCTTTCTCCATAAGTGCTTGTTGAGTTTTGTCACTATCGTTCCAGAGAGACATTGGCGGGTCTGGGTCCGGTCCGTAAAAGGCGCGCTTCAGAGAGTTCCCAGCGATCATGCGAAAGTTCTGAGGAAAGGCAACCACAGGACTCGGCTCATTTGGAGATGGCTCGGTGAAGTAGTATCTGCGAGCTGTCAGCGTGTTGATCAGGGTTGGAGGGGAGTGGTTTCATTACGCAGTCAATCCGCCAGCAGTTGGGACCATCTCAAATGTGCCGTTTGCATGTTGAAAGTACATCCGTGGACTCCAGTAGACAGAGTGGTCTTGGAGGATGGAGCAGCTGGTACAGTTGGAGGCAAGGAGATCACCAAGAGAAGGATCAAGTCCCATATCTGGGAATGGGTCAGTAATTGATATATATTTTTGTTTGTTGGGTAACAAGGTGAGGTGAAACTCACTTGAAGCGCCAAAGAGAACATGAAGATGTTGAGCGGGGCTACCGGGGGCCATGATGGGGTCGACACGACCATTTCCTAGTTCGCCGTGACATAGATGACGAAAGAAGGCATGGGTTGGCGGGGACATGAAAAGAAGAAGCGCGAGGATAAGGGCTTGAAATTTGAGCGCGACTTTGGTGACGGCCATGGTGACGGTTGTTGTTGTTTTGCGCTGGGAGCGTGAATGAGGAATTGGTTATCACGGTAAGGTCTTGATTGAAGTTGTCGAAGAGAAGAGAGATCGGCTGAAAGGATGGAGGTTGGAGGAGTAATGAACGAAGAGTGTAAGGAGGGAAGAATAATGATGGACTGATTGATAAAAAGGAGCGTGGGATGCCGGCAGACAAAGGGCAAACTGAGGTCGTTGGGATGAAGGAATGGACGCAAAAGGCGAGTCTGAGGCGGATGATAGAGAGTCAAGAGACAAAGTCAGCGCTCACATGCATCCGAGAGGAAGGCGCTTTCACGGACTTACCACTGTAAATTGCTGGGTGAGGCATACAATTTGCTTCTTGGCTGTTCACGGTCGACCTTCACTTCACCTCACCTCACTGTTGACCTCCCCCAATCGACTCAAATACCGTACTTGCTTGACCCCCTCGCCGCTTTTTGGATGCCGCTACTAAACCGACCTGCGGCGCAAAAGTCGACTCTGCCGACCGCAGCCTTGTCCTAGACTGTCTACCTCAGCTGGCCAGTGCGCTCCCACTGACACGCGATCTCCCTGTCGCCGGCTTGGTCGAACCCCTATCCTTCTTACACACAGGCCATCACCGCAAACGATATCAGGTGTTTTGAAGAACCAGGAAGTGTCGTGTATGGCCACCGACCACTGTCGGGCAGGAATAGATCAACAGACTGCTTCAATCAGCCAGCGGCACCACCTTGTCCAGTGTATGTATCTTCTCGACAGCTCTCTGAAGGCACAAGTCGTCAGTATCGCAAAGGAGAGGACGTGCATGCGAGACACACAAGCACACAAAAACAACGGGAGGCAATGCGCAATAAATCCACAAGGACAAGAAGACTGCAATGAACACAATAGGACCATGGTCAACAAAGACCGCTTCACCAATTTCCTCTGCTCATCTTACAGATGGGGTCATTCGTTTGCACCTGTCTCCATTCGCTCCATCTCCGTCGCTTACAAGGCCCAACCTGAAGGTCTGCGGCTGTGGCAGAACCATGGTTGAGTGCCTAGCTGAGATCCCAATTCCTGCTGGCTGCCTTCCATCTTCCTGCACGAGCGGCAATGCAATGCAATGGCAATGCAGGAGAAGGTCCTGCCGATCAGACTTCAGCTACCGTTCATTTTGTTGTTGGTCGCACGCGTGGCATGGCATGTCTTTGTCATGGTTGCTGCACGTTGCCGCCTGCTAATCTCCGCCGAGGTACCATGCACCGGATGAAGATGCGAAAAGTCAGCTTCGATTGGAAGGGGTAGGTTCAAATCGCCTCCAGCGTCAATCACGATGCTCCCTTGACATGCCACGGCTAGCCGGAATGTACGCGTGTGAACGAGGCGACACCATCCCTTACGTCTCTAGCAAGAGGGTAGGTGTGCGAACTCTGGCCATAATCCTAAGGGTGATTGCCTCAGTCGGGATCACAAACAATCATTACTTCGACTTCTGCCGTTGCCACGGCACTCTCGCGCTTGACCCGGACTGTGGAGGAGAAAGAGGTGCAAAAAGAATCGCTGAGCTAAAGTCCTTTAGTTCCGGCGAGCTGCGCTAAATTGGGCAAAGATGGTGCATTGATCAAGAACAACATGGTGGATGTCAGAGGGTGACCCGGACACCAGGTTCTGCCGATATCTACAAGGATTATTCTCGTCGAGAAATCTCTGTGTCCTACAGAGAAACCAACAGAATCAGGACCGGGACCGCACCAAAGCACACACCATTGTGGAAGGATCTCCGTGACCTCCAATCGAAAAGCTCCCCAAAGCCTTGTACTTGGCGTACCGAAGATCCTCGCTGATAGCCGCTGGTAGGCGAGCTGCCTGAAGCTTTACCCTGCGAGGTCAACCAGGGGTTCGGAGTACTTAGTGCATGCCCCAGGGTTGCTTGACAACCAAAAGAAATTTTTCTCAGGCACCGAAAACCTGGGAAGGCGGGAAAATTTGTAAGAGGTGAGAGTTAAGGAGACAAAGTCTCTTTTGGAAGAAAATGGATGTGACTGCCATGACCACAGCCGGTAAGTCTCGTGGCCGTCACGTCTGTGTACTTGTCTAACCGTCAATAGAGAGGGATGGTGAACTGGCTCTCACGCGAAGTACGTGCAACAAATTTGATTGTCCCGTCCCAAAATTGATCTGCCCTTAGTGATGAGCAACATGTCTTCGTCTCATGTTCCCGAGGCTCGGGTTCTGATAATCATGACCGGAGGCACGATCTCCATGCAAAGATCTCCTAATGGTCTCATCCCGGCTCGAAACTTTCTGGAAAGATGCATGGCACCCCGACCGGAATTCAACGACGGAGAGATCCATGAACCCATGACCGTGAGGTTTCACGATGGACTCGATGGGCTGGGCGAGTTCCAGAGTCTGCGGACACCAACAAGCGTGTACGGGAAACGTGTCAGGAAAGTCAGCACCCTTCAAAATCCCAGAGCCTTGTTGCATAGGACCTTATAATTCCGCTCGGTCAAAAGATGAGGACTGAGGCATCGCTAATACTCGCACAGATATGCTGTCCTAGAGTTCGAACCACTTCTCGACTCGTCGTCCATAGACAGCAAGGGATGGGCGGAGATTGCGCAAGCGATATATCGCAACTACAAGTTGTTTGATGGCTTTGTCGTTCTTCACGGCACAGACAGTCTCGCCTACACCTGTTCAGCTCTCAGTTTCATGTTGCAGAACTTGGGCAAGCCTGTCATACTTACGGGTAAGTGGAGTTACAGGCGATCTCGCTGTGTGACGGAATTTTTGGTCCAGAACATCTGTCTAACACAGCTCTCTTGAGGTGTTACCGGCGACGAGTCGCTGTGAGAAGTTGGCCATGGCTTCGATGCCCATTGTCAAGATGCGCTTTTAGCAAAACCACGAGTGGACGAAGCTGACCTTTTCCCCAAAGGATCCCAGGTGCCCTTCTCGGAGCGTAAAAACGATGCTCTGGAGAATCTACTTGATTCTCTGGATATTGCCGGGCACTTTATGATCCCCGAGGTGTGCCTTTGCTTCAACTCGACCCTGTTTCGGGGTAATCGAACTACAAAGGTTTCAGCAAGCGCATTTGATGCATTTGCATCTCCGAACTTTCCTCCATTGGCCAAGATCACTGCAGTAGGTACTCACGTCGAATGGAACTCGGTCAAAAGGTCGACTTCCCTTGAAGCCTTCAGCGTTCAATCAGACCTCGAGATACACCATGTGGCCTGTTTGCGCATTTTTCCTGGCATCAAACCGAAAATGGTGGAGGCAGTTCTGCGGACCGAAGGACTTCGTGGTCTTGTGCTGGAGACGTTTGGCGCAGGCAATGCCCCCAGTGGGCACGACAACAAATTGACCCAGGTCATCTCTGACGCTGTTCAACGTGGCATTGTGATTGTGAACGTCACTCAGTGTCTGACTGGCAGTGTCAACCCGCTCTATGCACCCGGGATGGTCCTTGGCCGTGCTGGCGTTGTTGCAGGAGGGGATATGACCACTGAAGCAGCTTTGACCAAGCTGTCTTACCTGCTGGCCCTCCCAGGAGCGTCACCAGAGTCGGTGGCTAAAGATATGGCAACATCAATTCGTGGTGAACTTTCGGAGCATGCGGGTACCATTTTCAAACATCCGACAGGCGAGTTATCATCCCCGGTCGCTCAACTCACAGCTATTGCCTACGCAATTGCCAGTGGAGATATCGAGAAGGTGAAGGACCTGCTACGAAACGACAATCAACTGATCAACCGAGCCGACTACTCCGGAAACACACCCGTCCATCTTGCGGCGACTGGGCCGAATATTGCGATCCTTCGGCATCTCCTCTCGCTGGGTGCCTCGTAAGTTTAGGACAAGTCATTGTCGGGTGATGGTGTTCATATTGATAATGGCTAACACAATCTTTTTACAGGGTACACCTACGCAACCACACCGGATCAGGCAGGACACCTCTCTTCCTGGCCGCCAATGCTGGATTGTTACCACACGTAATGCTTTTAAGACAAGCAGGCGGACATCTCCATGCCGAAGAATTGGAGACGGCCAGACTCCACGCGAGCCAAAGACCAGAGGTGTGGAAACAGGCAGGCCTAGAAGTGCCCTAACGGACCTGGAGAAAGGGCTGGTTCCAACTGGGCGTTGGGTTTCCGAGTCTCCAGCCATTCTGGCACATGGCTTTCCGTCAGAGCCCCCTGGTTGGTGTGCACGATTGGTCGCCGATTCTATGCTACCGGGTGCTAAGGACACCTAGGTCCGAAGTCGCCTCTGGAAAGCAATGCCAGATGATCTGGACTTGTTTGCTGCCATCCATCCACGCCTCGTGGCAATACAGGACGCTACTCCTTGCGCTCGCTAGAACAGGAGATGGCCAGCCATGAGCACATCGAGCAACCCAATTGTGCGATTCCCAAGACTCACGACATTGCTTGATGGGCTTGCAAAAGTCCTACAATGATGGGGCCGCGGAGGTGCCCGGGTCGAGATTGACACGTCTAAGTTTTGGTACCCGCCAACGGCGGCTTATGTTTGTCCTCGAAACCGGAGTGGGATTGGAACACTTGGAGCCATCCAAGTCATGCCTACAACACCCACCGACCTCCTGCTTCATCTCGAATGGCATGGTCACTAAGGGAACCCTAGGTCTTCGGATCAAGGCGCCACTGACGGCGACCTCGACCACTACTATCCCACCTAGGCGAGGCGAACCCAGCGACCCAGCTTGGGACATGGGAAACCCAGGACGCCTTTGGCTACCCTGACTTATTCTGACTATCCTGGTTGCCACTCTTCTCCCCCGCCTTTTGGCAGCACCTGGTAACGCCCCCCGCATTTCATTTGCCAGGAGTGTCTGGCGGTATAGCGGAAGTCGGCTCTCAACTCCCTCGTCACCCTTTGCGGCGTCGTTGTACTACCCCCCAACAAATTGATCTATTTCAAAGAGAAATGATGGAATCGGGTTCTCCCTTACGGGCGGGCACTCAGGTCCGTCCTAATGTCGTGCTCAGCATGGACCCAGCACCCCGCTGGCACATTTTCACTCCCGGTTACGTAAAGGATAAGCTGCATCAGGTTTGGCGGTCATAGACCTTTTCACACACCGTCGCAGAATTTGCGCACCCAAAGGGTCCTCGAATAATGGGACCGATTTACGGCACGGAGGCCCCTGTGACTCCCTTGCCCTTTATGGTGGAATATGTCTCTCTGGTTGTCCTCTAATCGCATGATACCCAAAACCATTTCTGAAAAGCACGGTGTGGTCCATTTTTGCCCTTTTCCCTTTGGCATTCTATCTTGATCTTATCGACAACGGCGTTGGCAACGCAGAAATCTTTGATGCGCGCTTGATCCTTTCGACGGCCACAATCCTCTTCGCGCCGACTCTCACAAAGTTCACCAGCCCAACCAAATTTTTTTCCCTTCAGGCGTTGACTGTCTTGACCCCTAGAGGCAGATATTCGCCACATGCCCAATAGACTCAAGACCATAGCAATTGTCAACGGTACAGGTCGTCAGGCTGCGTCGGTCATTCGGGCAGTCGCAGCTGTCGGCTATGCCGTCAGGGCCCATGTCCATTCATTGAAAGGCCTGGTGGCTGAGGAGCTCGCCGACTTACCCAATGTCAGGTTGTTCGAGGGACCCTTGCTGAACAACCAGGTCCTCATCGACACTGTGTTTGAAGGTGCTCAGATTGCCTTTATAAACACCAACCCTTTGGGCGGCGATGAGATCAAAATCGGCAAGGCACTGGCCAATGCGGCTAAGAAGCGCAACATACAGCACTTCATATACAGCAGCATGCCCGATCATTCAATCCACAATCCACGTTGGCCGGCACTTCCCCAGTGGGCGTGCAAGTTCACGGTGGAAAATTACATTCGGCAGCTTGGACTCCCTGCGACCTTTGTCTATGCAGGAATCTACAACAACAATTTCACCAGTCTGCCATACCCATTGTTCTGCATGGACTTCAAGGACGATGGAACTCTGGAATGGCGAGCACCTTTCCATCCCGACACCAAATTGCCCTGGCTAGATGCCGAGCACGATGTTGGGCCAGCGGTCTTGCAGATTTTCAAGGACGGACCCGGTAAATGGAATGGACACAGGTACGTAACCGCGAGTTTCTCCTCTACAACAACCCTCGATCCTGGGTCACATGGTTCGTTCCCGGCGCCCCGAATAGTCAAGACCTTGTACAAGGATTCTTGTCCGGATATTTTCTCCGGTGTTTGCAGGGGTCGGGCTGATCATAACCATTTTTGAACGGGATCAAGGTGGTAAGCAAAATGAGCAAAGAACTTGGGTCTAACAGTTGGATTTGTTCTAGGATTGCTCTTGCCTTTGAGATGCTCACCCCGTTGCAAGTTTGTCAGGCATTTGAAAAGGCGTTAGATCGACCGTGCAAATATGTCTTCAGTAAACGGATCGAGATCAAGGTACCCATCCCCAACGGATATAGAGAGCAACTTGCTGGAATCGAAATCCTGTTTGGTGAATACAATGCGCCGTACTTTCCGGGCCCAGACTTCGAATACGATACAAGGCGCAAGGGCAGCAATGACACGATTACGGGAAAAAGCAGTACCGAGGCGTCTCGCAAAACCAAAGCTGGCAAACTCACAGACGAGGCGCGATCCCTTTGGCCACCGTATAGATCCATCTACGAATATGCGAAAGAGGCTTTTGTCATTGAAGAGGAGGCCAACGGGAAAACTTGGATGATCGATAAAAGCGTCAGCACTTGAGTAACCGGGCTCCTGTCCCTCAGTTCCAACGACTCTTATGACTTTGACGACCCTGTGGTAAATATGGTTTGATTGGAACACGCATAGCATGGGATGCATTTGGTTCGGTTTATGGAGATTAAAAGTCCACGGACAGTTTTGCATTGAATCCGAAATGGGGGGAAGACGAGGGATCAGATCGTCTGGGTAGAACTTGACCATTTCTATCGGCCAGTATAATTCGAAGATAGGCAGATTTTGGAGCAGAACATGAGGTTGATTGTCATAAATTATAGGAAGGCGACGGTATCGTGATCATGACGCTTCTTCCACCCTGGCACCGACTTGTAGCCAAAGGATCTCAACAGGGCCCAAAGAAGAGTTCCGAGGATGTTGCTTGCAGATCGAATAAGCCTCATCTTACCCTTGTCGTTTGTAGTCCCGTACCAGGACTCGGCAGAGCCACAGGACTATGACTACTATTTTAATGCGAGTAGTGGCCACAGCAGTGGTTAGGGCTTACGGCCCTGCTGGGTAACCAAGAACCTCGTCCGTCCCTTATGTCTGGGCTCGATGCCGATCACCGTCGAGTAACTAGAACGTTCTGGCCCGGGCCACGCACGGCTCCGTGTGGGAAACTAAGCCATGCCTTCCTACTGGAGGCCTCCCCGGTCCCTGGCATCCTTGTACAGGCATCGAGAGGCTCTGTGACTTCACTTTAAAGTAGAGACTGGGGTCATTCAATACATACAGGTGATCAATATCCACCAGGGGATCGCCGTCATGGTCGTGATGTTGTCTTGCACATGAGGGCTTTTGTGTTATGATGGCTTGTCTCTGTCTCTCCGAGTATCTATTTCCCCTCCACCATGGGACACCGATGTCACCAATGTAAGTTCGCTTGAAGGCCTTCCTTTTGATGCGAGTGTAAAGCTTAGCATGATTCACGCATAGGGGCAAACACCAGCATTAACCATACGAACAAGACACACATGAACCACCTAGCCAGGGGGAAAGAAAAGGGTAAAACCCAGAGCAAAAGAGCCAGGATATACAGGAAGCTGACTAAGGCAGGCACTTAGTGATGTATCCATCAGATTCCCAAAAGGGTTGAATTCAACGTCTCAACGACGCCCAGCTTCGGACTTGTTTTCCTTCCTTCTGCCCCTTTTTTTTTTTGTTTCTTGCACGTTTTGGAGTTTGAACTATAGACTGGACCATCACATGGAGTGTGTTTGGGTATAGTTAATACGTGCCACTCTCGATAGAAATTTTTTCACTTTGCTGGTTGTTCCCGCCTGTTGCCTCTGAGGACCTAAGCCTGATTGATAAGAGGGTCAGGAACCTAGCTTGAGCTAGAGGACGATATATCCGCGTGGTGGTGTAACACCATATCCCGCTTTGTTTCACCTAATTTCTCATAGCTGAGGGCGCCTTGGAGGATTTCTCGACGTTGAGAGATATTGTGGGTGATCTGCCTTGTCGGCTCGTGGCCCAAACCATGTCAGATAAAGACGCGGCTACACCGCGACTGTTTCTCATTCGTCACGGTAAGACATCATCCCCTCTTTTATATCCCACCCCGACTCTTTCTCGAACAGCTCGCATTTACAAGCTGACACGCATATTACCTCCCCAGGCGAAACAGAATGGTCTCGTAACGGGCGGTTCACGGGCATCACCGACCTTCCTCTTCTCCCCGAGGGCGAAGAAAAGGTCCGCCAAACAGCCTCGGTGGTGTTCGGTGCTGGACGCTTGATCGACCCGAGCAAAGTCGCCCACATTGTATGCAGTCCAAGACAGCGCGCGCAACGGACGCTTCAACTATTCCTAGACCAGGTTCAAGGACCCAGCGTACGCGCCGCGCTTACGGAGAAGGTGCACACGACCGAAGACATCGCCGAATGGGGCTACGGGGACTACGAAGGTCTTCTGCAGCCCCAGATTGAGGAACTTCGCAAGTCTAGAGGCCTGGACAGAGAACGTCCCTGGGATATCTGGCGGGACGGCTGCGAGGGTCCTGGAGGCCACACTCCACCCCAGGTCACGGAGCGACTCGACCGGCTGATTTCGCAGATCACGTCAATCCACCGGCAAGGACTGCAGCAGGGTGACCGGAACTGCGACGCCGTGGTCGTCGCCCATGGCCACATCCTCCGCGCCTTTGTGAAGAGGTGGCTGAAGCTCGACTTGGACACACACTTGGAGATGATGCTTGAGCCCGGTGGAGTTTGCGGGCTGAGTTATGCGCACGGAGATGTCGAGGCCCGAGCGGTGCTTGTGGGCATGAGTTTCCCGGGCTCTACATCATGAAACTTGTGCCAATTTGTTTTTGGCTACGGCTCCATCTTATGACGTTCCTTCTCTTGCCCCTAGTGACCTTTGGCTCTTGAGGTGTCCTGCGAGTTCGCCTGGCTTGGGAGGACCGTTGCGCTGGGTCCGAGAGCAGCAGGTTCGTTTCGTTTCGGACCATTTAGAAATAGACTATATAGACTGCACGGTCAGCTCGCGTGCACACCTGTCGAGTACTCGTACCTGCACATTGTGGGAAGTGGATGATTTCGCACCCCGCGATGCGTTGACGTCATTTACGATAAGGGAATTTTGTTTATCAGGCGAAAAATAGAAAAAGCTTATCGTAGCTACTTGGAGCACGTGATAGGCTGCAGCAACATCGCAGTTCGCCTATCCAACCACGCCAGCCACCCAACTTAACATCACTACACCGGCAAGCTTCGTTCCCTGGTATCAAATCGATACCCACCGAGCCACCATTCCCTTGGGGTTCCAGTTTCAAGTGCAGGGTCCCACGTACCGAGTAGTATCTGATTTCAGTCTGTCTTCACCTAATCCACTGGAGGCTTCCTCAGCCTTGTTGGTCAGCATAATGGAGGCGAACTTCGCCCCAAAAGAAGCTGTCGCACCCGGACATGTTGCTGAGATGAGTACTCGGTACCGGGCGCTCCTTATCACGTACCAGGTGGGAGCCTACACATACTTGGATGGTCCTGACCCGTGTTGCTGCGAGATAACGGTGTGGGATGGAGACGGTGGCGGGCACACACTTGATCCGAGCTAAGTTAGATCTGCATGGGAGCCACGCTCATTCGACCCCGGGAAACCATCTGCCCATCTACGGCTTTGGCAGAGATAACAACAACGGCCCGATCTTTCCAGAAAAAAACAAACGAACAAGCTCCCACAGCCAATTGCTTGTGCCGAATGCTTGTTTGCCGCCACAAGCTTCAAAGCAAGGTACACAAGCATGGGAGCTATCCAGCCGAAGCTCTGCATCTCGTCGTCATCGCCTCCAATCCGCTGGTCTCCGGTGGGATTTACCGCGTTCGAATACGTCGCTTGGAGAGCTGCTCTGTCCACGAAACCAGCAGCTGCTGCCGATGAACGAGGGGAGCTTGAAGTTTCGAGCGTAGGTTCAAAAGGTAGGTACCGTCCCTCCCTGTCGCCGAGTTTCCGCAGTCCCTTTCTCTTCACTCCTCTTGCTCGCGTGCTCGGGCAAAGAAAGCTTGTCCCTGTGTCTTTCCAGAAGCTCAAGCGGACGGAGCTCTCCGAATCTGTCCACGATGCGTTCTCTCGGTGTTTGCCAGCTGCTTGTTGCAGCGGTGGCCCTCATTTCCTCCTCGACAGCGTCCCCAGTCGAAACGCGCCGTGATGTTGTCAAGCGAGCTGCTCCCATCTCCCCAAAGGTCGTCATCATCAGCATGTTTGCCCCCGAGGCGGAGGTCTGGTACGGCATCAAGGAGTTCGACCTCCTAGCCCAGAACATCACCGTGCCGGGTCTCTCGCCTCTGTTCCCAGAAGTCCACTGCACTGCCAAAGGCGATGTCTGTCAGGTGGTGACTGGGGAATCCGAGATCAACGCGGCCTCGACCATCAGCGCCTTTGTGCTCAGTCCCAAGTTCAACCTCACCAAAACATACTTTATGGTGGCGGGGATTGCGGGCGTGAACCCCAAGGTGGCGACGCTGGGGGCTGTGACCTTTGCCAAGTACGCGGTCCAGGTTGCGCTGCAATACGAGTTTGATCTGCGAGATATACCCTCGAACTTTACGACCGGGTACATTCCATTTGGTGTCGACGCTCCAGATGATTATCCTGAAACGTGAGTTTTAATCTCCAGAAAAAGGGCAACGTCTCGGGCACTGCCATGAGAATCCATAACAAGAGATGCAAAATCTATTTATGATTGCGGGACTAACCTATTATGTCTGTATGGGCTCGATAGGATCTACGGTACCGAGGTCTTTGAAGTCAACGAAGCGCTCCGCGACGTGGCCATCAGCTTCGCGACTGGGGCTAAGCTCAACGACAGCGCGGCCAGCAAGGAGTACCGAGCCAAGTACGCGGCCGAGGGCATCTACGCGGCGGGTGCGCGGGGACCGAGCGTGCTGGGCTGCGACGTGGCGACGTCGGACGTGTACTACTCCGGGACGCACCTGTCGGAGGCATTTGAGAACACGACGACGCTCTGGACCAACGGGTCGGGCGTGTACTGCACGACGGCGCAGGAAGACAACGCGAGCCTGGAAGCGATCCTGCGGGCCGCGGCGCGCAACCTGACCGACTTCTCGCGCGTCATCGTGATGCGCACCGCCTCGGACTTTGACCGCCCGCCCCCCTCGGTCAGCGAGATCCAGAACCTCCTGTACGTCGACCAGGGCGGCTTCCCGCCCGCCATCCAAAACATCTACATCGCCGGCGTGCGCGTCGTCGACGGCATCCTCGCCGGCTGGAACAGCACTTTCGCAAAGGGCATCCCCGCCACGAACTACATCGGCGACATCTTCGCCACCCTCGGCGGCACCCCGGACTTTGGCCAGCCGAGCGAGTTCATCACCAGGCGCAAGGCCAAGAGGGCCGAGGATGACGTCCAGCACGTCCAGGGAAATCTGAGGATGCGCAGGGCCGCAGAGAGCGCGAGACGGAGGGCTGCCGCTGTCAAAGCAAGGGAGGTCATGCCTTGATACATACCTGGTGTAGAAAGATCCAGTGGCCAGCCAGCCAAGTCGGCTAGGTAGCTAGATGAGCTGTCTGACTGTCTGACTAACTGACAGACCGACCGAAATTGAAAAAAAAGATGTTGTGGCCCCTGCATGACCCATGGTTCATAGTTCGTAGTCTCATGGCCTATACCGAGTACTCCGTACAACTAGATCTAATGATGAATATAACAACACAACAACACAACACTGCCACCATGCTGTCATGGAATCAACCTCAATTACAGTGTGTATATGGGTAGGCGGGTTTGACTCGTAGCATGTGAGGTTGAGCAAACCCACGATTCATGACAGAAATGGCAGAGGCAGGAAGAAAAGGCGCGTGTCTGCTCTTTGCATGACAATCCGTCATCTAATATCAATTCTTGGAACTTTTTTCTGTCCGCTTCCACAGCTAAAACTGTACATCCTCGATATCACGGTGGGTTGTCTTTCTATACACTCGGAATCTACACCATCATCGTCATCCTCTTGTATCTCGTGTAGCCAAGTCCTGAGTAAATCTCCTCTAGCACGTCTTGACAGCCAGACTTGCCTTGTATCACCTCTTTCCCTTCCCCTTGCCCCCTCCTTTTCCCTTGCCCGACTCCTTATCCTCTCCTCCATGCTCCTTCACCAACCCGCCCTTGACCAAACTCTCCCTCGCAACCTGATTGATGAGGCGAAACCGGTCTGGTCCGAGCTTAACCCCGCCATACCACCGGGTCACCACGACCATGCAGTTCCACACGTCCATGAGCTGCATCAGATGCAGGAGGCGACCCCCCGCGGCGGTCTCGCCGTCATCGTCCGAGTCCTGGACCGTAATCACCGCGCCCGTCTGCGGGTTGGTCGACTGGATGCGCCAGGCGCTGATGTTGTGCGTCGCGCTGGCGACTTTCTTGTTAGAGGCGAGGAGGTGCGAGAGGGAGGCCTGCGCCTCGTCCAGCGAGCGCACGGGACACGCCCGCGCCACAAAGGTGGATCTGTTGACCGTGAGGGCCTCGGAAAGGGACCAGTTCGGAGGAGGATACGTGGACGTGTCGATGGAGGAGGCTACGGCGGCGTTAGAGGGCATGTTCATCGTGGAGGAGGGTTCAGAGCCAGAGCCAGAGCCAGAGCCATGCTCGAAAGGGAGGAGGGCGTGGCCATCGCGGGGGACCGGTGGCTGATGATGGTGGTGGTGCGTGTGCAAGGATGAGGCAGCAGACCTATGCGACTTCGTAGTGCTTTGCTCGACGACACCCGGAGTCGGCGCAACATCACCGTGCTCATCCTCATGTTGCTGCGTCTGTAGCAGTGGACCTGCTTCCTCGGCCAAATCGAACAGACACACCTGACCCTCAGTCCACACTCGAGCGAGCACGTCGCGGAGAATGTGGACGGCGACCTCGCCCTCGCCTTTTCGCCCGCTGTCTCCCGTCGACTGTGTCTTTGATATCTCCGGAGGCGCATCAGGGTATTCGGCAGGGAAGGAGATGAGCAGGGATATTTCAGACCCTGGAAGGCGCAGGACCCCCGTGACTGAAGAAGGTTCCCCGGATTCTTGGAGGGTGATAGTATCCGAGCCGTAAATGGAATTTAAGGCTTCGACCTCGTCGGCAAGAGCGACATTAGTGGTCGCAATGCCATTGTCAGACAGAGTGCCATCTCCCAAAGGCATTAGTCGGAGGGACGAAGGGGAAAGATGATGCGCAAACAGCATTTAGCAGGTGAAGATGGAAACCCATTTCGGGAAAGTTGCCTCTCTGTCGCTAATAAAGTCCTGGAGAAACAGCGGGCGCTAACATAAAGCCTCATTCGGCCTGATTCAGCCTCGTCAGCTTCGATTAGCAGCGACAGGAGGGAGATGGATGGGCGATGCTTGTGCCCGCGGCCCTAAATGACCTGCCTTGCAGAATTCAACCCTATTTCCAGCATCCTCTCGTTTCAAGCGACAAGATTAATCTCCTTATTGACATCTCCAGTGCTATCCTTTCCCCTGCCTATCTTTGATTTCTGCCTTATCTCCTTCCATGAGCTATTCAACTCGGCTCTCAAGGCGCCAGTGGGGTAGTTGATGGGAGACTCTCCGCCCTTAAAGATGAAAATGTCATAAACGCTTGCACCAACAAGCCCACCAGCGAGCGTAGCGACCCAAGGCCCCCAAATCCACCACCAGTTATCCCGGGTGAACACATGGACACCAGAGCCTGCAAAAAACGTTATCAAACGAGGCCCGAAGTCCCGCGCAGGGTTGAGCGCTGCGCCAGTGTTGTATGAAAAGGCCATGGAAAGGGACATGACCAGGAGAGCGATGATGAATGCATGCATGCCTGCTCCCGGCGGTGCGTTGTCGTCGTCCCCCAAGGCAAGGACGGAACCGGCTGCGATTGCGGTGGCGACAAGCTCATTAAAAAAGGCAGCGACATTACTCAATCCGCCACGGGGTTGAGTGTAGAATGCAGGTCCAACGCGAGCAATGTCTGAGGCCGTGTACTCGTTGATGGCGTCACTGTAGAGACCAAACACGAGTGCAGATGCGGCGATGCTGCCGAGGAACTGAGCGCCAATATATTTCCAGCAGAGGTCCCATGGAAAGCCACGAAAGATGGAGAGAACGACTGAAATCGTCGGATTGAGATGAGCGCCAGAGACGCCACCTGCAATGTAGATGCCCATCATCACCCCAAAACCCCATGCCATGTACGCAGTCAGCAGACTTCCGTAGTCGCTGCCCGCTGTCATGTGAACGATGGATCCAGACAGGCCGAGCGTCATAAAAACCAGGGTCCCCAAAAACTCGGCGAATGGCTTTCGATATTTATGTCGTACTGGGCCCCAAAAGTTGAAGAATCGCGGCCGAGAATATTCGCCCGATTGCGAGAGCCGTTGTACCAGGGTGTCACCCGAGGGGTGATATTCTTCCCAGTCAATGTTTGGAGGACACTGGCGCAAACCACTTTCGTACTCAGCCGTATCTGCCAATTGCTGCAGTCGCCGCCGCGCTGATTCGATGGCAGATTCACTCCTCACCGCCCGTTCCAGTTCACGTCCGACCACCAAATCTCCCGTCCGATCTATGGAAGAGTCATGGGCCGTTGAACCACTGGGAGATGTGTACGCGTGGGTATGCGACCCTTGAGATTCATGGCTTCCTCTCCGTCCTTCTGCGGATGAAGTACGTGCCTTGTCGTGTGCGCTGATATTCTCAGCAACCAGCTCGCGTTCCTTGCGCCTTGTTTCTGCGCTGAGAATGCCCGGTTGTTGCACGGTATTGTGCGGGACAATCGGCTCACTGAGATAGGATGAGACATTGGCGGTGGTCGCTCGGCGGAGGAGATCTGGCCCAGGAGGAGATATTCGAGTATCGGCGGTGCTCCAGCGCGGCTCGTCAGGTTCCTGCTCCCCATGTCTGTGAGGACTGGCCTCTGTCCGAGATGCTGGTTGTATCCCTATTGACGATTGTTGTAGCGCGGGTTCGCGGGCATGTCGTCGGGCTCTTGTTGGCTCGTCTGTAGCATCTCTCTCTGGTCTCGTGTCTGGAGACCGCATACCTCGACGCTTGACCCGTGGTAAAGGAGCAGCCAACCCCCAGATGGGTTCGTCGGGTGGCTGTCCATATTCGGGACATGATTCTTGATATTCGCGACTGACAAAGCTTCGCTGCTCTCTCGAAGGATGGGAAACTCTGGGACCTGCAAGAGAGAAGGGAACAGATTCGTGCGTAGGTACAGATCTTAATCTTGTCGCGTCTTGTGCAAATGAGTGGGTATTGGTTCGGATTGAAGGGAGATCTCGCGACATGGTGTTCAATGGTGTTGAGCGATACTTTGACAAAAGAGGAATCACGAACGCCAAAGCTATAAACTACTAAGAGAGACACAGATGAAGATTAGTCCAGGAGGGGCCATTAAAGAATATCGACTCACGACCAATGTGAGAAGATCAGCAACGAGGAACCACGTGGAGTAGCTGGTCAGGAACGCTCAGAATGAGGATCCTTCCTTCCAATGACGACGGGCGATCCGGCTTTCAAGCGACTTGTTGAGCAGAATGCAGTAACGATCATCAAATCAGCGATTTGTTCGACGAGCGAACGCCTCTCTGAGCGCGGGTCTGTGGAGGGGTATCGAGGTTGTGCCCTTTACCGGTTCCATAGAGGTGGAGAGGAAGATGGAGAAGCGAGGAACGTCATTGCGAACGACGATCAGAGATCGGCGAACTATAGCCGTCCACATACGACATAGAGCGATGGAGGGGTTTGAATGATGAACATAGTTGTGACAGAGGCTGGTGGAGGATGATTTTTGTGGAGTGAAAGACAATGTGACTTGACATGGTCAAACTGCGCTTGTACTGAGTACACCAGGGAGGGAGCCTGCGGTCGTTTTTCTCATACCAACCACAATCCAATCGCGATTCGCTCTGCATATCCTCTACCCTTCTAGGTAATTATGCACTGACCTCACAACTCCCTGACCCTTGTGACGGACGAGTTTACTCGGTACACCCTGTTCCCGTCTCTCTATGCCAATGCCGTCGGGAAATGAGGAGCGACGCATTCCAAGATATCATCTGCCACTCAACCCGTATCTTCTCATTCATTTCTTTCCCGAGAGGTACAGTATCATCGGCGACTGGTTGACATGGTCTCACCGGAATTCTCCAGCACTTACTGACAAACCATGCAGACTCAAATAAGCGCAACCTTCTCTGACCACATCCTCAGTGACTTGTTCTTCCGCATCCGTAACTCTATGGTTCCTCCTACAGCAATCAATATCCATCCTTTACGGACTACTTTGGCGCCGTGGAGAGCGTTGTCAGGGGAACCGCCCGTTCCAATTGATGACTTTACAAATGAACCACGAGACCATACTGACGCTCACTGCTGCACGAGGCCTAAAGGGATGTGACAATCTGCACAGTTGTTTGAAAAGATGCGGTTACTCCTTCAAACCCAAAAGATACATCGAACAGTGATTACGAGCATGACGGCACCTATGGACAAACCCCGTCGAGGCTGCGTCCCTACATCCACGAAGCCATGACCCATCCACACACTTACTCGTACATCCGCGCGCACAGCCTGGCGGGGGAAATTGGTAATGACGAGCCGTGCGGGTCTACGGAGTAGAGAAATGTCTCGGACCGTCACCGCCGTTGCCTCTCACGCTGTAAGCACGATCACGAAGAGCTGGCACCCAGCTGGTACATAATAAAATATGATGCAACCCCAACTGACCCTCCTCTCGTGGAGTTTTCCCGGTAAACCGTGGCGGCGGCGGCGGCGGCGGTTGTTGTTGTTTTTGTGGTGGTCCAGCACTGACTGGTCCTCGCAGAAGTGAATAGTGGCAGCAAATTTGTTGAAGATGCCACTGGTATATTCTCAAAAAGACCTTTCATGGCCCAGACCACGCAGTAGGTACACACGAGTAATGCTGACCCACACTCCATAGCTTAGAGGTGCATAGCCACAAACGGGCCTTCTTCGTCCTTCTGCCCCTTTTATCCTAGTGTGGAATACTAAAAGATTAGATCACAAGGCAACGAGCCATGTCACAGATGTCGACGTCGCTCTACTCAAAAAGGAAGCCAGGGGATGATTGCCCTAGATTGACATATGACCACAACTGAACTTGCTAGACTGGCACGGCTCAACGATCGTTGCCGCTGCTTGGAAAGTCTTTGGCTCCCTCACCTAGTTCTTCGTAAAGCCTCTCGCCGCCGACAAGTACCGGCTGGCAGTCCTGCAGGACAAAAAGCATCCTCGTCCACTCCGTCTTGCTGGGATTTCTCCAAGCGTGATTCGTACCCCGCTGCACGGCCACGTCTCCGCGCTTCAAAAGAGTCACACTGCCATCGTCCAACTCCATCTCGATGGTGCCTTCCAACACCACTCCGTAGTCCAAACTTTGCGTGCGGTGCATCAACGGAGTGTTTCCTGGACCAAAATCGACAAGGCGACAGACCGTACCGCCCTTTTGAACCAGTCCGAGCTTACCACTAGTCACGGTCGCCTTGTGCGCCTCGATATCGGCATCGTCATTCAGCGAGACCGGGAAAGACGAAGTAGTGTACACCGTCTTGAGGCCAACGGACCTGTCGGAAACCCAATTCCATTCGTTTTGAGATGAAGAATAGAGCGTGGCTTTGCCAGAAGAGTCGTGGGTCGTGATGTGGACGGTTGTCTCCGGAAGAGCAGATGGAATCGGTGCTGAAGAGGCCATTCTGCGCCCTGGATTGTAGTCTAGGCTGGAAGTGAAAGAAATGTGTATTTCAGATGAAATCAGCGAAGAGTTTGATACATACCCAAAGGGATCTCAGTCTGGTGATGGAATAATAAAGAATGATCAGGTTTGTCCTCTAACCTCGGTTCTTCAAGTGGTTTACGGATTGTCTCACAGTCATTTGATACCTAGGTATAATTCGTGGAGAAGCTCGGCACGCTGCGATGAAGGAGTTTCGTTTCTTGACGAGTTTGCTGTGCGCTCGGGGGAAAGCATGTCTATCCTACCTACAAGAAGAGACAGGAGATGGTTGGACTTTTGACACAAGAAAGGAGCGCCCAACTCAGGCATGGCTTTCAGGAGGACATCATGATCTGTTGTCAACGTTGCACCAGCATCAGCAACAATGTTAACGCTTTGTCGGCTTTCGTAGTGGAAATTGTTGTTTCAGTGTGGGAAATCCCTCACGCTTGGAACACAGCTCCTTGTTCAATCTTCGCTATTCGTAAGGTGACAGTCGACCTAACAAGAGGCGGCCGCGGCCTCTTTTTCTGCCCCCAGGTGGTTCTGAGAAAGAATCTCCATCGCGCTGTAAGCAGGGGAATAATGGGCCATTATGGAAACGAGACTCATAGCCAATTCGGCATGTGGGGTAGCCATTTACAATCATGGCGGCGGTCCCTGGCACCCAGCCTGGGAGACGCGTGGGCTGGCGTCTCATACCTGTAGAGGCAGTTTCAGGCTTGTCTCGCCCGAGAAAATTGGAGTTGAATGATGACCAGTCGCCATCCGCTGGGGCTCGAGGCACCATGACGATTGAAGAATAATGGATGGACGCAGAAGAAGAGAAAAAAATTCTCAAGAATTCCGGGGGTGGTTACCTATTTCAGGGGAGCACTTCCGGGTTTCTGCCTGATGAGGTGGTTCTGGTGGGGACCATGACTGCAACATGGGGGAATTTTTTGGTGCACTCGATGGGAATGGGAAGGAGAGAAGTTCTTCAACCCCTGGTTCCATCTGGGTTCCATTACTATTGAAGAGAAGAAGGGGAGAAGATGATGAGGAAGAGACAAACACAACAGACAAGGACAAAACCTACCAAGATGAAAGTGGAGCCGGTGGAGCTGGTGCTGGAAATCGCATGATCATTATTCCGCACCCGTCATCCTGGTACCTACCTTGCTACGTAGTCCTCGCGGTGAGAACTCGGTCCTCGTGGTACTTGACTCAATTTTACCACAAAGAAGTACCTGCCATAGGTCGGATGACCATTCTCGTCCCTCTCACTCTTTCCCTCAAAAGAAACAAGATTAACGCACAACTCAGTCACGAAATCTTCTCTCTAGTCATCAAGAGGGAGTATTATCACGGCCTATGTAACTATCATGAAGCGGAATAATATAGTCTCGAGCGGCCGGGTTTGAACATGGTGGACATGATATCGACAATGATGACAAGGTCAAAGAGGATGAGATAACCAGTGCAGTACGAGTACGAAGTGAACTGCAAAGCTTTCCCTAACCAGAAAACTGCCTGGATAAGACGTGAGTAGGAAGGGATTTGATCGGAGCCCGTACTCATACCCTAAGCCCTACCACTTTTCTGTTTACAGTGGTCTGTGACAAAGAGGGAGTGTGAAAGAGTGACAGACTTACGAGTACTCGGGACTCGTATTCGTAGGCTCAGTCCTCTGCCACAAGAATAGCAGCAGCACAAAAGGGAATGGATCGATGGAGCTTTTCCGGCCCGGTCATATGCAGGACTGACAAAGGACGGTGATCAGAAGATCCTGGTGCGAATCAGAATACATCTAGAGAGGGACGGGTTGAGTAGGCGCATGGTATCCTAGCACGGGAGGATGGCAGGAATGATGGAGATGATGACAGAAATCGGCTAGTGGTTGGCAAAGAGGAGTTTTTGAGATTGACCATTGCGGTTCATACCTACCTGGGTACATAGTTACAGAATATTATACCAGGTAGAGCAGGTGAGAAGGATAATGATTCAAGTGCTTGTGTCTGACAGGGGGCTGCAGGGGAGCAAGAGGGATTTAACGTGCATTATTCATTCTTTTTAGTTGGACCAGGTCCCAGGTCACAGGTCCCATGGTTTTCTGGCCACCCGCCTAAATGCACGATCGCGGCAAATCGAGGGTTGATCTCTGACGCAAAGGTTTGAGGCAAGAAGTAACTAAGGAAAGAGGAAGGAAAAAGGTACTTTTGTAGTGCTAAAGAGGCACGGGAGGTGACATGTCGCCACCACCACAACATCACAACTACAACCACCCTGGCGATGAGTTTCTACAAGGATATGACCGGCATTGAATGAACCATGGGCTAATATTAAGTTACGAGTAGTAAAATTTCCGCAAGTAGTATTGACAAACCAATTACTTTGGGAGTTGGAGGTGCGTATTGGATGCTTGACTGTGCTCGGTACTCACCACCACCAGCACCACCACCCGCTCACTTCTTCGCTGAGTTGGTCAACACACTCTCTCACTTTGCACACATTCACAGTCTCACTCTTGCACACTTTTCTTGTTCTCCTCCACATCTCTCTGCTCTCTCTCTCGCACACACACAACCTCTCACGTTCTATTGCCAGGTAATTCATGTTGGATCGCTACAAGTACAAGTACGAGTACTTACTTTGACACACCTTTGCTCCTTCACCACAAATCTGCCCGTCGCAGATCCCATCCGACTCAGTGATCCTCCCGACCCTCGGTCGCTCCCATCATCCCTGCCACTCCCTCCTTCCATCCCTGACCTGGCCATGCTCAGAAAGAAAATGTACAAGGTGCAAAGGTTGAGAAGCGAGTAGTCCGAAAGGTCCATGACTCGACGCCTGCAGGGCCCCCACCATCTTCTGGGCTACCGGGATCACTCAGGGACGCCTCCTTCAACCCCCATGCCCTTCAACTAATGGGAATGGGCGTGACGCTGACCCTTGATCCAGGCAAACCAGACCCTTTCGTTTAAAGGCTACCACCCCAGCTTGCCTCTCATCCCGCCCATCAATACCACCTATTTAATCTCTGAAGTCTTCGAGAACATCCAACCTAAGCCAAGCGGCCCTCCACTGTCTACCCGCTCAGTGCGCCCGCTCCAGCCCGCGGAAAGTCGCTGAGCTAAACCTGATTTCCAACCAGCCAAGCAGTTTAAAAAGGACAGAGCAGTGGACAAACAGCCTCGGGCGAACGACACACCCCCAGTGGACCTTTCATGCTTTGATTCCAGCTAACTGGCACGTTTAAACTTTGGCACTTTACTCACCTTCTCAACTTCTGCCCTCGTGGGTTGGTGGATGGAACTCAGACTCACCTCGCTGCCAACCTCCAAATCTTTGCGCCTTGACTTCATTCCTGTCCCGCATTTTGGACTTCAGCCTCACCTTACTGTCCCTACCTATCTTTCACCGGGAGTGATGTCCAACACATAACTGGCAGCTCCAAGATATCTGCTGAGGGGTTTTCTATCTATCATTCCTCGGACGCGTCGCACTGTTCAGCCAACCATCGTTGACACCCGAACCATCTCCCTTCCCAACCGTCCATCAGCCGGAGACGTCCCCCTCATTTCAAAATGTCTTGTCCATCAAAGCACTTGGAACGATGCAACTGACTATTATCGCCAATTGCACCAAATAACCCCTGACAGTTAAAATCCACCCTTCGCCATGGCTTCCGTCGACAGCTCGCCTGTTGACCGCAAAAGCAAAATCTCAAAGCGTTCTTCCAACTCATACACCTCGGAAGAGTGGCGAAGGCATCGCCCTTTAATAACCCAGTTATACTTCGAGGAAGGCCGAACCCTCAAGGATGTGGCCGAATACTTGAAAAGAGAATATGACTTTGCGCCCACGTATGTATTCTTTGTCTTTTATGCAACGTATCGGCATATCCCTCTTATTATCAACAGTGCTGACTTTCTTCGGCCCAAAGTGAGCGCATGTATAAAAGTCGACTCCATACATGGGGTCTGGATAAAAAAAAGAAAGAGCACGAGATGCTCGATTTGGTTCGCCAAGGTTTGCAGCAAAAGGGTGATGACAAGGACAAAGTCTTCCTGGTGAGGGGGCGGCAGGTTACCCTTGCCGACGCCTTGCACTACTTCAATCGCAAAGGCATCAAAGACCCCTCGAGTCTTTTGGAGCCTCAGAGATCAGTATCCGGCGACCTGTCATCGCCCGAGGATGCCGACGTCAAAACACCTCTGTCATCCAACGATGACGCACTTAATGCCACTCAAGACGTATCTGACTTTGAAATGGCCAGAAGTCCCATGGAAATGAGCGAGCAAGACAAGCCCGCCCTGACCTTGAGATTGAGGGCTTCAGATGTTGCCGCCGAGCGTCTAGCCATTCTACAGGAAGCCTTGGATATACCCGAAATCCCGCCTATGCCACCATTCCGCACGCTCTCCGTCGAATCAACGGTCGAGCAAGTCACGGTTTCGGCAGAAGATCAACGATACCAGGATGTCATTTTTCAGAACCTGCAAAACCACTACATGAATTTGTTTACGGCGCGCAATCTCTCCATCCGCAATATTACTGGCACGTGGACTGCCACCTCGGACGATGCTCTTGCCGACAGGTTTTACTACTCCATGTACCATGGTTATTCATTTCTCTGGAACGGCCAGCGGGATCGAGCATTTGACAACTTTTACAAAGCCTTTGCGCTTATCGAAGGCCTGTTGAAGGATGATCACGTTGGCTTCATGATATACATATTTGACCTGATCATCCGGCACGATGGAACCGGGTACGAAGAACCGTTACTCATGCTCCTACAACACTTGGCCGACATGGCCAACACCGTTTTTGAGTCCCACGAGCACCCGATCTATGTCATTGCCACGCACATGCACGATGCCTCAATATCACGAGCTTGGTTAGCCGAGTCTACCCTGCGGAGACTGCTCGATTTCTTCCAAGATTGCATCGGCTATTTTCACCCTGAGACAATCGCCTTACTACAGACCTTCGCAAGTGGTCTCCTGAATCGAGAACACTTCGCCGAAGCTGCCGTCAGGTTCCAGCAGTTGGTCGATGCTTTCGAAACTACCGTGAACAAACAATGCTACGAGGTTTGTTATGCTTTGCGGTCCACTTCGGAAGCCTTTTTCCACATGGAAGAATACACGAAAGCCCTCCAAGCCATCAAGGCTGCACTGGAGCGGTCACAGATCTTGCCGCGGCACGAGGAGCGTGAGATTTACGTTCGATGTTTGCGAGGGTTGGCCGAGATCTCAAATCGGTTGGGTCGGAAGGAGGAAGCCAACGAAACGATGCAACACGTGGTTGATATCTGCCGGGATGCGTTTGGACCTGAACACCCGTTCACAAATCGTGCTAGGATGCATCTCAAAACAATTTTAAAAGGCGACGCTACAAGCGATGCGGCCATCCCACCGATGGTTTACAGGCTAGGGCGAGGTGGGAACGCCGCCAAATATATCTGGATTTCTCGATCAAGTCCTACTCGACTACAGGCTTAATGTCAAGCAAGGCACCAGGCCTCGAAACAAAAAAACAAGAGAAAAAATAATGGACACGACTATTACGAAGTTTGATGACGGGGTGGATTGCATGGCTATTTTGTCCACCTTTCTGGTTCTACATACCCTTTATCGTTGCATTGGTTTTTGGGAAGAGAGCGATGTCCTCAGTTGGACCCATTAGGGATTGGAGTGTTCACAGCACATGAGTGCATGTTTTACAAAATGAGATATCTGCTACGGCCTCTTATTTAGCTAGGTGCTTTGACAATGTCAGTCAAAGCTGTATGGTTCTTCATGGGTGGCTGGCGGAGTATTTGCGCGGCCGTTGAAAGTCAGTCTGTTTGGTGGCTGTGATGGGTCATCCCACACAATTCGGAGTGCTTTGGGTCCGGACATGCGATTCCGAGTGGACTGCTTGACTGCGAACAACATCAAGATACGGGAGAAGATCAGCATCAAAGTACTTGGTACCTCGTACAGGAGCTTCTTCTTGTAGACCGAGCAAGCAGCTAGTGTACGATACGAAGGGGAGAGAGGGAACGTCATCTTTTAGGTCAACGAGACCAGTACGAGGTACAGAAGGCAATGGGCCTTTTGGTGAGACATGTTGGACGTCGGACTTCAAGTGGCGGGGGATTGTGGAGGGCCCCTTGGCCTTGGTTCCGTTGACTTGGTCTCGAGCCCGGGCCTAAACCGAGATTCATTGGGGGCTGATTACCACATTGTGCGTTGTGGAGCCACCAGAGCTTGCCCGCAGAAGCCTCCAGGACTTACAGAAGGGACTAGGCACCCTAGGGCGAACTGAATTTAGCAGCACGGCTAGTAGGCACACTCTCAAAAGGATTTAGTGGCCTAGGGAAACTTCCGGGGGCCAGCCTGATTCACTTCAGTGCCTCGTGCTCGGTTCTGGACCCTCAATCCTGGGACCACCAGGACTTCTGACCCCCCAGCTTACCACTCGTAGCACCACCCCCCTAGCCACCTAGGTGCAAGGACGCAATCTTTCCGCTGCTGGCCAATGGCTCCCTGCAGCGAGATGAACACAATTGTAACGTCTCTTTCCCGAGTTTATCTTGTCCCGGTAGTCCATGTCCGAGCCTCTCTTCTTCACCTATGCGTAGCAAAAAGTTCCAGGGTATGAATTGATGGCAGAAGACTCGAATTTCAGGGGGATCTACCAGCAAATCCTGGACGGCGGAGTCCCGACTCCCGAGTAGCAGCCGTTGACACCTCCACACTTGGATTGTTTCTCCCACTAGTCAAGGAACCGTCAAGGCCCCTCTTCAGCCACACTAATCATCGTACAACGACGAAAAACCAGCCGGACTCGGCTTCGGATTTGTCTGCGCCGTGTTTTGTTGACTGATTTGTTCCTCTCCCTCACCGCGATTCCTTTGCTGATAACAAGGACAGTATATTACGAGCGCAGTCTGCATTGGCCGGCAGAAGATACATTTTCAACTATCCATCCATCCAATCCATACCCAATCTGCCCGCCATGGTGTCCGCATCCGAAAAGTACTACATCAAAGACGCAATTTCGAAACCAGCCATCCACCACGAGTCGTTCCAGCAATTATGGGAGACCAAATGGAAAGGCCCTGTATGTGGCCCCTTACAAGGAAGAATCACTGCTATGGACTTATAAAATTCTTGACAGTGCGCGATGGGGGTCTATCCATTCATGTTCGGCAGCATCAAGGACTTTGAGCCTGTTGTGGAAGAAATAGTCAAGGTGCGCCTTTGCAGCTCCTTCCCCCGAACACCTTCGCTAAGTCCTGTCGCAGAAAGGGTTAAAGGAACCGTATGACTGGGACGAGTACGCGCAGTCATACTTCCCCAAGGCCGAAGAACTCACCAAGATTGCCGAAGAAGCGGAGAAGGCTGGTGAAATCGAGAAGGCCTCAGAATATTACCTGCGGAGCTCTGCCGTATATCGTATCTCGCGTTTTCCTACCCCACGATCAGAAAAGCAGAAATATGCCTGGAAGGTTGGGAAAGAGATGTTCTACAAGGGTGCAGCGTCAGTGAAGTCTCCACGTGCGCAGTTTCATGACGACTGATCAAGAGTGGAAACAGACTGCTGGAACATCCCATCAAGGAAGTTCTGATTCCTCACAAGCATGCCATTGAAGGCGAGGGCGATGTCGTCCCAGTCAACTTTCTTCTCCCTCCAAATGCCACCGAGCAGTCTCCCGCTCCGTGCGTCCTCATCATCACCGGACTTGATGGCTACCGAACCGAATTGGCAGTGTGGCAGCAAGGCTTCCTAGACAAAGGGGTCGCGACGGTCATTGCTGAGATCCCAGGCACTGGCGACTCTCCAGCCCTTCGTCAAGATCCCACAAGTCCTGATCGCCAATGGTCCAGCGTACTGGACTGGATCGACACGCAAAAGGAAATTGACAACAAGAAGATCGTCGTCTGGGGCTTCTCGACAGGTGGCTACTATTCGCTTAGACTAGCTCACACCCACCATGACAGAGTCTTCGCGTGCATCAGCTTGGGTGGAGGATGCCATCATGTAAGTTCTCCTTGCTGTTGTCAACTCCAAGCCGTTCTCAAGTCTTGTACGGAACTGACCTAGCTCTCAGATGTTTGACAGGGAGTGGCTCGAGAACGTGGGCAAACTCGAGTACCCATTCGATCTCGCCAGCACCTTGACTTACAAATTCGGCTACCCTGACCTTGAATCTTTCATTCAAGACGCTGGCAAGTTCTCATTACTGAACGACGGCACCCTGGAAAAGCCGTGTACCAAGGTATTGCTAGTCAACGGAAACGACGACGAAATCTTCCCAATCGACGACATGTTTGTGTCACTGGAGCACGGCAACCCAAAACTGGCGAGAATGGTCAAGGGCAAGAAACATATGGGAGTGAGTCCCCCCACAAACCCATGACAACTTCTGAGAAGAGGTCCACGATTCATTCGTTGCTTGTGCTTGGGAAACTGGATGCTAACCCTTCTAAACAGGAACCCGACAGTTTCTTTATCATCTTGAGGTGGATCCACGGAGTTCTTGGACTGGATGGCAATATAATGGACCAAATGAAAAAGTTACCCTCGCGCACGAAGTATTAGCTTACGTTGCAAACAAAGGGCATGGGATCATGGCGCGATAAAGTCTGTCTGCTTGTATTCACTTTCTAGCGTGGAGTGTACTGCGGCTCTTGGTGGTAGAGTTTAGAGCGATTGAGGGAAGGCGTAGAATACCACCATGCGGACAGGCATCAGCAGTGGGATGGAATACCTCGTACAGTGGAAAAGCCAGTGTGTAGTATCCTAGAATTGTCATTCTGTTACGCGGTATTGGTGGTACTTTGTTATTATGTACCTGGACACTTTGATAAGCAGTCGGCTACGTGTCTCAAGTTAGAGGCCAGACCGACTTTGGGCTCGGGCTGTTGGCTGGACCTCCAGGCTGGGTTAGTATCATGTTCGGCGCGAACTCTTGATTGGGACTGGCCCCTAAAGGCGCCATGGGTGCCTATCTCCTATCGACCTAGCTGCCCCTGCACCGAATAACGGACTGCGGGACTGCGCCTATCGATGGGCTTTATGAGCTCATGGGCTCGTGCATTGGCGGGGATCGTCGGGCGGGACAGCCTATCTGGAAATGCACGCGACTCTGTCTGCGCCATCTCACCTCTATGCTTTTGTTCTCGCAGTAGTCGAAGATCCTGAAGGCGTCATAGCCCTGTTTTCTTCTTCTATAACTTTGTGGCGCGTTCCACGTTTTTTGTAAAGTTACAAGAGACTTCAACCTGATCACATGTACGTTTGCAGAGTTTGGGCAGGTAGAAATTGACCCGGGTCTTTGGGCATTTGCATTGAGACCTCTATTCGCCTGCGCATCGGAGTCGGTGCTCGATTTCTCCACCAACTCAGAAAATTATGCCCTCACATCGGCTCACCTGAGCCCATCTTCCACGCAACTGCAATCCGAGGCCTTCCGTGGGACGAAGACACGTCGTTTCCGATCCTCGATGACTCTGGCCACCCTCCCTCGGGGGGTATAAACTCCGATTTATGTGCCGTGCGCGTATAAGTTTACACAACAGACGACCGAACCGAAAATCCAAACAAATCCTGTCGCATACACTGGTCAACTTCGAGTCGCATCATGGTCACTGTTACGAACGTCCTCAGGCGAGCGAGCGCCGCGAATTTTTTTGACAACGGCCCCTCAAGCGGCGAGTCGTCGAGAAGACCCTCAGCGGCAGACACTCATGCCCTTCGTCGGCCCAGCCTGGCCGCCTTGTCCCTACGGCTCTCGTCATGGTCTAAGAAGTCACATTTAGCCAAGGGCGCTGAAACGGACACTGACTGCTCGTGAGTACTTTCAAGGGAGAGCTGTGGACTGAGACGAGTGCAATGCTTATATACAATCTGATAGGCAACAGTTATGGGACGCTGTTCAATCCTTACCGGATGAAATCGCAGCTCAGATCCTCTGTTATCTCTCTGCCTCCGACTTCTTGAACCTCCGATTGACGTCTCGCTCCGTCTACTTATACCTGCGGTCGCACGCTGGTCCGATCACGCGATCTCTGCTTCTTCAAAATGCCTACGAGCGGACAACGGACTATGAGGGTAGCACGAGGGAAGAGAAGGCGAGATACCTTTACGATTACCTCCATACATTATACCCTCCACCACAACCCTGCGATTCGTTTGATTATCTACTCCGGATGCTGAAAAGACAAGCCCAAGTTCAAAGAATGCTGCAGGTATTGATCAACTGGATCCAGATGAAAGTATATGTTATTCCGCAGTTCAAACGGTATGACAATTTCAACCTCTACAAATTCACTCTCATGAGACGGCTTCATCTGGCAGCGTGGACGATATACCATTTCCTTGAAAGTTACCGGTCAATGCTTGTCACCGAGCATCCCTGTCATCCTAGGCTGGAGTCAACAACAACATCTGGACAAAACCACAGCAGCAGTATGTGCCCGTTCTGTGCAGAGTCCGTTAGAGGTCTTTTGCGCACCTACCCCAGGTCTACACTCGTCCCCGCGTATCATTTCTTTGAACTCTGTCTACAACACCTCCGTGCGCTAAGTCGAGCTCCTTCGGCTGGAGCGATCATCCGATCTCGGAAGCCGCCCAGTGAAGCGGACCTGGTGCAGTTTGTTGTGTTCGGAGGTATTTCCGAGCTCAGCAAGTTGAGTCTGCTCAAAGGCTCCTCAAATCAGCGGATCGATGTGATTGAGACCTTTGTGGATAAAGTCTCTAGTGCCGCCATACAACAGAGGATAGGGCGGCAAGGCTTCCCATCTTCTCGATCACAAGTCTCTTTACGGAATGATACGGCTCTGTGGTCCTCCTTTGATAATCTTGTTGCACCTCTTGAGCCACCCCTTTCCCTCATCCATCACCATACCATATCGGCTCTACCAGAACTCGGACACCTTATCGTCGATACGGATGAGTGGGTCACCCGAATGTACGAGCTCGTTGGACCAGAGGACCAAATAGTCAGTGCCTGGGGATTCATCACGAATATTCTCTCAGGCAAGAGCGACGGTGCAGAATATTTAACGGCTGAAGATGGGGCGGACAGTGACATCGACTTTTTGGCGCCTGTTGAGATTTGAACCATGACGAGTCGGAAAGCGAGTAATTTTCCGTCTAAAGAAGATACAGATTGCGTGATCTAGTATTGGCTATAAGAGTCGGCACCAGAATGCTTCTCGACACGAGCATAGCACAATCAACACATGCTTTGGAGGTACTTCATCAACACCTACCATGGGGTCCAGGCCTTTCGAACTCATCTCCATGCAAAGCATGACAAGCTTTTGCTAAAAAGGCATCGAGGGCAATGCTTCGGCGCAGCTGCGAGACGCACCAGAGCGAAGAAGGGGCAAAGGAACGACTTCAATGTGACCACACTGGCGTGACCTGCCAGACATGGCTTTTGCCTTAGCAGTTGACCACAAAAGCAACGCTTCGTCAGGTATTTAACGCAGAGAGATGGTATTCGACCCGCCCCAGGACGCCAAATGTGGCATGAGACAATGAGAACGCGAGTTGTCCGATCGATTGCCAGATTGTGACAGAAAGAGGACGAAGCTTACGAGCCTTGGACTGATAGGTTACCAACTTGCGTGGTGATAGGTGACCGGAATATTCTCGCAGGAAGAGATAATGAGAGGCAGAGCTTCGAGGGGCAAGCAACGGTTTACATGCCTTATCTGCTTCAATGCCGACTTCATATAGGGTCCACCATGAAGCTCAACATTGCAGTTTTCTCGATCAGCGAGCTTCCTTGATTCAGGTCTGATTGTTGAATATGGCCCTCTTTCGCAGTTCCCAACCCATCCAGATTCTCATTTTGCTAGAGGGAGAAACCACGTCATTTGTGCGCTTCGGCGCCAATGCCTTCTCCCAAAATCTCTTTGGATTTCTTACGTCCAGACTAGATCTATCCTCTCCCCGACAACCTTGCTATTGAACCACTCGAGAATTTGGATGTTGGAGGTCAGGGTATCTGCACCGCGCAGGACATCGGCCTCGGCGACGCGCGCGACGGCCCAGAACAGCTCGACAGTGGCCAGATTGCGCGCGATGCACTGCCGACTGCCCAGGCCAAAGGGGATGGCGTCGCGGATCATCTCGTCGGAGGGGTCCAGCCAGCGCTCGGGGCGGAATGCACGAGGCTCCGGGAAGACGCGCGGGTTCAGATGCAGCGAGTAGGGTGTGCAACTGGCCTCGGTGCCGGCGGGGAAGTAGGTGTCCTTGAACGTCCAGCCTCCTGGGGGCACGACGCGGGGGAGGCGTGACGGGTTCGCCATCGAGAGGCGCAGGCCCTCCTTGACCACGCCGCGCAGGTAGGGCAGGGTCTGGAGGTCGTCGAAGCCCGGCCGGTGCGCGAGGACCTCGTGCCTCAGTTTCTGGTAGCACGTCGGGTGGCGCGCGAGCATGAACAGGATCGTGGCCAGGTTCATCCCCGTGCTGTCGGTGCCGGCGAAGATCAGGTCCTTGCACTGTGCGCGCGTCTCTGACGGGGTGAACCCGGCCTGCAGCAGACGGGCCGGGTACGACGTCAACGGGTGTTTCGGGGTGCTTGTCTTCTTCTCGGTCGACTGGGACTCGTGGATCGCGGTCTCGGCGTCACGGACCACCCCTGCGACAAACTCGTCGACGTGTGCCAGACTCTGCGACACTTCCTCGTCCGCGTTCCACCATGCGTCGAACGACTCGACCAGCTTGAACGCCCACTTTGGCAGGTACCAGAACCGGCCGACCGCGACGAAGCAGTCGACCATGCCCGCGGCGCTCATGGGCTCGGCCAGCTCGCGTTGCACGGCGACCTCCTCGTGCCGGCGGTGGTTGTGCAACTTGTCCTCCTCGGCGAGAGCCCCGTAGCTGGTCCCGAAGAGATACGACGTCACGGCATCCACGGCCAATCCTCGCGTCAGGTTCAAGACATTCACCGGACCTCCGCCGCCGCCGCCGCCGCCGCCGCCGCCGCCGCCCTGCTTCTCGCTCTGCCTCTTCCCCTCGGCCAGCCGGTCCACGAACCGATCCACGCATTTATGGATGACGTCCTGGCCCTGCCTCAAGTTCGCGGTCGAGAACAGCACCGCGACGGCCTTTGCGCGGGGAGCCCGTATCGAAGGGTCCACCTCGGAGAAGATGGAATTATGGACCTGCGCCGAGTCCGGCAGGGCAAAGTTTTCGTAGAAGGCTGGCTTGACAAAGCCCCCCCGCTCCGTGTATATGGGCGCCAGGGCGGCGCCGTCGGAGATGTCGACGCTGTTGGGCCCGTTGCGCACAACAGGTCCGTATTTTCGGTGGAGAGTCTCGACGACGGTCGCCTCGTCGCCGATCCAGGCGTGGTAGGTCAGCCATAGCGAGGAGATGCGAGGGACGAGCGGTCCGGGGATATGCGACAGTGGATGGAACGGGGAGATGCGGTACAGAGCCCGCGCGACGACCAAGGTCAGTGGGACCAGGAATATCGTCCAGAGGGGGTGTGAGAGGATGGTTATGGCCAGTGATGCCAGTAGGCGCCCGATGACGCTGGATACGCCCATTTGGAGAATGTACCACCCTCCGTCTTAGATAGCCAGACAGCTAAACAGACAGTCCTCTCTCCTCTACCTATTCCCGATATATATATAAAAAAGAGGGGGAAATAATGTAGTAAAGGAAATCCAGATCTACGCTGTGAACAAGTACCGAGTACGAGCGAAAGAGAGAGAGAAGGAGAGAGTTACTTTTGAATAAATCAAAAGAGACGCAAGGAAAAAGTTACAATAAATACTATGTCGTTTGTTGCTTTGGTGCCTTTTGAGTCATTATCAAAACCTTGATATCATATCATATCATAACATATCCGCACGGGTGGCCGTACCTGTGTCAATCCTCTCCTCCCCTCCCCTCTCCTCTCATCTCCTGTCCTGTCCTGTCCTGTCCTGTCCTCCACAGGCACAAGTACCTGTACCAGGTGCCAGTACACTACTAGTACAGGGTACAAGGTACAAGGACAAGGACATAAAGTTCTAGAGGCTGGAGGCTGGAGGCTAGAAGCTCTGATCTATGTACATACTTGTGCTTGATTATTGGGAAAACGCGCTGATGACCGCTTGGGGACGGGTGGATAAAGCGACGGCAAACAGAGTGTGAGCGTGGATGTCCTTTTCGAGGGCGGGACCACATGGTCGACACGGCCAGGCGGACAACAGCGTATATGTACAGGTGGACGGGCGTGGACGGGGGGATTGTAGAAATTGGGGTTGTACGTTGATAACGGATGGGCCCCGATCGATTGTAAATGGATGAGGGGTTATAAGGGAGATATTACTTATTGTACTTACTGTAAAACTGTAAAAAGTCAGCAAAACATACCCAGGTAGAGTCAGATACATACTTGTAGGTACGAGTACGGACACCCCTTTCAGTTTCAAGGCTCGGTGGCTGACGGCAGAAGAGCTACAAAATACTTACTGTACCTGTCAATTAAATCTGGTTGTCAGAGGCTGTCGTGCCGTCTTTGTATCTCTTGGTTGTATTCAAGACATCCAGACTAAGTAAGTGGACGAGCAAGCCCTCAACATGGGTTCAATCCAGGGTCCCAGTGCAGGCCATACGGCAGAGTCGAATCGCAAGGTCATTGTCGCGGGTGCCCAGTTGGGCCCGGTCAATGTCGACACCCCACGATCCGAGGCGATGGATCGCATGCTCAAGTTGATGGATGAGGCGCACCAGAAACACGCCAAGTTGATTGTCTATCCTGAAATCGCGCCCGTGACCTTCTTCCCTCGCCATATCCTCGAGGGCGATGAGCTGGAGCAATATTTCGAGCAGGAAGTAGATGGGGACGCGACCAAGGTCCCCACCATCAAACCTCTCTTTGACCGCGCTCGAGAGTACAAGATGGACGTGTACTTTGGGTATGCAGAACACGCCGCAGAGTCGGGCCCCAGCGAACATGTCCATTATAACACGGCTGTCTACTACTCCGGCGAGGCAGACAAGATCATTTCGAAATACCGCAAAGTCCACCTCCCCGGGACGTTTGAGCCCTATGAGCGGAAAGACGCGACCAACCAGCTGGAGAAGAGATACTTTCTCCCGGGAAATCTGGGCTTCGAGGCCTTTCGGGCGCCTGGATTGGTCCCCGATGTGCTGAAGCAAAAGTCGGGCGCAAAAGCCAACGAGGCCGACAGTCTGGGCAAAGGCGACCCCATCGTCGGCATGCTCATCTGCAACGACCGACGGTGGCCAGAGTCATGGAGGCCGTATGGCTTGCAGGGGGCGGAGCTGGTTCTGTGTGGATATAATACGACCGCCTGGGCGCCGGAACTGATTGGGACCAACAAGAAGATCTCGAGCCCGGAAAAGGCAAAGGCAGAAGCTCTGTTCCACAACAAGCTATGCATCACGTACAACAGCTATGCCAACTCCTGTTTCAGCATCAACGTGGCCAAGTGCGGCGTGGAGGACGGCAAGTATCCGTTAATTGGCGGGAGCTGCATTGTCGACTGTGACGGGGAGGTGGTGGTAGAGGCGCAGACGGAAGACGACGAGCTCATTGTGGCCGAAATCGACCTGGGCATGTGCCGCCGCGGGAAGGAGAAGGTGTTTGCGTTTGAGAAGCACCGGAGGATTGAACATTACGGGCGGATTGCAGAACAGACGGGAGTGGTTGAGCCAGATCTGCTGTGAGTCTGAGATGGAAGATAGAATTGGTTGCTCAGTGAGGCAGCTATACGAGGTACAGAAAATGAGCACAAGAGGCGCAGCGCCGTCAGTAGGTGATGCGTAGGTAACTGGCAGTACCTAACAGCAGCTGCCTAGGTAGAGTGGTGCCCATATGTACCTACCTAGGCAGCTAGGTACTCTTGCTCGGCGCCTGGGCCAAAGGACACAACCGTTAATCCTAGTGTCTGGCTAGGTTCGACAAGCACCGAGTAGGTACCTTCTCTAGGCTAGCAACCCCTGGAAGGTCGGCAACGTGGCTGGCGGCGTGCTGGGGCTAGTTCACCACTTGGCTGGCGACCATCTCCTCTCCAGATCCTTGAATGATAAGCGGCACCCAAATATAGCTTAGGCATGTCCGACAGGCTCCAACGCCTCTAACCTCATTCTGCTTCCCCTGGAGATTACCCGCCTCAAAACTGTTTGATGTGCAATTCCCCTTCCCCCGTCGATTACGCAGGTCAGCTGTTTGTGTTGTTGCGAGCCCGAAGGAATTAGACGAGAAAAAGCTAAGTTGGACTTCTCTCGTGGCCTTTTTTCTATTGTTATCGTCTCATCCTCTTCTTCTCACCGTGTCTCCGTGTTTCTCCAACCTTGTACTCGGTACATCCTGACACTGACACCAAGATTCAGGACAACCCCCCGGAGCACAACACAGCCCATTCGAGTCAAGCACGTCATTATTGGCTTCTAACTGGCGTGCCGGAGGATAAAACAGGCTTGGTCCTAGTCCACAGCCAAAGCCAAAGCTCAAAACCCACTCTCACGACGCGAGGGCGGTAACGAGGGCCACTGCAGCACCACAATAATCGCCAGCACCAGGCAAAACCTCGCTTAACAGGTCCGGAGGTCGCATCTTGCTGCTTTGGGTACATACCAAGGAAGGGGGAAAAAGGGACCAAGGAAAAAAACAAAAAAAGAGGAAAGCCATGGCCGATTTGCAACAACAATCGCCTCCCACCATCCTTCAACCTCAGCAAGAAGGACATCCTGTCTCCTTGCGGCCTGGCGGCTCCAGATCTGGATCTCCCCAACCGCAGCAGGTTCTTCTCTCCAGCTACGAACAACTTGAGACCGATCCCGCCATGTCCTCCTATCAGCGTGTCCCATCAGCCGGCTCTGGCAATTTTGGCTCTCAATCACCGCCTCTCCCCCAACAATCACAGGCCATGGCATCGTCGTCGGCCAACATGAATAGCTACACCAGTGCCCGTTTCCCCAGCCAGTACTTTCCACCCCAGTCTCCCACGAATGACCAATACAACCCTGCTGGCAATCCCTTCGCCGATGGGCCAGGGGGCTCACGCTCTCGAAGCAGCACCATCGGTCAGAACTACCCAATCGCCGTCGCGCCACCCATGCCAACCTCCCCTCCCCAGCAACCTGTCCAGCCGCTCTTTGCCCAGCACAGTGGCCACGCCGGTTCGTCATCCCGCCCAGTCTCCCGCTCCGCCGCCTCAAGTGGCCCCGGCTCAATGGGCGGGCCCATGCCCTCGATGCCCACAGGTAGCGGAGGGAGTGGTCCTAGCACCCGCCCCACCAGTGCTAAATCTCCCTTCTCGCCACCCGTCACCTCCCCGCCACGCAGCCGCCCACATCAGGTGTTATTGATCAATCCAAACTCGACGCGCGCCATGACCGAGGCCATGCTCCAGTCCTTGCGACCCGTCATTCCCCAGGGAGTCGAGGTGACAGGTTACACCGCCCCCTACCCGGCACCGACGGCTATCGAGTCCACGACAGACGGAATCATGTCGACGGAAGCCGTGCTGCGAGACCTCGCAAAACACGCTGCGTCGAACGGCGAGACTGTGCAGAACTATGACGGTATGATTGTCGCCTGCTTCAGCAAGCACCCGCTCATCGACGCCCTGCGCGAGTCTTACGATGTGCCCATCATTGGCATCATGGAGGCGAGTGTTTATGTGGCGCGCATGCTCGGTGGACGCTTCGGCATCGTCGCCACTGCGCAGCGTTCCAAGATCAAGCAGGACGATGATATCGCGGCTTACGGGCTCACGCATTTCTACGTCGGGAGCGAAGCCACCCACCTGGGCGTTCTCGAGCTCGAGTCCCGCCCAAAAGAGGAGGTTGCCAAACGCGTCGCGCATTGTGCCCGCGCCTTGGTCATGAAGGGCGCCGACACCATCCTGCTGGGCTGTGCGGGGATGACTGACATGGTCCGAGCGGCCAAGGACGCAGTCAGAGATGAAGACGGGCGCCGGACCGTCAACGTCATTGACAGCGTCGAGGCCGGTGTCATGATGATGAACAGCTTGATTGGCATGGGCATTCCGACCAGTAAGAAGGGCATGTACAAGGGAGAGAAGGAGGGCCGGAGAACACGAGGTCAGAATTGGCTATAAATTTTTCCAGAGGTAATATGCCAGAGTGCTTGCTTGCAGGGACGTTCTTTGGGTTGTGAAATGGATGGATGGATATGCATGCATGTACGTCTTGTTGGCTAAATGAATGAGGGAATGCAATATTTGATCTAAAGGCAGGCAGAGAAGTGCTGTCGAATTGAGAAAATGATCCCCTTTTTTTTGGTCAAGACCTGACTTGGTCACTTGTCCACTTGTCCACTTGCCCTCGTCTCTATACTCGCGTACTGTTTAAAGAATAGACTATCACACCGTCTGGACACACTACGACACGTACGGCACGTACGACACATGGCATGAATGCGTGGATGCGTGGGTGCGTGTACCAAAGCATGAAGAGGTAAGTAAACGAGGGAATAATTGACTTCTGGTTCTGGTGTTGGATATGCTCGCTTGCTTACTTGCTAGGTAAGTAGGTAAGTAGGTATGTAGGTTACTAACTCCTTGATTACTACGTATGTATGTATGGTATGTATGTAGGTAGGTCATAGATAATAGACATGCAGGGTTAGGGAACCAGTGGCTGGTTACAGCCCCGTCATCTCGTGCCATTGAATCGGATACCTATGGAGGTCTATCCCCGTCCGGTCCAGTCTATGCCTAGTGGTGAGGACCCGCGGCTCTCCTCTCACGGCCCGAGATGAGATAGATGCTGGCGCGCATGTCGAGGAGGGGGTCGTCGCTGGGCTGGACGCCGTCGATGCGGGGCACGGGGTCGAAGATGGTTGTGCGCTGTTTCTCGTCGTTGTCGTCGGCCACGGACTCGACCTTGATGGTGCCCAGCTTGGCCAGGCGGCGCTCCTCGGGCCACTGGAGGGTCACGTCGTTTGTCGGGTCGCCGTCCTCGCCGACCTGGCCCCACAGCGTAAAGGACGCGCCGCCGTCGATGATGCGCGTCTGGATCTCGTTGTGCAGGAACGCGGGGTCCTTGCCCTCGGCCTCCTCCTTGGTCAGGTGCGACTCCCCGGCGTCCGGCGTGATGCGATACCGCACAAACGTGCCCGTGCCGTCGGCCGCGACGAGCTTGAACGCGTTGAGCCCGAAATACTTCTCCGTCGCGAAGCTCGCCGGCGTGGGTTTCGGCGCGAGCACGAACGTCGCCGCCGAGGGCGTCTTGCTCAGATACACTTCGATCGGCGACGGTTTGGGGGCGTCCGGCGCCGAAGACGCGCCGACGGCCTGGAGAAATTCGAGAAAGTCTTCGCCCGTGCGCACGGGGAAGAAGGGCGTCGAGTGCGCAATGATGTCGGTGTGTTGGCGGCGCCCGTCCTTCTCTGGCAGAACGAAACGGACGGCGATGCCGTGCGGGTTCGCGTCGCCCGCATTATCGGGGATCTGGGGGATCCCTGTCGAGTTTGAGAACCGGACGATGATGGGTGTGGAACTGGCGTTGAAGTGATGCGCCACGCTCAGAGAGCCGGCCTCTGAAGTAGGTGTGAATGTGCCATTGAGGAGGATGCCTCGAGCGTGGGCTGATGGGGTGTGTGGTTAGCCCTGCCATAAACCAATTCTGCGGGATATGGACACAGGAGCAGGAATCAATACATACCTGGTCTGAAGCCCGGTGGTGTGTGAAACGCCCCTTGTAATGTCTTGACCAGGGTGGCAGCGGTGTCGTTGGTCTTGTCGTTGGTAGAGAGAGGCATATTGAGAATTGAGTAGGACTGTAGTTGAATCTGTTGGAAACTCGGAGGGACTTTAGGTGCGTAAAGCCAGGCAAGTTCTTCTTCTCCGTCACTCTCTTGTCCTCATTCCCCTCCCACCATTCTCCCATGTTTATATAACCGTCCTCTGAGTGCTTTTTCTCCCTGGAGCAATCCAAACCGGGATCCAGTCCAGCCCAGCCTAGCATGCCAAATACCCAGCCGACATCAGTCAGCGGGCATGACGCGACGGACCAGTGAGGACAGCAGTATTACCATTCTCAGCTGCACCGTTGCGCAGTCATTGGACGAGTATTGGGCGCGTCGTATTCCTAACTCGCTCAGGTTCATGCACAGGCTTAGTCAGTTGAACAACGGCACCCACCAGCATCATGGCTAAGCTTATCGCTCCCCCCTCTTCGCAGGCGGTTGATTAGTTATAACCCACAATTTGTCAAATAGAACTCGGTGCCAAGTCGGTCCCTGAGGCTCCATGGTCTAATCCGACCGCGATGTTACCCCTCCCGGAGGCCGGTTCGTCTCTGTTTGTGGTAGAGGATGGGAAGCGGGAAAGCCCCTCGATCGCGTGGGTGTCGGTCAATTTGAAATGGGAATTGCGTGCTCGATAGAACTGGGGGCTAATTGTGAACCTAGACCCGCGAGCTTTCTGTCAGTTCCACTAGGCTTTGGATTGTCCTCATTCTCCGAGCGTCTAGATGCACAATGGATATCGAGCCTGTTTGGAGGAAGAAGCCAATAACGGATTCGGGGTATGTGTGGTCTTCACATGCACGGCAATTCAATCAGTGGACGTGAAACCCGCAGTCTGAGTACTCCACCATACTGGGACTGTGTATGACGTCAATCCTTATCGATAAGAAAATGTACTTTTATCGGTAACGGAAAAATGTAAACAATCTTCCTATAAACCAATCCTTGTCCGCCTAATTATGGTACAGGGCAGGTAATGGGAGATTTGCTACTGCACTAGAGCAAGAGCAGGCAAGTCTACATGATAAGAACTATTAGCTTGGTACGACCTTTCAACAGTGACCGGTCGTTTGTCTTTGGAGACTATAGCACATGCTGCGTCGAGACATATGGCAGAAGGGGGTGCATATCTGCCTCGACCCATCTTAGAATGGTCGTCACTGCGAGCCTGACTCTTTCAATGCTTCTCTCTCATTTTTGGTCCACATCCATCCTCAATGCATCTATCCATATCGTTCATTTCGTAAACGTATTCACCGGTAATCGATAGACATCGATTGTCCAGTACGGCCGTCTGGTGCCCTCCCATTGCTTGCTGCCATGGAGACCTGCAGGCACGGCGATGTCTTCCCACGCGGTGTCAAACCCGGCCTGACGAAGGTCGATTTCCGCAACCTACCACATTCATTAGTTAGTCTGTTCTGTTGTGGATTGCTCCTTCTCAATACGCCTCCCGCTCCAAGGTGCAAGGAAATGCCCGCAAGTCATAACATACCTTGGTATACACATCGTAGCAGATCTGCCGGTCCGCTCCCAGTCCGTTGTACCATCCGAATTTCCCCGTCGGACTCAGCAGCTGGACGACGTATTCGGAAAAGAACTCCCTCAGAGCCTTGTAGTCCTCGGCAAAGGTATCGTAGTAGATCGCATCGAGTTGTACGGTGCCCTTCTCAACCAGTTTCGGTAGCACGTCCTGCCACCTTCCCTCGTGGATGATGACGCTGGGCTTGTCATACCAGCCCTGGTCGCGTAGCCGCTGGAGCACTTGAGGATGTGCTTCGACAATGTGATGTTCGGACGGGCTGTGTGTCTGGATGGCTGTGTCGACGATGCCCATGCCGTGGCCCACGTTCATCACCTTGAGGCCGGACTTGGGGATCAGGGTCTCGGCGTGGCGCTGCATGATCTGAGTCTCCCAGTCCATCATCACCGCGTTGTCACTCTCGTCCAACAATATGCCGGGCTTGTACCGGAGTTGGCTCTTCAAGTATGCTCGGTTATCGAGCGAGACGTCATCAAGCGGTTTCTCTTCGGTCGCCTGCTCGACTCCGTGGCCTTGTCCATCAGAAAGTTTCCGCCTTTTCGATGCTGGAATTGTGTCACCTGTCTCCTCATTATCGTCGCCGACGTCATTTTCATCCTCATCCTCATCCTCGTCCACGCCCAATCCAAGGCTCTCAAGCTTAGAGAAGAGAAGTTCAGCCCGCACACCAGCATCCACCATCATGTCGTAGATCTTCCTCTGCCCAAGCCGAAGCGCAATGCACCCTGGCGTCTTGTCCTCGCCGTTCAAATCATTCCAGATGGCACCGTTCTCCAAGAGCAACTCCACAGTTCTAATCGCGTTTGCATCCGCCTCTTTCCCATCCTCAGCGTTTCCGCATGCCGCAATCGCAGCGTGGAGCGGGGACGACGCTACAGGTGCAGAGGCATCCTGCACATTCGCCGACCCGTCTTTGAGCAGGACCTCTAGGGCAGCCACGTCGTGTCGAGCTGCAGCGGAGATGATGCGCCTGGCGAGGAGGACGTCTCCTTCCGAAGTTTCTTCTGCCATCTTTGCTTACCAGTTGTTATGTCTGGGAATGTCTGACGTGAAGAAGAATCTCTGCCCAAGAGGTATCAGGTGTCTGGAAGGTGGATTGGAAATTTTTCCCACATACAAGTTCTGATGTAGTAGGTGAGGCGACGGTTAGTGGCTTCTAATTCACTGTCTACTAACCCATTACGGATGGAAGAGTGGCGTTAATGAGTATTTACCCTGCATCTGCCACCTGCTTAGGTCATAAGAGTGGAAACACTCCTCGCTCAGTTGCCCTATCGCCTTCCACTCACATCTAGGACATATAAGCCCAATCCATCCTCTTGTTACAGCGCTACAGGAGGACAGAGTATAGACACCGAACTGAAAAAGCCTGGACGGCTGTGGCGCTCTCGAGAACTTCTCCCTCTATATGCGATGTGATTCCCTGCTGCTTTTATAAAGTGATACCCATGGCAGTGCTCAAACCCACGACGCTCGGATCGGGCTTGTAAAGATGCCATTCCTTCAGAACGGGTCCGGACCCGGACCAGACCTCCAGAATAGAAACCGATAACTATTAATATCGACTCTTCTGACAATGTCTCACCCGTGAGAGCCTAACAGGACCGGCCGCGCACTTGGTCTGACCATACTGAGGGTGAAAGGCATCTCATTGAGAGCCTTGTGGCATGATATCAGGTCGCACTGCCAAATCAGGTAATACAAGATCTATTTATTGTTCGAGGTACGAGTTCCCTAATTGTTATACTCTAGGAGTTGGTCTCCGTCACTACCACTTTTTTGGTGCTTGTGCCCGCCGCACCAGTCGCAGGGATCCTCCCCTTGTACTGCGGAATCCACTCATTCTCGAATTTACCTCTCGGCTGTCTGAGGCTGTTCTCGACCCTCTTTACAAACGTCCCGAGGCTTTTCTCGCCGACGACGCCACCCTCGTCTCTGGCCCAGACCACCTGGCCTCTCACAATCGTGTACCTGGGCCAGTTCCCGAACCGCACGCCCTCAAATGGTGTGTAGTCGCACGTATGGTGTAGCATTTCGTTGGTCAGGTCAAACGGCTGGAATGTAGAGCCGGGTTTGCTGTCGTTGTACCAAATGGTGATGTCGGCATCGTATCCAGCAGCCAGTGTGCCCTTGGTGTTCAAGCCGTACAGTCGTGCAGGATTGGTCGAGGTAACTTCGACGTACTTTTGAATGCTGATCCGCCCGTCCTGTACGCCCTTGAAGACCAGCGGGCACCGCGTCTCTACGCCAGGAAGACCATTGGGGATGTCTGTGAATCTAGAAACCCCGTCCTTCAGCCCCATCTGCTTTCCCAGTGGGTGTTGGAACGAGAATGGGCAATGGTCGGAGGAGACGGTCGTAAATGTCCCGTTAGCGATCCCCTCCCACAAAGCATTGAGATCATCGTCGCTGTCCCTCAGTGGCGGGCTGCACACGTATTTCGCGCCTTCGAAGTTTTCGCCTCGTAGGCGATCCTTGAGCAGGTACAGATACTGCGGACAAGTCTCGGCGTGTATGGGCAGGAGTTTCGTCTGCGCCTCGCGGATATGCCGTGCGGCGATCGCGGACGAGATGTGCACCAGCAGGATCGGTGTGTCCATTAACCGTGCAAGCGAGATGGCACGATACGTCGCTTCGTCTTCGGCGACTTTGGGCCGTGCGACAGCGTGGTAGTACGGATCGCCCTTCTTCTGCTCATAGAGCTGTTCGATAATCATCTCAATCATGTCCGCATTCTCGGCGTGCATCATCGTCGTCATGCCCAAAGCCCGGGTGGCGAGCATGATGTCCAGAATTTGACGGTCGCGGAGCTTCAGGGGATCATAAGTCATGTAGAGCTTTACCGAAGTTATGCCCTGTTCCACCAGAGTGGGAAGCTCCTCCTCGACGATAGATTTAGTTGGGTTTGTTAAAATCATGTGGAAACTATAGTCACAATAGGAGAGCCCTGCTGCCTTTTCGAGTTCAGGTCAGAAAGCTGTACAAATCAAAGGGCACTTAAGACTCACCTTCTTGTGGTACGCCTCCACTACAGGAAGTACACTTTCGTCAGTCTTCTTCTGGAAAGCGAACGCCACAACTGTGGTGGTGCCACCAGCAATAGCACTCCTGGTTCCATTTTCGAAGTTATCGCCCAAAGCGCCGTTGATGTGCTGATCCAAGTGGACATGGGTATCGACACCACCCGGTGTTACATATGCACCATCAGCGTCGATGACTCGCGCTGCCGTGAAAAGCCCTTGAAGAGCACCAATGCAAACAATCTTTCCATTCTTCACGGCAATATCAGATGCTGGCGGATAGATCAAGTCACTTGAAGAGACCTGTGAGTAACTGTGAGCAACGACTTGTTCTTCAAGATACTTGACACGACCTACAATAACTCCATTTGTAACCAGGAGGTCGCACTCCAGGGCAGGAGGTGCATAGCTACCCATCGGTTTGGTATGTCAAGGCCGAAAGTTGACTGGTTTGTCTCCTGATGATGCTGTAGCTGGTGACTTGAAATTTGAAGAACTTTTGGCAACACGAAGCACCCAGAGCCCGCACCAATGATGGTGAGAAGCCGACAAGTCCATTTTTGTTTCTCGCACGACCCATTGTACGACTTCCACCTTCGGGACTGGTCCTGACTGTCGGAATTGCCGATAAATCCCGTTAGGAACTTCGTGAATCAATGTGCAATTCGAAACCCGAAAGTATATAGCAGATACCTGATAAGCTTGATGGCGATTGGTCAATATACAGGCTCATATCTGATTCTGGACGTTGCCGGGAACTTGATCGGCCATTCTCCGCTAGCGCTGCGCGTTCCTCCGTGATCACTTTTCGGTGTTGGACACAGGAATTGATGCTCTGTTGACCGATAATTTGCTGTTATTGGATTCTCACAGTTATCGCGGACTTGACCATCCGACTCCAGTCGACTCCAAACGACTCCAATGTGGAACTTTGTTTCGCACGTGGGACTCCAGATGGTATACTTGGCCAGGCGGGCAAGGGGCAAGGGACATGCTTGCCCAGCCTTGCTAAGTGCCGACTTGCGAGTTTGTATCAGGTGAAAGGCTTTGATCTGTGAGAATTTAGTTCTGGGACCCCGTTTTGTGCCAGATATGCGCCTGAGTGAACGACGGTCTTGAGCGGTTGTTATCAGCCGCCTTCGATAAGATCCACCAGAAGTCGTCCGTCTGGGCCCTTGTCTTGCTGGTTGGAGAAAGATAAGTTGCCCGGTTCCGTAGAATGCTTTTTGTAGACCCCTATATAAGGAGGCAATCCGACGATCGGCACAAGTCCGAACGTGGTTTTGGAGGGAAGACTGGCTCAGCCCATCATTCCCTGACAAGAGCTCTATTGCACAAACAACCCAGCCATGGGGTTCAAACACTTTTGGGACGAGCATGTAGTGCTCAAACCGCATCCTGGCTCCTTTGGGGCAGATGAACCTGATGCGATCAAATACACCAACGAGGACATGGACCCGATCAAACGAAAAGATCGAACCTATGAGTGGTACCAAATGGGATTGTTTTGGATAGCCGAAGGTTTCAACGCAGCACAACTGGAAGTATCAAGCTCAGCCTTCTCTCTCGGACTGAACCCAGGGCTCTGTGTGGTGGCGTGCTTGATTGGCAACATTATCGTCTCCATTCCCTGCGCTGCGTCCGGATATCTAGGTAGCAAGCTGGGGACAAACTTTCCTGGCACAGTCAGAGCGTCGTTCGGTATGTTAGGGTCCAAATGGGCCATGGTCGTGAGAGGGGTGCCGTGTATCATCTACTACGGCATCCAAGTCAGTCTCGCTGGTCAAGCGGTTCAAGCCTGCACTACAGCCATCTGGCCGTCTTTCGCTCACTGGGAAGTCAACGCAATTCCAGCCTCGGCCAACGTGACGGCGCAACAAATTTTGTGCTTCTCCATCTTCTGGTTGATATCGTTGCCGTTCCTGTACCTGCCGATCAAGACGTTGCGATACCTGTTCATTGTCAAGAGTGTTCTGGTGCCTCTTTTTTGGGTGGCCCTGTTCACATGGTCAGTGACTGCTGCGCGCGGTTGGCCTGAAGTTTGGAGAGCACCGAGCAAGCCCCTAGACGGATGGAGTGTGGGCTACCTTTTCGGTATATGCGTCAACGCTGCAATTTCCGGTAACGCTACCTTTGCTGTCAACATCATGGACATATCGCGGCACTCAAAGAACGACACCGCAGCATGGGCTACCCAGCTATTCGCCTTGCCTGTGCTGGTGACCTTGACCGAATTCCTCGGCTGCACCATGGCAGTGGCCTCGTCAGTTGTATATGGCGAGGTGCAATGGAATCCTTTGGTGGTGATCAACAACTTCGATAATCGGGCTGGGAAGTTCTTTGCGGGTGCCTGCTTCATCTTCTTCAACATCATGACCAACGTCACAGGTAACTCGGTCCCTCTGGCCAACGACTTGACGGGATTGTTCCCCAAGTACATCAACATTCGCCGCGGACAGTTCATCTGTGCGGTGATATCGTTCGCCATCTGTCCATGGGAGATTCAAGCAAAGGCGACCACCTTTTTGGCATTCTTGGGTGCATATACGCTGTTCCTCGGTGCGACAACAGGAGTCATCATGATGGATTATTTCTGGGTCCGCCGCGGATACGGCATCAACATTTCGCATCTCTTCAAACCCCGGGGTATCTATTGGTATAAGTATGGGTGCAACTGGCGTGCATTCGTCGCGTGGTTTGTGGCCATCGCTCCGCTCTTCCCAGGGATGCTATTCTCAATGGGTGTACCGGTTCACAATCGAGGCATTCTCAATATGTACTCGTGGAATTACGTCCTCGTGGTCGTCTTCTCCGGCTTGGTGTATTTCATTTGCACGACCCTCTCGCCCGTACCAGTCAGACCGGATGACGGTGAAGAGGACTACGGCAAGTTGTATCTCCTCGACGGGTTGGAGGTAGCAAGTGAGAGCAGGACACCAACCGAGTATACCGACCGGGACATTGAGAAGAGTGAAAAGATCGTCTCCGAGACGCATGTAACTCCGGCGGCAATACAAACAGTAGGATGAATTGTGGAAGGAGGTTGACCACGTATGTATGAAGACAATCAAGACGCTGTAGACGCATATATAGAGACGACCAAGTTTGCCAAGCCCGTCGTTGTTAGGCTTGGCTGGCACTTAATAATCACTGTAGGTATAGCACATTACAGGTCTCGATCCATTAATACATGTGCTCCAATCTGCCAGCAGTGATCCCGTAATACTTGCCCTCCCCGTCATGCTGTCCCATATTTGGTCAATTGAGGGGATCCTTCACTCGGCGGTGCACTGAACTTGGTCTGCACATAGACTTTCTGGAGACCCTTCTCACGCGCATCGTACCGCTTGTACACTTCCTCCAACTCTTCCAATAACACACGATGGCTGACCATCTGCAAGACATCCAAGCTACCATCTTGTATCTTCTTGAGGAGATCTTCCCAGTACAAGTGCACAGGAGCTTGGCCGTTGCCGATCAGCCGAATACCACGTTCCATGAGCGACCCGATGTTGAAGTGATTCGTGTAACCAACATACACGCCTGTGATACCGCAGCGGCCAAAGTTCTTGACGCTCATGATCATCTCATTGACGATTTCCGAAGTGTCTGTCTCAGCACCAAGGAGCAGCTCGAAGTAATGAGCCCAGCCCTTCGCATACTCGCCCGCCACACATTCAATGGCGACATCGGGACCCTGGTGTTCCATCTTCTTCAATGTTGAAACAATGTTTTCGCCCTTGGGAAGGTCGGTAAAGTTGATTGTGTCAACCTTGGGGAGCTTGGATTTGACAAAGTCGAGGCGCCATGACGCCTCACCGCCATCAATGATGATCACACGTTTAGCACCGCACATGAACGACATGGCTGCACACATCTGGCCGATGGGACCTGCGCCCCAGATAGCGACCACATCACCTTCCTTGACTCCCGTGTCGACGACGGCATTCCATGACGTGCTCAACACATCCGAGAGGAAGAGGCCTTTCTCATCGGGCACGTTGTCAGGCAGTTTCAAAAGGTTGGTATCGCCGTAAGCCACACGGACGTATTCTGCTTGCCCGCCAGCATAACCACCGGTGAAATGTGAGTAGCCCAGCATGCCCGCCGTGCGACCGCCATACATGATGTTCTCGATCTTGTTGTCATTGGTCTTCTCGCATTGGCTGCTCAATTTCCGTTTGCAGTACATGCAGCTGCCGCATGCGATCTGAAAGCTGCACACCACGCGGTCCCCCGGCTTCACTTTGCTGATCTTGGGGCCCACGCTGTCCACCACGCCACAGAACTCGTGGCCGAGAATATCGCCCTTCTGAAGCTCAACCACCACACCGTGGTAGAGATGCAGATCTGAACCACAGACCGTTGACCCTGTGACTTTGACAATAACGTCCGTGTCTTCAATTTTTGCAGGTTTGAAAGTCTCGACAACTTTTACGCTGTTCTTTCCATTCCACACAAGTGCTTTCATCTTTTCACCAGAAGGGTCCGCATATTTTTCAACATCTTTCGAAGGATTGGTGAGGTTCTGTTCGGTAGTAGCATCGCCTGTATGGCCGATGATCTTTTCAACAACGGCTGCTGCCTGGGAAAGTGCCATGGTGAGGATATGCGAAGGTTATCTGTGCTAGTCAAATACTTCTGAGGGCCAGGGACTGTGGTAAGGGACAGGGAGAGGTCTAGAAATGCGCAATTGCTTTGGTTATATGAGTTCCCTCATTACAAGCCAAATTGGGGGACTCGTTCACCGTTGATGTTTTCATCATGACATCACGTACTCAGACGCGCCACCAGCTCATGGGTGCTCGACCCCCGGCTGCGGTCTCCCGACTGGGAGGTCTATGAGATAATAATTTGTCGGAGGATATTTCCGCTGCAAGCGATCTGGTACTGCGGATAAGGATTGTAGAGTTGTGAGGATTTGCTCGAGATCTATCCTTTCAAGCCAGCCATATCGAACTCTTTCGTTCGGGGCATCCACTTCCCGACCCGAGAATCTTCTCAGTGAAAGTCAACTTGAATGTTTCAGGCTGTGGAAGAGTATCGATCGCGGGCTCGGAGAGTTGGGTGCTGACATCCATAACGAAGTGTTCGTGTTGGGTGTTCATTTGTTTACCAGGAAGAGTTGACATTGGACTCGCAGGCTGTTTCTTAGGGGGGCACGTGATGCTTGTTAGGAGTGATCCTGCAGGGGTTGGAGGGGCAGATGGTGCAGGTACAAGGCTCGGCAGCGACAAACCCGCGTTTTCAGGGTGGCCATGGGGCGGATTGTCAGTGGCTTGGGCTGATGCGGGCGAGTGACAGGCCTACGTAGACATCAACATCCGAGATCCAAGAAATCAACAACTGCGACGAGATACCTCCCCAGCAGTAGTCACTCTCATTCTGACGCGACATCCTCATCGTTGGCAAAATATTTCTTTCGCTATTCACATTTATCTTATCGACAGCCCATCGATCATCTAGTACGCCAACAGTGCATCGCAATAGAATTCCTGCTAGATTGAGCAACTCACATTCAGCCAGCCCTTTCCATCCGCATCCCACAGGCGTCTTACCGTCTTAGCCCCCCGTCTGCCTGTCCAGGCTTTGATTTCCTCGAGCTCAGCCTCCTCTCACGGTTCATCTCGCCGAAATCGACCCTAGAGGCAATACTTGCCTGAGTCTCAGTTGGTGGAGTTCTCAAAATGTCACCGCCTGGGTGACAGCGGAATTCGAGCCCAAGCCGTGATCACCACTCATCCACCTGCGCACTCGAACTTCAGAGAATGAACTTTCAGCGATAACCACAGCAGAGAAATATGGAGCAAGGAACAGATGCTGCTTCAATAAAACCTGTCTCTTCCCTGAGATCTCACTTCGAGGGTCTTAAAGTCAACCTCCCGCAGCCTGACAACCGTGGCAGCATCCCTGCATCTCCGCAAGCATTGAAACCGATCGACAGGCCCAGTCCGCTACCACCTCAGAGAGCCTCCTTTGATCTATCTCGGCCGACATCGCCATGGGCAGGTGCAGGAGGAGGGCATACCAACTACGCAGGACCACAAACTCCCGTCAAGGGCACCGAATCACCCCCCAAATATGGCCACCGGCGGCCCATGTCCATGCTCCTGCAATCCTCCCCACAGCTGACTCCGTCTGTCAAGATAGACTCTCCGCAGTCACCTCCGCGCACGTTCTTTGAGCGAAGCTCTTCCAGATCTCCTGAGCGGGTGGACAATACTCCTTTTGGAAAGGTGCGCGAACTCATATCCCAACATTCGAGTCGCTCTTCGACCCCGGCACCTCGAGGGCCCAGTGCAGATCGCTCGGACACGGCGAAGACGCTGGATCCTGCACACTCTGGTACTGAATCGCACGATGAAAAACCGAAAGCCGGTCCTCCTCCGGTCAATCGAGCGGACAAGCCCAAGATTCCTGCCAAGCCATCTGTGATGTCTGTCCCAGCAGGTAATGTGCTGAATCCAGAGGTGCGAAGACCTTCATTCGAAGCACGAGTATCACCGTTCAGCACACCGCCGAGCAGTGATGAAAACTCTCCAGCGCAAAGTCCAGACATATCGGCCCCATCATCGACCAAACCCTTGGCCCCTGCAACAGTCCCGGCCAAAGTGGCCCAGTCCAAAGTTCCTTCTTCTGAGGCAAATTCTGCGCGCCCAAAGGATGCTCGAATGTTTGGATTCTCAAGCACGTCGTCCGTGCCCGAGAGAAAGGACCCTAGGACTTTGGGCTTTACAGCACCTGAGCCACGACCACCAAGTCACGGAGCAGCCCTACCGTCAAGAGCAAATACCGTCTCCGAGAAGCCTACTAGAGACCCTCGTGAGCTGAGCCTATCAAATGGTAAACCAGCACAGCGCCACGTTTCGGAGACCATGCGACACACACCTCCACCTCCATCACAGATCGCTCCCGCACAGCCTCCACGGACGAACACCATACGTGATCCTCGTCTGCTTGGCTTTTCTAGTGCCCAGCCTTCGTCAGTGGAAAAGATAGCGGAAGAAGAACCACACCCTAGTCTACCTCCTCGAAGGAACATTGAACCTCCTCCGCGTCCATCCAATGAGTCGAAGAATACGCCACGGCCTATACAGCCACCAAGCCATGTGGCGACACCAGACCGTTCCAAAAAGCCTCCATCTGCCCAGCAATTGCCACGTGCACCCACCCTACCTGTTGACTTGCATTTCCCTCCGCCACCGAAGCGCACTAGTATCGATGAGCGCGTGCTCCATCAACCAACACCAACGCAGAGGTCTCAGACGTTTGCTGGGGATTTCTCGAGGCGTTCCTTAGCAAATATGAATGCCGAAGACTCCGATGAAGCAGAGGAACCGCTTGAAGAGCCTACCACCTCTCGATCCGAGTATCCGGATGCTACTCGTACCAATCGGCGGCCTCCGTTCAGTAAAAGCAGTCTTTGGGAGATAGGCACGAAGTCAGACTCCCGGCTTGCTGAAGTCTGCGGACAGTATTTGTGTACGGCTGGCTATGTGACTCGTGTATTTGATATGTCTTCAGGAGAGCAGATCATGAGCATTAACCACGGCGAAACAGTCAAGGTGACGGCTGTGGCCTTCAAACCTGCAGTAGATCTCGCAAACGAGGGAACAAGACTATGGCTAGGTTTGAATACTGGCGAGTTGATGGAGGTCGATGTTGCGACACATACCGTGATGACAACCAATTCGTCACACAATCGTCGAGAGATTGTGCGCATACTCCGGAACCGAAGGGACTTGTGGACAATCGATGACGATGGGAAACTTTTTGTGTGGAAGGCCGATGAGACAGGCGTCCCCAATCTCAAATACAGCCATATTTCCCACAAAGTTCCACGGGGACATACGTTCTCCCTGGCAATTGATGGCAAACTCTGGTATGCTTCAGGGAAGGAACTACGAATATTCAAACCAGGAAATGAAAGCTCATTTGCTGCCTTGACATCACCATTGTCGCAACATGGGAACGGGGACGTCACCTGCGGAACATACTCGAACGAAGATAAAGGAAGAGCATATTTCGGTCACATTGATGGGCGAGTGTCGATATACTCGACCAAGGACTATTCCACTATCGCCAACGTCAAAGCCAGCGACTACAAAATTAACAGCCTGGCTTTTGTTGGAGGCCAGTTATGGGCTGCATTTAAAACGGGAATGGTCTATGTCTATGACACTTCCAGCTCGCCCTGGAAAACCCAGAAGGATTGGAAAGCGCACGACGGACCCGTTACTCAACTCCTCTTCGATCCAAGCAGTGTTTGGACCCTTCAACAATTGCAAGTTGTCACGATCGGACATGACAATTTTGTAAGGCTTTGGGACGCTGCCCTCGAAGACGATTGGATCGAAATGGAGATGCAGCGCCGCAGTAGCGAATATTGCAAGTTTCGAGACGTCCGAGCCGCTGTTGTCACCTGGAACGTCGGTGCGTCGACGCCTTCCAATCTCCGCGACGATTTCATTATGGAAGCAATCCACGCATACGATCCACCGGAGATCCTGGTATTTGGGTTTCAAGAAGTAGTTGATCTGGAGGATCGTACTGTAACTGCAAAGAGCATTTTTGGATTCGGCAAGAAGAAGGATACCGTCAAGACGGAACAACACCAGAGTCGTGTCTATCGCGAGTGGCGAGACTATCTCAGCAAAGTCATTAGCCGGTCCACCAGCAGACACTATGAATACTCGGAACTTCACCTCTCCAGCTTGATCGGGCTCTTCCAGTGCGTGTTTGTCAGGCAAAGCGAGCGGCCAAATATCCGAAACCTCCAAGCTGCGAGTGTCAAGCTCGGGTTGAAAGGCCGCTATGGTAACAAAGGAGCGCTCGTGACCCGTTTCATATTGGACGACAGCTCTGTATGCTTCATCAATTGCCACCTTGCAGCTGGCCAGACTCACACGTCACACCGGAACAACGACGTCGCAGCCATCTTAGAAGCCGAAGCTCTGGATGCAGAACGTGACCCTGAGGTGCGCAGTTCGATTTATATTGGAGGCGGTGACGGAACACAAATCCTTGACCATGAAATATGCATTCTGAACGGTGACTTGAATTACCGCATCGATGCCATCCCGCGAGACGCTGTCATCAACATGATCAAGCGCAACGAACTGGATACACTTCTGAAAAAGGATCAGATTATGCTTTCGCGTCGGCGTGTCTCAGGGTTCCGTTTGGCCCAGTTCGTCGAGTTACCTATCACTTTTGCGCCCACATACAAATACGATGTGGGAACAGATGACTATGACACCTCCGAGAAGAAGCGCGCGCCAGCATGGTGTGATCGACTCCTCTATCGTGGTCCAGGACGGATAGAGCAGCTGGAATATCGCCGCCATGAGGTGCGAACGAGCGATCATCGGCCTGTCAGTGGTGTCTTTAAACTCACGGTAAAGACAATCGATGCGCTAAAACGGACCAAAGTCAAGGAAGATTGCTTTGAGAAATTCACCGAGGTACGCAGGTGGATGGCGGAAAAGGCGAGCGTCGAGTACTTGGTTACCGTGTTGGGCGTCGCCGAACAGGAAGCTAAGCGGCTCATAGCAGCCAGATGAAGTGATGATTGATGCTAGTATTCGACATGAAAAAGTGGTATAGTGACGGGCGCTGAAAGCAAAGGAGTCTATTCGGTTCGATTAGAAGAACCGGGGAAGCACGGGATCAACTGGGCTCACCATGTCTGCTGGCTTTGCGCGCGACATTAGGAACGGGTTGTCGCCATATGTGAGCCCCTTGTATAATGGGACATTGACAAACTGCGCCATCTGGGCGGATTGGAAACGCCGTCATGTATCTACAAGATGAAGATCACCTACCTATTAGACAGCGGGACATTGAGTTCAGTTCCAGTGGTTCCAGTGGTTCGACGCTTCAGACACCACCCACTGCACTTGGTACGAGTAGATGGCCCTTCTTGCCATGTTCTTGGACCTCTTAACGGTTCAGCATCAAGACGTGATTTGTCACGAGAATCTTGTTCCAATCTCGGCGAATGTTGCTTGGTTCGTGGGTGACTGACTGCGCCTCATTCACGAACATCATCCCCCCGCCATCGCCCGCCCACCAACCAACCTGCGCCCCTCGTCGAGATTCCCTCATCCGCGTCTTCCATTTGCCGCTCATTATCGACACAACCTCCATCCATATTTCACTCCCTCTGGTACCTTCCTCTTTCCTCCTTTTTCTCCCATCTCCGTATCTTTTGTTGCGCCGACATCGTCTCTTTCCCGATGACGGATTTCGCTCCGCCCACTGGACCGCCTCCTCCGAAGGTGCCGGAAGGGTGGAAGGCCGTTTTCAACGATCAATACAAAGAATGGTACGAAGCCTTGTGGCCCCGAGTAATCTACTGCTCGTCTTAATCGTTTATCCTATGTTTTCTTCCTATGACGAAGCTCGCTGACACTGCGCGGTTGGCCTCAGGTTCTACGTCAATCTCCACACCAAACAATCGACGTGGGAGAAACCTACTGCGCCGGCCGTGCCTGCAAACGATGACGCTCCGCCTGGGGCGCCTCCACCGTCCTACTCCGCCGGTCGGGATGCCCCCCAAGTGTCGGACGCAAAGCGCCCGCTAGAGTCGAACAATCCATACAACAACACGAGCAGTCCGGCCACGGGCTCGCGCGAAACGGACGAAGAGTTGGCTCGACGTCTTCAAAGTGAAGAGAACACCCGCGGCGCCGCCGACACATACTATAACTCCAGCGGTTCTGGTGGCCCCAATCCTCCTGGCATCCAAGGCAACTACCCCGGCGCTCCGACCTCGCCTTCGAACCAGCTGCCTCCGCGACCAGAGAGCGCCGGCAAATCCAAGGGTTTCTTTGGCAAATTGCTTGGAAAGTCGAGCAGCAGCAGCAGCCCCTCACCCTATCCGCAACAGCCACGTCCCGGCTCTGGATACCCTCCCCAGCCAGGAGGATATAACCCAGGCTACTCACCCGGTCCTGGGTATGGTCCTCCTCCCGGTGCCGGATACGGCGGGTATGGGCCACCGCAGGGCTATGGGGGATACGGACAACCTGGTCCCGGCTACGGCCCTGGGCCGGGGTATGGCGGTTATCCAGGATACGCGCAAGCTCCACCTAGAAGGTCTGGTGGTCTCGGCGCCGGAGGAGCAGCGGCTCTGGGCCTCGGAGGTGGTCTGCTTGGTGGTGCATTGTTGGCTGATGCCTTTAACGACGGCCAGCAGGATGCCTACCAGGAAGGCTACCAGGACGGAGCTGACGGCGGCGGTGGAGACTTTGACGGTGGTGGCGACTTCTAAGGGATCAAAAGCAGATATTGTGCAGGGACAATTGCAAGAGGGCCTGGCTGGAAGTTGCTCGAGTATCACGCACTTGAAGGGCGAGCTGTTCTCGGAAGCGAGTGCAGTCAGGGATGAAGGGCTCCATAGGTGAAAGAATGAATTCTCAAGGCAGGCATGCAACACATGGAAGCAGCCTAGATCTGTAAGAAGACAATGTCATGTCAAAAACGACTGTTGAATTAGAGTCATGGCAGAGGCCAGCCACGTCCTTGGATGACCGAACCAGAGCCTGATTGCGATTGGCATCGGACAGCCTTGGCCACCGACGAACAGATCTCGCGTCGCTCGCGTAACTCTCTGTCTCTCTCTCTCTCTCTCTCTCTCTCTCTCTCTCACACACACACACACACACACACACACACACACACATGCGGAATAAAATCCGACTCACAACCACTCCGAACCCCGCAAACTAAGCATTTCAGATCTGACAAGCCATCAAGTCACTGACGCTACCATTTCTCTTTGTTAGAGAAGGGAGAGTTCGTCAAAGCGTGTCCAGCAGGAATGACTAGCCAACTTCCTTCTCCCCAAGCCTTCGACTGCCCCGCCGCAACAACGAAACAATGTATAATGGAAAGTCTGATCTCTCTTGGTATACAGGTGTATGCAGACTGGCAGGTCGAAAGACATTGATAGGTGAGAGTAAAGAATGCTCGGCTCAACTGAACTGTCCTGGATGTCGTTTCCCAAACCTCAAGGCCCATCCTGGTCTGCCGGTTTTTCTGTATCTGAAGGATGTGATACTGGCTCAACATGCCAGTATCTTTCTTACATGGCTTTCCAGCTGGCACATCAGAGGTTGGCCAAAGACTGCGAAGGAACGTTTCGTTTCCCGAGACTGGAGGCTACTACCATCACAGCTTCAGCAGCGTAGTCAAAATCGTCAGGATACGCGCAGTCGTGTCATCAAAATGTGCACGACACTCACGCCGCTTGACCTTTGAAATTGTCTGTGGCAGAGGTTTCTGTCTCACGAGCAGAACGAACACTCCTGTCCAGTTCTTGATTTTCCAAGAGAAGGATCCGATTGAAGGAATGCTTCTGCTGACCTTCATACTCAGGCTACACCCTTGACGGCCGTGAGCTCCACCAGCTACGAGTCCATTCTTTCAGCCTTGAGATGCCACTGCGCTTCTGGTGGTCTTCAAGTCACGCTAGGTGGTCGAGCCCGATATTCCCGCCGACAGCACTAGGGACCTCGTGAACTAGAATCAAAAGGACAATACATTTCAAATCACGACTAATGAATTTCTTCCACAGATACCCATTATGCCCCAAACGGGACATATGCAGGGTGTTTCTCACCGCTTGTTGCGAGCTCAGAGAACCCTCCTCGTACGTTTGAAATGGGTTCTTACATCGCAACGTTGAGCTCCAAGCGGCCGCCCAAGGCCGTGTGAAGAAAGCAACCCTTACCCTTCGAGGCAGCAATATCGAACTCCCCCACACATCGCGCTTTTCTGAAGGAGGAAATAACCCAAGTTTCCCTTTCAGGAAGGGGGGGCTACCTCAACCGACGGGGAATCTTTATCTGAGCCCTTGATGAAAAGGGACCGCCCACCCCCAGAAGAAGCCCGAGAAAATCCTTCTGATCCCCGACAGTCAGTCAGGCCAGTCAGTCCACCACTTTCTCAGCTGAGGAAATCCCATGCGGAGGGATTCCTCCACCCGAAGCCCCCGGGGTTTGCCATTGGCACGCGAGGCGAGGCGTTGATGAGGGCTGACTCAGAAGTTTGACGACTTGTGGACCTCGCGGCTCTTTCCTTCCCCCTTTGCGAAGTGGACGGATACACTTACGGTATAGCTTTCTTTCCTCCAATGCGACTCGTATTTCCTTGTTGCTGGAAATCGACTTTCTGCTGTCGACTCAGTGCCTCGTCAGGTTGGTGACGGGGCATCTGAGGAGTGTCCAAAACGGGCGGGTGGCCCGTGGAGACGGTGATTGGGTCTGTTTTTTCATTGTCAGATGGGTCTACACAAGTACATAGGTCCAAAATTATTGACCGAAAAGGGGGTGTGGGAGGGCAGCGCCGACTCGAAACGGGTATGTGCATCGGTACACCGAGGAATACCGGGCAAGAGAGGCATTATCCAGACAAGAAAGCAGAGAAATCAAGAGTCGTGACTACGACTGGAATACCCATCCTGCATCGCTGTGCGAAGTGCCTAGTTGTACGGAGTATGTACACAATACATCTTTGGTGATGATCCCCACCTTGGCCCTCTAAAGGACTCAGCCTGATACCAAGTACATGATGACAGAGGAGAGGAGAAACCTGGGGGGATTCGGGTTCGGGATTAGTCATTGGACAGATGGACAATCGAGTTGTTCTCTTCTCTCGTCTTCTCTCATCCATCTCTTCATCGGTGGGTATGAACTATGAGTAAACACTCGTAAGATCAGGATTTCGACCTTGTTTGGCTGTGATTGTGACTGTTCCGCCCGAGCAGGGTATAATACGGGTACGAGTACAAGTACGAGGGAATAACAGGGAGGGAACGCAGTCATGAATCACGAATCATGAATCACGATGGATGATGGACGATGGATGGATTTACTACCATGACGCCAACTGTCCTGTTACTCTTGAATTTTTGGTTCTCAGCCTCGTCAGCGTCGTGTTGGCTTTTCAGGGCTCGGATGGGGGGAAATGCCATGCGACGGAGGCTCCATGATGGACATGTAACAAGTAATCGGGCATAATACTGGGCAGTAGCTACGAGTACGAGCACCAGCGAGCACCAGTACGAGTACCGGTACCTACTGTAGGTACGGATGTACAGATCAGTGCCGCATGGGATGGGTTGCTGTGCGATATGCATACAAGTCCATACATACGTACGTACGTACGTATCTACGTATCTATTCCATCCATCCATCAATCCATCCCTACTTACCTACTGCCTACCTATAGAAGGTACTTGCCTCGGTACCTACATATGCGGAGCAATGCTCAAAGCGACGGGGATCCGAAAGAGGAAACCAGGGATGACCCAGACCCAGAAAGGGGATATTTCCATGTTCATGTCCCACGTACCAAGCATATCGAGGTATTCGTTTCGTAGACAGGATGTATATACATACCGAGTATGCATAACATGTGTAGGTACAGCACGTCATGTTTATGGTGAGACGACCAAGATACGTACGAGTAAGAGTACGAGTAGGAGGAGCGTATTCAGACCATTGCCACACTTGGACCTGGACCTGGACCTGGACCTGCACCTGGTAAGCTGGACTGTTGCCGACATCCCGAACACGGTTCGGGACAGCTGTTGTTCTCTTTGTTGCTCGTATCTCTCATCCCCTAATACCTGAATATCATATCAGCGATGAAAATGTGGCGTACTGTCCTGTACTATCGTGACTGTATACATGTGCGAATACTGTATGCAAATAAGTATGTATGGAGGCAACCTGTCTATCCTCGACCATGTCCCAGTCCCAACTCTTGCCCACTGTAAAGACATAAAGACACTCATTGGCGCCTTCTCAGCCATCTCTAGCCCTTTTGTCCTGTGCATATCACGTTTCAGAGTTTCAATACCAAATGCAGCCGGATACGAAACGTTACCGACACCCTTCGTTAGTAAGGCCACCCATTTCCCTGTATGGAGGACCTCAAGCAATATGCCGCGCGTTTGCTGGTTTCTAAGCATGTGAGAGAAGAGAAAAGGGAGATGCTTCGGCTGGTGCTCAAACTCTGCATTGCCCATCGCGCAGCATCCTCCTAGTACAATGGCATAGTCCCGGCAGTGGCCTGGAGTGCCTTCTCCATAATCTCGAGACCCTGGTCGAGCTGCTCCTTGGTGATGACAATGGGCGGCGCAATCCTAAACACCCCACCAAAGCTCGAGTGGCTGCTCAGATTAGCCCAGAGACCCAGCTCGTACATCTTGTAGGAGATGTTTCGGGCCAATTCGATCGATGGGGACTTGGATTCACGGTCGCCCACGATTTCGACACCGGCCATGAGCCCGCGACCGCGCACGTCGCCGATGCACCCGTACCGAGACTTGAGGCGCTGAAGGCCAGCCTGAAGGTGGAGGCCCATGGCACGAGAATTGGCGACGAGGTTGTCCCGCAGAACAATTTCGAGAACCTTGTCACCCACGGCCGCTGGCAGCGGGTCGTTAACATGCGTGGTGTAGAAGCAGTAGTCGCGCTCGGCGCACACTCGCTCAATCTTGGAGCTCATGACCACAGCACTCAGGGGGAGGCCATTGCCCAGTGTCTTGCTAAGTGTTAGGATATCCGGGACGACACCTTCATGATCAATAGCGAATAGGTCCCCACAGCGACCGACACCTGTTTGAGCCTCGTCCACAATAAGCAGCATGCCCCGCTTTTCGCAGTGCTTCTTAAGCGCTTTCAAGTACCCCTCCGGGAGCACGTGCATGCCCGCCGACGATTGGATGCACTCGACGATGCAGGCCGCCAGGGAGCCACACGAGGCCCGGTCAATCAGGTCCCAGCCGTAGTTGAGTTCGGTTTCCCAATCGTAGGAGCCATCCGGATTGCGGAAGATGGAGCGGTAAGCATTAGGGGGAGGGAGCATATGCATACCTGGCATCAAGGGTCCCTGGCCCTTGCGACCGAAGTGGTATTGAGTACCTAGCGCCTGTGCCGTGACGCCATGCCAGCTCGCGCCTAGGCCAACAATCTCAAACTTGCCCGTGTAGACTTTGGCCATTTTGATGGCTGCTTCGTTGGACTCGCCGCCTGTGGAGAGGAAGAAGGCTTTGTCTAACCCCTTGGGCAGGACCGACGTGAGCCGTTGAGCTAGGTTGATGACTGGGGGCGACAGCATGCCGGAGAATAAATGGTCCAGGTTGGCGGCGTGGTCGTGGATCGTGGAGACAATCTCTGGATGACCATGCCCCACAAGACAGGACATCTGGCCCGACGTCCAGTCCATGACTCGGTGGCCGCGGGCAGTATAGACATACAGTCCCTTGCTGCCTGTAATGATGTCTTTCTCGAATTTGGTGCCATAATTGGCCAAGTACGCCTTCGCCGAGGTCTGGAGTTCGTCTTCGTTGACGTCCGTGTATATATTGGGTTTATCCCCATATTTGACGGAGACGGGGTTATTGGAGGGTGGCTGCACTCTGTCCTCGATCATAGGAGCCATGTTTTCCTATAAAGTACTTTGCAAGCACTCCACGGCGGAAAAGACTGACAAAGACTGCAGGAAATGGGGGCAGGCCAAGTTTCACTGGAGATCATGGGACCTGTAGTCATACACGCCTCTCTCGACTGGGAAATTTGCAACAGGTAACAAGGGATTGATATACATCAGACACTTTGGGTCTGCCGACGGGAAACTCGCAGCGTTTGTGGTTTGGCCAGGGGTTGGACTTTACCCGGAGGAGGAGAAGACGACGGGAAATGCGAGAGGTTATTGGGTGTATGACATGTCTCCATCGCGAAAGTCTGCCTCTAATTTGACCAAATGTATTGCCTCTGCGGGGCTGGAGTAGACGGTGTGGACAAGTCTGATGAGTGGTTTCGTCGCCGACAGGTCGACCACAGGGGCACGATAGGCGAATTCATAATGCCAAAGTAGCATTGACCACTGGCGGGGACGGAAAGGATCGAGTTCGTATGGCCATTTGCAATCATGAGGCGCCATTAGCCAAGAGAGGGGCGGAAACGTGTACCCAAACTGAGGTTCGCGCAGGACAGGATGGCCTTGTTGAGGAGAGGGATGATGTAGGACGGAGGAGGAGAGGCGCACCCACCATGGCTGGATATATGACCAGACGCATAGTCACTGGTGACTGCGGCCAGATGTTGTCTCTGCCCTCGAGAATGCGAAGCAGCCCAAGGTACGACTAGTTGTTTGTTGAAGAGTGTTGGAGTTCCGTTCGGTCAGCACCATGGCCCAGATCAAGTCTAGCAGCTCCAGTGGCTCCTCCATCATCAGCGGCACAGGAGGAGCAAACAAGCGCAAGGCCGAGTCACGTGGATATGTGGCACGTGACCGGCCCGCAACGTCCCTTGGTGCCTCGCCTCGACCTCCATCTTCAGACACAACAGCAACGCTGACACCAACCGAGTCCACCTCGCCTTCTCCCACAACGAGCCCCTTAGCCCCTGGCACTTCGTCAACAGCAGTCCTGCCACCGGCTGAGGCTTTTTCCCAGGACAAAACCAACCATCCGTCCAGCACCATGAAGACCGCCCGTCCCTATCGCTCCCACAAATATCCAGCTTGTGCCCGGTGTCACAAACGGCGGTCTCGATGCACTATCGAAATTCCGGGACAGGCCTGCTTGCTATGTCGCATGCACGGTGTACCCTGCTCTTCCGCCACCGCCAAAACGGATGAGCGCGTCACACCCAAGGTTGGCTTCGTCCATCGTTCTTTGATTGCCGACGACAAGTCTATGGAAGGCTTTTCTCACATTGTCGGTCCGGTTATTGCGCGCGACACCCAGATTCTCGACCAATACTTACCTCAAGCAAACGGGACTCCTGGTCATGTTCCTATCCAACCGAGCCTCGGGAGACGAGAGTCGCAAAAAGCAATTTATCATGTGCCTATCCCGCCCAGGAGACCCAGCCCAACAGACTGCACTTGTGCCAGGAATATGCCAGCCGAACTGCTTGAGCAAGTGGATCCTTTCCTCGACAAACTGTTGGCCAACTATTTTGAACATTTTCATCCCTGCTATCCGGTCGCCGACGAAGAATGTGTCATGTCCCGACTAAAGGACAGAAGTCAGCTGCCCCAGACATTCTTCGTCAATATAATAGCCTACGCCCTGTTCTACTGGGATACTTCACCCGCATTGGCGGGCTATGCCCGGCCTGACCAGGACTTTGCCTGGCAGACGGCAGTCGCCGCAAACATCGCCGACATGCAAAAAGGCGATCTGGCTACCATCGTGTCAACTTGCATCGATATCTCTGGACGACCCTCACGGTGCTTGGTCAAAAATGTGGCCGATGTTGCGCGGGCGGTCGCCTTGTCGCATGCAATTGGTCTCAATCACGACTGTGGTGAGTGGAAGATTGGTGAGATGGAGAAGAAACTTCGGTGGAAGGCTTGGTGGGGAGTGGTGATACAGGATCGATGGTTCAATTTTGCTCAAGGAACGCCACCCTATATCTCAAAGGGCCATTATGACGTCCCACTACCAACGGTGGAGTTACTCACTCAGGGGAGAGGGGGATCTGTGAAACACGTTCGCGCAGCTGAAGTCTACATTCATCTGTGTCGATTGACAGAAATTGTCGGGGATGTCCTTCCCCTCATCTACCATATACGGTCTGGAAATGACAGCATTGCTGCAGAGCAAACCTCGAGATCAGAGATTGAACTTAACCGCTGGATGGAAAGCCGGCCCAGCTGGCTGAATCTCAATGATTTCAACAACCGGCCACCCGTGCCTGGCTTGGTCAACCTGCAGCTCTCCTATCTCTCTGTGCGCATGCTTCTACGACGCATTGCGTGGCATGAGATTAGCCAACGAGAAAGCGATCCGGCGTCATCATGGCTTCTCGGTTGCCAGGCTGCTGCAGAGGATCTCGTGCGGTTCGTTGGTTCGTTGCACAAGCAGGACTTGATGGGCTTTTGGCTACCCTACAATGCTCATCATTTCACGTCCGCGGTGACTCTGCTTCTCCGGTGCGCGCTTCAGACAAGCTACTCGAATGTCCGAACACAGTGCATGGGAAGTGCCCGGACACTCGTGGACTGTTTGAGGGGCTTTCAAGAGGAGCATCAATGGGATCTGGCAGAGACGGCGTTATCGCAGAGTGAGACCGTGCTGAAGCGCATCGAGGACGCACTGCCCAAAGCACCGATTGTTGGAACTCCCCACTTGCCTACTGTATCGATGCGCGCCGAACCAACCGACACGCGTGGCTTCATGGACGAGAACATGCTCGGTGATCCACTACCCGAGGATGCGTTCATTTCGCAACAAGGTCAAGGCTCAATTGAGGAGCTTTTCCCCGAGATCTTCTCGGATTTTACGGATACCGCATTGTTCGCCAGCTCGACCCACAATGAATACGCCGAATGAGATATGATACGTCTGGATATCAAACAATCACTTGAGACATGTGTCGGGAATACTGCGCACGAAAGGAAGTCTCTTCCCTTTTGTACCAACCGACATTTTGAGACCAAGAGAGGTGCATGGCGGTGACTCCAGTGGCCGACCTCACTCCGACTCTCAATGAACTTACATGGGTTCCGTAAGGCCAATTCAAGCAGCGCTGCCACAAGGAGATAGTGTAGCACCTCTCAAGCGGCACACGGATCACCGAGCATACCGAGAGCAAACATGGGTCAAACAGGAAGACAACGTTCTTCCGGAGACATTCCCGCAGACACTGAAACACTGCCTGCAGATGTCCCAGTGCCCATTCATCCAAGCTTACAAGGGGGCGATTGTGTGGACTTCCTCATCCCTCTTCGCTCTCGGGCCTTTCGAAAGCTGGCTAGCGAAGACGGAGACGAGGCTGTTGTCTTGACAGCAGGGCTAGAAACCGAGCGATGCGGATTCAGCGTCTACAGCGCTATGATATCGACGTGGAGAATCCATTGCCATTTCACGTTCTACATTACTTACAAACCGCCTGGTTTTTTTGTGTGTGTGTATAAGAGGTCATCTCGTGTACAGCGAAGTCGGATGACCCGGCGAGGTACTCGCAGGGGTCACAGCTAGGATATAATATAGCGAGGCAAAAACATGACACGACAGGGATGGCATAGTATAGCATATCATACCATGAATATATGTAGGTAGGTATGATTACATGTGATACCATATGGCATGATTTGAGCATGGCAGAGCATAGGAGAAGACGGGAAAATAGATACAAAAAGACCTTGGTCAAGATTCATGGTTCCTGATTTCGGGTCGTATGGATTCTCCATCTCTATCCCACCGTGTGTATATCTGTAGATGTAGATGTGTGTCGCCAGCTCCTACTCCATCGTCCGCCACCCGCCATCCATCGTCTCAGGGGCCTAATCGAGCTCAGTCCAGCCACAGCCACAGCCACGGCCAACCGAGTCGAGTCGAGTCGAGTCGCGGTGTAGCATAATCGGTAGTACAGCGTGGCAAGGCATGGCATGGCATGGCATGGCACGGCACGGTATCGCACGGCATAGCGCGGCACAGGACAGGACAAGACAGGACAGCAAAGCATAGCACAGGAGAGCACGCTGTAAGTAAGCACATGTGGAATTAAAGGAGCAAGAGACTGGGGGATAACGGAACAGGGGGCCGGCAAACAATTCTACCTGATTGAACCATACAACACATACTTACATGCTGGAAATCAATCAAAGAAAGTTGCAACGGCGGTTCAGTATTCAGTACCTGACACCTAGTATCCGTTACCTAGTACCTTCGCCCTGTGAAATCCATCCCATCACAAGGACACCTACTACTAAACTTATGACTTGAGCTTGATACTCCTCTTATTCGGATCCAGGTCGTCGCCGCTGACACCGTGGCCGTAGGCGACCCTCTCCAGCTCGTCAAAAAGCCTTATCACGGTCGGATTCAAAAATGGCAGAATGCTCGTGCAGATCATGCCGGCGATCCCGGTCGCGGGGTCGACCCAGTAGTACAAGTTCCCGAGGCCGGCCCACGCACCCGACCCGGCTTTGCGACCGTAGGGAAGGTCTTCGTGGTTGATGAGCAGACCGGCAGACCAGCCCCGTTTCTCGACTGGCATGGACGGTAGGAACGTACCCTCGAGCGAGGCTTGCGGGATGCTGGCGCCGACTTCGCCCACGCCAGACCTGTCGACTTCTGGACCAAGGATGTCCTTGAAAAGAAGGCCTTTGACCGTGTCGGGTTTCAGGATCGAGTTGCCCGTGGTGGGCGATGTGCCGTCGTTAAGCAAAGTCACCAGTAGTTTCGCGTAGTCGTTCATTGTCGTGTAGAGAAATCCTCCACCTCCCCAGAGAGGGGGGTTTTCGTTGTGCTTCGCATCCGGGACCCCTACAAGCCCGTCGGGTGCGTCGAAATGGACCAGCAAAAAATTCTTCCCTGGTGGAATCTTGCCGCTTGAGTTGTGCATGCCTAGGGGCTTGCAGATGTGTTCCTCGAAATAATCTGGAAGAGGTTGGCCCGACACTTCCTGGACAACGAAACCAAGCCAGTCGGTGCCGATACCATACACGTATTTGGTGCCTGGGTCGGCCAGCAGCGGAGTTTCATAATCTTCCCATTCTGCGGTTGCGTGGTACTGCATGGGAGTGCGGCCGGTAGCCACGCGGTATGCCAGTGTTCCGTGATCAAAGAAGTCGTACGAGAGGCCAGATGTGTGGGTCAGGAGATGCTGAATGGTAGGTTTTGACGCTGGTGAGCGCAAGACGGGTACGGGTTTGCCATCTGCGTCCGTCTTAACAGACTCGAGCACCTCCAGCTTCGAGATTCGAGGCACGAATTTCTCCACCGGATCTGAGAGGGAGAGTTTCCCTTGTTCGAGCAGTTGTAAGGTGGCAATCACGGTGACAAGTTTGGTGCATGAATAGAATGTCACCACGGTGTCAGCGTCGAATGGAGCGGCGTTGGGATCTTGAATATGAGAGCTTCCCAAGGTCTCCTTGAGCAAGTAATTGCCCTTGGAGTCGATGATGAAGCACCCGATCCCCGGTACCTTCTTGTCCCTGACAGCAACTTCCAATAATGGTCTCAGTTGGGCTTCCATGGTTTGCCTTGGGTTATCGCCAATGCCTTTGATCGGTGACGAGGAAGATGTCAGAGGAAAGCGAGCTCACGAAAAGCGCTTCTGCGGCTCGTTAGATGTCGGTAGTTATAACAACTGAGCATTCGCAAGAAGCGCCAACGGAAGCGCGAACGAGGTTCGGACCGGGGAGGAACCGAAGAAATGAGGAGAAGCGAGGGGTAGTGGAAGAATGGAACGAGACAGTTGCAACGGCGGGACGGCCTTCGTATTTTATTTCCTAGACCTGGAGCACCCTGGATATTCCAAATGTCCAGAAAGTCAGCCAGAAGTCTGACATCTTGGCCGTAGGGGCGGTAAGGAGGATGTCGGTGCTGCAACGAGGCACAGGATCCTGTCCGTCAGACTCTGCTTGAACTCCCCAAGCCGAAGGGATCTGTTCGGTTAGACACCCGGAGTGATGGCTGCGAGATGTCAAAATATGAGAAATCATTAGACGTTGTCGACAGTGGGTCGTGAAAAGGATTTGATACGTCCAGTGAGCGGGCTTCTTGGGGGTGGTTCATGAGGCGCGACATGCGTGCTTAAAGACCCAAGATGGAAGTAACAGTACTGGAGAACATATGCCTTTCCAGATTTAGTGCTTGATAGTGGCAGTCGCCTCCTTGGTTGGATTGGACCTAGGCAGTGCGGATCGTCAAGTATTTCCCAATCATGTCCCGCGATCTGTCAACGCAATCCTTCCCGAGCGGTCACTTGCAGTGTGCTGCGGGATAGTTGGTCGTCAGCCGGGGCACACTCTGGCGCATTGACTAGGCTAATCTGGCCGTGTATGGGTCGCTATCGCTGCACCACTGCCTAATATTACTGTTTAAGAGCGACATATCTGTACATACTGTCGTAGGAGGGATCATGCTCAGGATCGCATTGGCGGGGTCGTACTGGGTACAGTGGGGAGAGCCACAGGGACCCTTGTGATAGGATCTTGGACCGGGAGCTCGGATCCCGCTGCTGGCCGTACCGAGAGCAGACGGCATCGAAACAAGACAGGAGATACCGCTCGTTGAGGCTGAGACGCTTCTGAACGAGGTCCGCTCACGTAATATTCTCAAGTGATTGTTGAGCTTTGTTCGTTAGAGGTTTTCACTTTCAACGCGCGGTACAGGGTATCTGCGACACGGAATGAGGTGTGGTCTCAATGCTCCGGATTACATCTGGAGGGTAACGGAAGATCCCTGGTGGTTTGCAGAGCTGTGGCCATTCTCGTACATAAGGTATTCCAGCGAGCCATTCCGACGAATCTGCCCAACCAGGGGAGGCCGGCAAAGCGCAGTCTATCGCTTTCTTTCGCGGATACTGTCTGGGTTTCGGTCAGTGCCCGTACTTTTGCCAGACCCCGCCAGGTAGCCAGCGAGGTCAAAGTTCTCCGCTGCAGACCCAGCACCTCCACCCTGCATGGCTCGCGTCAGACCACCCATGGGACTCTTTTTCTGCATCTCTTCATACTCGGCGCGCATTTCGGGATCCATGTTCTCCATCAACTTGGGCATCCCGAACGTAAAAGCAAGAGCCACGACCGCCATGAGGATCATTGGATTCTTCAAAAGACTCAAGGGATTGAAACCCTGGCGCTGTTCGTAAAAGTTCTTCTTCGATAGAATCTTGGCCGACATGTCCAATTGCCCTGTAGGTGCGGCCACCAGGGCAACTCCTCGATCGTCCCATCGTGTTCCGCGGTATGTTTCCCAAGCTCCTGCAACCACGGTACCGTCGGAGTCGGATGAGGGGGATATATCGATTCTGTAGGGTGCGAAGACGTAGTCGTGACTGTAGATGTCGAGGAGATGTGACCCAGAAGTGGAGATTTCGGGAAATTCAAAGTAGTTGCCCTTTCGCAGGACAGCCCTGATCGGCGGTCCAGAGCCTGACGTTAAGACAGCATGCGTCGAAGCTGGCAGGACATTGGGGTTTGGGAGAATATTCGAGGGCGTGACCGTAATACGGAGCGATGCGGCGAGCACAGGGCTGAGAATATAGCAGAGGGCCACTAACGGCAACATCGTGAGAGTCCTGGAATCTCTTGTGCGGTAGCAAAGGTCAATTAGTTAGTTGGTTAGTTGTAGCAAAGACTCAATTGAGTTGAATGGAACAGAAATGAAGCGCAGACTTGTTGAGCGGCGGAAAGGGAAATATCCACATGCCGCGTCAAGCGACTCGTGGGACATATTAAAGCAGCAACTACCACGTCCTGCATAACAATGCAATGGGAGGGAAGATCCTCAATACCTGCACGCACCATGTATCGCACACAAAATCGAGGTGCCGAGTATAATGAGTTCAAACGGATTGCCAGATACGGCCGCTTGCCCCAGAGTCGAGCTCTCTGCCCTCTGTCTCTCGAGCACCCGCAGACCTGCGCCATAAGGGCCAAAGGATCCCTGCCAATCCGAGCCGAGCGAACAACGTAAAATTGGGGAAATTTCGAACGAGTCGTCGTTCCCGAAGACCATGAACAGTTTTCGGGGCCTCTGGAATGAGCAACAGGAACTCGAGTCGGCGCAGTGAGTAAGCATTGGTAGCGCGGTCCAGAGGGCGCCACAAGCTTGGGCTGGCTGGCTGGTCGGCTCGAAACACCGGAGGATGAAGCCGGTGAAAAGAAGCCTGTGCCGCTCGATACGCGTCGCTTGCTCTCGCAAGGTCGTGGCAAACCTTCTCCGTACAGTCCACTATCGACGGCCAAGAACAATTTCCATGTAGAACACCGACGCTGAGCTTCTGGTAGTCTTCTAGGGAATAAATGGGTCCTGGAATCCAGAATTAGATCCGTTAGACATGGCAGAGTGGCTAGGTTAAGGAGCCTTGTCTCGACGAATTCTGTTTGAGTGGGTTTCACGATAGATCCGAGTTGAACTTGGATGGTCCTAAGCTCTGCGTAGGGACTTACAGATGCTGGAATGACTCGCGAGGGTGTCTGTCAGAGGATTCAAAGGAGGATTTTCTGATGTCTCTCGTTGTTGTTTCCCCTGTGTCTTTCCTATCGTACATGTGTTCATCACCCTGGACTTCCACTCTTGCAATCAAATACCTAACGACTGTATAGCTGTATAAAACAAAACCGCCACCCCTATTACATCAATGATTCAACGTCAACGTCGTGCGTGTCGCCGGGTCTGCCTACCGCCGCAGCACACACGCTCGTAGCAATATGCGTCCCCTTTACAGCGCGTACCATAATCGCCCTGTTCAAGAGACCTCCAGATATGAGATCTCGACATCGGTCTGTTTCCGAATATCGTCTCTGCGCTTGGGTCTTTGGCCGTCTGCTCCTGTTTTCCCCATATCTTCCAGCATGACAACTTCGTCGCTGTTTGATTCACTAATGGGATATGATTTGGGCCCGCCACTACTGATGACGGTCGTGGAAAACCCCTTGGTAGGCGAGGCAGGGTTCGGGAACGATGAGGCGCCCCCCTTCATAGATGATCCATGATAGCTGTCAGAGAGCGGGTATGCTCCAGATCTAGTTCGGTATATGGTTGACGGGCGATTGTAGGACGAGCCGCGGAAGATCTTCGGGAAGAATCTGGTAATCGTGGCCTTCAGAGGTGGAATGCAGGTGCAAATGATGGACGTGTTCACTTCGATGCCGAGCCACAAATTATTCTGAGCCTGGTAGTCTAGACAACAGGGTTAGCAGGTTTGTACTCAAGGGAGCGATGATGCTTACATGTGCTGTCCTTTGCAGTTGCTGCCGGACCAAGCGTAGCGATGCGGACGATACAGGTTCCAATGATGCTAGAGATCTGTCAGCAATATATCCGGATAGCAGAGTTCAAGACGAATGGCCTTACAAAAGCCCCAAACTGAAGAGGAGAGCCAACCCAAACTTCTGGGCCTTGGGTAGTTTGAGCGATCGGATTTGAGCAATTGGTAGCACGATGATCATAACATCTGTGGCGATGTTGATAGAGGAGCTAGAGTACCAGATTCCAGGAGTCCAGATGCAGGTGCCGGGCAAGGTTGGGGTCCATGCCTTCTGTATAGGATGGCATGCAAAGATTGTCGGGATTATAGTCCCAATGGCCGTGCCGAAGCATATGAACATGACAATATAAGCAGCAATGCGGAAATTGCGAGACGACGAGAAGATCCGCAGATAGAGGAAAAGCATAGACAGTTTTGCAAAGAGAGCGGCAGCCTTGTATAGCACCTGGCACGATAGGAAGTACTGTTGGGATAGTTAGTCCATGTTCGTATGGCTCTTGGATCGTTCCTAGGGATCTTTGACTGGTCACAACTCACTTTCCAAGCTTGCAAAAAGTGTTCCTCGTTGACTTGGTCTGAATGAAGACCGAAACCATTCTTTGTCTCTGTGGTAATTGGTTGTCAGCTTCAACGATTCACTTCTCAAAAAAGCGTCGAGCGTACCGCCGTAGAATAGCCCAGTCATGGTGATGGCAATAAACTGTTGACGCCAGTTAGTTTTCAAGAGTCACCAGCTGGTCCATGAGATGTCAATTACTTACCAGAGCCATCAGGACACACCAGTCATCCAATCCAAGCATGTGGTTGATGACAATGCGGGTCCAGAATCGTGCAATGACCAGTATTCCTGCAACAACCACCAGTGCGATATTGACATGCACCACAGTGTCGCCCCGGGGATTGGGGGCACCATCATCAATTGCATCTCTTTTGAGGAGTATCATCGTTCCCAATGACATGTTTTCGAGTACTGGGAACTCGAGCGGCCTGGGGTCCTGCGAAGTGCGGGTAGAAGGAATAGATTCATTGAGCTGGGGGAGGTATCAGGCACGGCCATATATGATGTTCAAAGACGAGCTATCTGGGAAGGCCATGGCCAGGTTTCCAAGCCTCGCTTTCACGAGTGGTTTCCCAGGCGGACCCAGACCAAGTAGCGAAACCCGACTACTTTCACCTACCAAGTACCCCTGACCTGTTGCCACCCCCAGCGGCGCCAATGACATGATGCGAACAAGAGAATCGTTCTTGAATACCGAGTAGTCTGGAGTGGACTGACTCGTGACAGTTTAGTGAGGTTGGGGCAAGGGTCATGGGCTTGTGTTAGTCGTGTAGACTAGCAGTTTTCCAGAACCCCCGCCAGGCACATGCTTCATGAGGAGGCCAAAAGTGTTTTGTGATTTGAGCCTCGTATTTTAGACAAACGTGGCCGTTGGCTTAGTCCAAGGTGAAGTGCTGCAAGGGGAAGGAACCAGACCAGTAAGTAAATGACAAACCCGGTTGTAGCTGCATGCCCGATCTCCTCTTAGCTTCCTTGATGATGACCGTTTCTGGCAAATAGAAACGACAGACCCATGTTACCTGTGAGGAGTAGCCATAGTTGCAGGAAAGGACTGCTTCACATCCGTTATTTCCGAGTGACAATGTAGACCGAGTCCTTTGTTCTGTGAGGGTACGAAACTCGCCTTAGGTCCTGGGGTATTGGTTCTCGCTCTCTCCACACACGAAAACTAGCGATTCGAATTCCAGCAAAGTTGCAGACCTTGGCGGGATAACCGTTGAACATGGTGGGTATAGATTCGCTTAATCCATGTACACACTTGAGCCAGGGATGAGGTGCGAGAAGCTCCGCTACTGTAGAGGTGCGCAGCCTGATCGTGTCGAAAGATATGCCTTGAGCATATTGTCTTGTGCATACCAGAAGAGACACAGCAATCTGTGCTATCTCTTGAGCCGCGCCCAAATTTGACGCCGGCTTTGGGGGAGCTCTCAGGCAGACTTGGAAAAGGGCTTGGGGATTTCCCATTCAGTGGGTGTAGGCCGAGTGATGGCGCAGGTTTTGGACAGAGGGTGAATAATTTCGCAGGAATTTTGTGAATACGAGGTGTCTAGTGATAGCAGGAGCGTCCAATGTCGGGGCGAGCATCCCGGTACTCGTCGAGGCTCAGTGTAATGGAACGATTGGAGGTATATGGGTTAGACTTTTTGCTAACACAGGTGGCTGAAGTTAAGGAGGAGTTAGGATGGTAGAGCCGTGTGGTAACTTGTTTTAGGAAGCGTCGCCAGACACAATTTGAAGCGACTGGTTTTTTTAGTCAATTATGTCAATCATGACAAGGCCAACAGACACCGTCTTTCCACGCGCATGATGGCTTGAGTGTCTGTTCCGCATTCCTGGTAAAGGACTGCGGTTTAGCTTTTGTAGCTCAGCAGCTCAAGCTGGGAATTTCCCGACGGTGTATGCTTCCCAACAGCGGTTCGGTTACCCCAGCTTTTGACTTGCGAAATAGGAGGGTCGAATATCCGAAGTATCGCATACTCGTAGCCTCTCGGTTGACGTAGATAGGTATATGTCTGGAATGGGAATGTAAGCTGTCTCGTGGAGGGCGTTCTTCTCGCTATTGTTCTCTGTTCTGCCCAAGAAATACCCACCGACCTCGGAAGTCGGAAGAAACCCTATTCTTTCGCACATTACTGGGTCCATCCCTGCAATCCGTTTGATCTCCTCGCCCTTTCTGGGCAACGGGGGAGGCGGGCGGTGGCGGTTGGACTAGGGTCGACTGGGGCTGCATTGGCTTGTCAGGAGGGCCAGAACCTTGAGCTCCTGACCTACGGAGTTGGACTGCAGTTAGTCCCGCTAAGAAGTCACTGTCGTGGTTAGAGGGACATGAGAAGCCTGCCACCAGTCTTAATTGCCAGACCAAAGTGAAGTGTGACCTCTGTTGGAGAAACCTGAGACTTGACCCTTGAGCTGCAGAACCAGTGTGCAGATACGAGCAGTTAAGAGGGTCGCAAGCCTGCAAGGGGCACTGTGCAGAATTTGTCTCGACTGCCAAGTACGAGGTACCTCGTATTCAGCAGGCCAAGGGTCTGTGGTTGCGTGGTTGATTACGAGGTACTCGGAACAGCGATTCTCGGACGAAGTTCTCCTTTCTGCAATCCTCGCCGTGCCACAGCTCGTGTTGGTCCTTCGCGAGTCGGACGCTATCAAGGTTATTTTTGAGGCACCCTCTAGAGCGAGCCCAGCAGTTGTGTTTCAGATATGACAATGACAAGAAAGGAATCAAGCGAGTATCGTAATGAAATGATCAAATTGCTTCCGGCGGACCGAGGAGCGAGTACTGAGTTCAGAGGATGAGTCACCCGAGTGTGCCTTGTCGCCGAACCAGAGCACCAGTTATTGCCATGATAAGTAGGGAGGAACAGTAAAGACACATACCATGTAATAATGAAAAAGAGCCTGGCAATTGCCTGGACGAGGCTTTTGGCTTTTTCCAAGTCACAATCCGATATCGGGATGAAAGCAGCCAATGACGCAGGGACATCCTTGTGTCATCGAGCGCAGCCTTTGAGCTTCACGCAACCACGCAACCAAGTGAGTGTGAGTGCTGAACATACTATACAGATTGAAAATTGCTATGTCCCTCCAATACGAGCACTAATGGAGACCATCATTCACCCTTACCACCCGAAACGGTCCCTCCTCCTTCTAGAGTATAGGAATACTAGCAACAAGACCTCTCTCCAACCATTCGCCTCCCCTCCCAATGTCCTTCTCTTCGTAGGCGGCCTCTACGACAACTTCCGCTCGCCTCGCTACGTCGATGACCTGGCCGCGCTGTTTCCTAGAGATGTTGCCGACCAGACATGGAGGGTGATGCACGTACAGCTCTCAAGCAATGGGAGGGGTTGGGGCTTATTCGATCTGGATCGTGATGTGAGTCACTAAGTGCGATTTGTATCATCTTCTTGTTGCTGTAACCATCTCTTCAAAGAGGGGTTTGATTCCTAGCCCATACAAAGCTGTCTGTCTGTCTGTCTATTGAAAAAGTTGTCAGCCGTGGGCACATCCCTGAGACTGGCTTCTCATTGACGTGGATTGAGGAATGTGTCTAGGTCGGGGAAATTGCCGCAGCCATCACATACATCAGAGACACCATCACTGAATCTCCTTCGACGCCCGTGGTATTGATGGGCCATTCCACCGGCTGTCAAGACATCATGCACTATCTCGTTTCTCCCGTGGCGACCTCCTCCTCTCCGCGTCCTACCATTTCCGGCGCCATCTTACAGGCGCCCGTCTCGGACCGCGAAGCCATTTTGCACGCCACATCCGAGTCCGCAGCCACAAAAGATGGCTACGATTCACTCTTGCAAATCGCTTCTTCGACGCCAAAGGAGAAACATAAGACGACGGTTCTACCTATGGACCTCACCACACCCATCTTTGGCTCTGCTGCCGTGACCATTTTCCGCTTTCTCAGCTTGGCGTCACCGACTTCGCCAGAGGACCCGGAAATGGACGACTATTACTCCAGCGACCTGTCTGACCAGAGACTCCGAGAGACGTTTGGCCGCATTGGAGCCGTTGGGCATTTCCAGCCTTCAAGCCAGGTGGGGAAGAAAAGTCTGTTAGTCCTGCAGGGCGCTGATGACAAGAGTATTCCCCCGACCGTGAATAAAGCGCATCTGCTCTCGCGCTGGAAGGCGGCGCTTGAATCCAGCGCCGAGGCAACCCTGTCTCCTCACTCTGCCATCATCCCCCATGCGGTGCACGACATTTCGGGGTCGACCAACGAGACGCGCAGGGCAAGGCTCGTGGTCATGCGCGGCGCAGTGTTGAAGTACCTCCAAGACATGGTCGGCGGGATCGATTCGCCCCCGGGACCCGATGACGACAGCGCGAGGAGACCATGGGCGATTCTGCAGCGAGATCTGAGCGGGATTGAAAGCGGAGACAATGCTAAGGGCCAGGGCGCGGATGCTTCTACGAGTAGACTATGACTATCATACGAGTACGCCCCGGTTGGCGGCCTGATCGCCCAGTCATGATCCCTATACTTTATACGGGGGACGAGGACGACCAAGATCATGTCGCCTCAGGGCCGCCCGCGGATGGAATAGTGAATAGTCAGTAGGTAGGTAGATTCAATCTTTTCGGAGCCTTGCAACCTTGTGGGGAGCCCCATGTGTCAGGGGGAAGAAAACGGACCCGCTGAACCCCATCCATGGCATCATTGGCATGGGATATGGGATGCCTGATTCCCATCTACCCGTATCATACTACGAGTAGGTACTCATATTACTTGGGTAATAATATTACTAGGTAGGGAACTGACAAAGTCGGCAACCCCCTTCCAGATGAGACAGAGGGGCGGCATGATACTAAACACATAAGAGTAAGCAGCCACAAAAAAGAAAAAGATCCTACAAAGGATCTCCCATTACTCGGTACATCAACTTGTCTTCAACCTGTAATAAGTATCTCTTTCCCTTCCTCGTTGTCAATTACTAGGATTCTTGTTTCGTGTTCTTGTGTGTACTCGGTACCTGGTACCAAGTGCCATGGACCATTTATTTCCCTCCTTTGCCGCCCTGTTTCCCACACGGTTCCATCTATTGATAATGAGTTTCGAGTCCGTTCTATATTGACACTTTTGCCGTGTCTAGTAAATCCATCCTTTACCCATCGCTTGCAAATGCAGAACCCCTGCCAAACGCTTCGTACATCGCACGAGAGAAAAACAACCAAAAGCACCAGGGTTCTCAAAGCTGACATGACCGTGCAGACAATTCCCACAATGCATCCATCCCTGGAACGAATCTCCCTTCCCAACGCCATCGCTTGTTGGTTAAAGAGAAGGTATGACATGACATCACCAGAAGATGGCGAAGATAACATCGACCGACCAGTGATCACCAGGCCGGCCAATGTAAACAGGACGTCGATATCCTATCAAAAGCAAATCGGTCGTTTGTCGTGAATCCCCTTACAACAAAGGAGGTCCAGTGCCAGAAACTATGTCTGAGTTTCAGTCTTCTCTTTGACCTTCTCGGTCTCAGTCTCTTGTTGTTCTTGTTGGTGGTCGTCTTCGTCCTCCTCCACCGGCACTTGACCTTGCCTGTTCTGCGATCTGATCTGTTGCATTACTTCATGTGCCTGGGCGGAATACTTGCACTTCATCCGAATGCTCTCACCATACTTGTAGAAGATGAACGGAAACGGGGCGCAGGCGAGTGCCAGGAACGCAGGTATCGAACTGGCCCAGTGGATGCCGAGATTGTGATACATTTGGACGGTGAAGAGGGGGAAGACGGCGCCGAACAGGGATCGCAGGACCGAGTTGGCCGCCAGCACTGACGCGGCGTAAATGGTGTATGAGTCGATGAGGTAATTCATGCACGCGAGGAAGACATTGACCATGCCGAAACCGAAGGGCGCTGAGGCGATGATGCAGACAATCCAGTGGATCGAAGGGTAGTTGGTCCATGCAAACCAAAACATGCCCAAGGGGATGGCGATGGCTCCCACAGCGGCAGGAGGAAGACGTGCTTCGGCCGGCGCCTCTCCCCCATGCTCTGCTTCAATGCGGGCATAGCGCTTGTTGTCCCAGATGGCGTAGGCGGTGCCCGAGATCATTCCGACCGCGACACCGGAGAAGGCGAGGCCACCAATGCCCTGCGACCAGCCTCGTTCCTCTTCAAAGACAATGGGGAAAGCACCGAAGAGCATATACAGCGTGCCGTACAGAATCGCCATATATATGGAGATGAGAAGGACGATTGGTTCAAGGAAGAGCAACGCCCAGGGCCTCGAGATGGCCTTGGAGAAGGCGGCCTGAGGCGTGATTTTGCCTTGTCGTCTCTCGATAACCGAGATATAGACCTTACCCGTTCGCTTGCTCAATGCCTTGGCCCGGCGCGACAGGATGACAGGGGCATAGGTTTCTGGGATGACCAAGGTGCCGAAGATCCAAAGGCAACCCGTGAAGATGGCCATTACACCCTCGACCCAACGCCAACCGATTGTCTCAGAGATGAAGCCTCCAACTATGGGGCCGATGCAAGGACCCAGGAAGGGAGCGGCAGCGAAGATGCTCATCCCCAGGCCTCGTTGACTGGAGGGAAATATGTCGGCGATGACGCCGCCGGCGTTGGTGAGAGGAGAAGCGCCGAAAGTGCCCGCAAAGAATCGCATCACGAGCACACCTGCCATGGTGTTCACTCCAGCTGCGCCCGCATTGAATACGGTAAGAACGGCGTATGTGCCGAAGAAGAGGACTTGACGGCCATACAGCTCTGACAACGGCGCCCAGAGAAGCGGTCCAATAGCGAAGCCCAGGACGAAAAGAGATACCCCCAGCGTTGCGACCTCTTGACTGCAATCAAAGGCCTGGATGAGCTGCACTACGCTGGCAGTGTATGCCGTGGAAACAAACGCCACGGCCAGAGTTGCAAAAGCGACAGTCAGAGTGAGGGCCCATTTCTTCCAATCCGGAAATTCCATGGGATTGCGAGGATCCGAGGGGATGAACTCGACAATATAGGGATCCTCCTCTGTTCCCGAGCCCTGGTATCGATGGTTCAAGACTTCGTCTGTGATGAGGGTCTGGCTGGCCACGAGGCGCCAATGCGGCACCTTCTTACTCGAAGGGCCACTTTTCTGGCTCTCGACATCGTTTGTGAGGGTGAAGGTGGACGAGTTGGTTGGGGAGTTGGACATGGTGAGCCTTGTTCAGGTGCTTCAGCCTGCTGGGGAGACCGGGGTGATACGTGTTTACCCTGCAGACAACCAACTCTGTGTGTGTGAGATAGAGATGGAAAACAGTGTGTAGGAGGAAGAGCAGGTCTTTAAAAAAGGAATGTTGAGAATCAAGGATTCATTAATGCGATTTGCATCGATGCAACACAACACTATGCCGAGACACCATATCTCCCACCCGTGATGGCACGCAGATCATAGGTTTGTCCAGGGACCATTATTACCACCGGGCATCATTTACTTCAAGATTGTTCATCGATCCGCTTCAACCGCCACGATCTCCTGCTCGTCCGGTGGTCGGATGACGAGCCACCCTCGTCCGGGAATTTCGAGTCTTTGTTTCGTCAGACAACGAGGTTTTGGGTGTGTGTCCGCGGGAAAAGGCCATGGAAACCTCTCGACATTTCCTTTGTCACGAAGAATCTGGTTCGGAGGAGGAGAAAGAAAAAGGAAAGACTGCCGTGATAACCGTACTGGACAAGGGCACTGCGCGCCGAAACCCCATATCATTGGGCCGATGAAGCATTAGCTTTGGTTGTCGGTGTCTCTAGCATACCGCCCCGTTGGCAACTTTCGCATCATAAGCCATGCATAAACAGGCATAGATGGGCTTGTGCTCGTCACACTTTTCCTGACCGGGTTTAAACAATCAACTTCGTGGTGTGTTGCTGATGTTGCTAAGCTTTTTTCTTCATGCGGCCCTATCGTCCATCTGGCGATAGAAGACTGATATTTGGTCGAAAGAATTTAAATCCGACGCTCAATTGCCGGTTGATCACCCTCTGGCATGTGGCATGTGGAACACTAAGGTAGTAGTTTTTCGTTTATGCCGTCACTTTGTTGTCCTTGTGTACACCCACCCAGTACTTGTACTTTGTATATATGCAGGGCAGCCTCGTCTCTGCCCGGAGCGGCGGTCTTAACCTCGCTCTTAAGATCCCGTCGTATTCGTAATCTCACCTCTTGCGTTACCAGCCCACTGGTCATTGTTGACTTTTGGGGGAGAAAGAGGAGGGACACACACACACAGAGAGAGAGAGAGAGAGAACAAATCTCTCCTAGTGACCCCGTCTTCCGTGCTCCATCATATGCATGAATGAAACTCCGTTTCTTGAACGAGATACGAACGATGCTCGGCCCCGACTCCTGACTGCGATAGATCCTTGGACGTTATTACATCGGTCGTGGATCCCCGGATCCTGCAGGGCGGACGGTGGGGTAAGGCGTGCTGAGCCTCGTGTTGCCGAGATTCCTGCTGCTCTTTGGGCACAAGCTGGTGAGATGCAGAGGTATAAAAAAGATATGAACAGGGTTCAATCTCCATCTGACTAAGGAGACGGGGAGAAGGTGGAGGTCAGGGACACTCTATTTTGATACACAAGCATGTTGCATGTTACATGTTGTATGGGAAGATGTTCCGGTGATGAGACAAGAAAGACGTGAAATTTGTACAGAAAAGTCCGAAGAAGAAATGTCTCGTCCTACACGACTTCATTTCCGCTCATTTTACCTGCTGGATGTTTGCTGAACCCTCCGTGGGTAAATTTTCATTCCCTATAGACTGATGAACCAATCGAGTAGAAACCAAAATCATATTGCATGATCAGAGTGTGTGCCGCCACGGTGCACCGACGTTCAGAGTCAATGTCGTCATGAACGTTGTTTCTTCCCTCCCAATTAAGGGACCTGCCTGTAAAGATTGATGATTCTTGGTAAAGCCATTTCTCACTCAACACAAATAGCCAGCCTAGAAGATTCTGTTACGCATCTACTGTGTGTCGGAGCCCAGCTATCATGGCAGAGAGCACACAAGATATCCATACCAAGTACGAACCTCATCCAGATGCCCATCAATTGACTGGGCATGACAGCCAGACTGTTGATTACGAACCTCACCCTGAACACTCGTTGAAGATATCACCCGAGCATGAGGCCATAGTCACGTCAATCACAAATCTCTACTCTGGAAGTTGCAGCGAGAAGGATATGTCAGTGTATGCAGAAAAGGCGATATATGACGACCCGCTGTCATATTGCGACACCCGCTACAAAATTGCCGGTCAGTGGTATGGACTCCCTAAGATCTTCGCCAAGTTGGAAACCAAAAAGGTCGAAGTGGTCAAGGACACACCAACCGATATCGTCTTCAAACTTAGGCAGGAGTACACTCCCAAGCTGGTCAACACTCCCAAAGAAGTCGACTCTCTGGTCTCATTGTCACTCGACGATACCGGAAAGGTGCGGTATCACAAGGATATGTGGAATTCCAACGACTACAGCCATTCGGGCATTGGCAAGCTGATTAAGAACTTGAATGGTGATCACCTCCCAAAGATCACTCAGCCACCAGGTTCGCTTTAGGCGCATTGAGCCGCTGTCTCCGGGCTGCGGGTCGGTACAACCGGTTCATTTCTGGGGTATAATAGATATCTTTCAGGGGAGTATGTGTCAATAGGGAAGGAAGATAGAGTAATACTATGCACTGGGATGAGTAAGAGTAAGCGAGTAACCGTCCCGGTCGGAGCGCAGTCGGAGCGCAGGCTGGAGTTTTCGGGGGGACAGACAACGTGAAGGGCTTGGAGTAGCGGAGCTGGGTAGGTAGGCACGCGTGGTACGGGAGGGTAGGGAACAAGACGCTCGAGGGCGAATCTTCGACAGAGCGGCGGTATACAAGTGGTACGTGAGGATTGAATCGAAGTGGATGTGGATGTTGATGCGTGTGAAATTGATACGCTCTAGCATGCGTGAAGGTGAGGAAAATCCTTCGGGGCCAACATGAAAGTCTCCAATCCTCCAATCCAATCAAGCCTAAATCCCCATCTAGTTTAGGCGTCAGCTATCCCCGAAAGTGACATAAGAGTACCAGTGGTAGGTGCCCAAAGGGAAAAACAAGCACTGTTAAGCAAGGCACGGAATGCCGTTGACCAACTGCACCCAGTTAGCTTTGGCTGGCGGGGTCCCGGCACTGTGGCTGGCGCCCCTCGAATGTCCTCCACTTCGATAACCCAGTGAGCCAGAAAGATTCTTTTGCCGTGTCGTGCCTGTTGCTCAACTTGGCGTCATGGCGCATGCGTATCCCATTAATTCCCTTTGGTATTTCTGCCTTTTGACTGCGCAGATCCTCGACTTGAAGTTCCAGAGCTCATCCTTCTTCCCAGTGTACAACATGTGGTTATCACTGCTTGACCAACGAAAAGCCTCTCCCTCCAATGCTCTCTCTGTCATCATGCTAATCCTTACTCCCACTCCCCTGATCCTACCCTAATAAATAAGGGATTGGCCTGCCCTCATATACGACCTCGAGTACCCACCGAAACAGCATCCTCAAGAAAACGAGTTGGCAGTCTCGTCTCGGTCTCTATTCCTTTCCATCGCTGGATGCCAACACCATGGGTCTCGCATATGAATGGGCCTGGAATTTCTGGGAATTCTGCAAGAGAAACATCATTCCAGATGTTTTCATCAAGAGGAGGTTTAACTTCATCACCATCCACTATCTGTACATGATTGGAATGACGATTCTGGGCTCAGTCATCATCTTCGGTATTGGTGACATCTCATATATCGACTCCCTCTTCTTCGCCTCCGGTGCCTGCACCCAAAGCGGGTTGAACACTGTCGACGTGAACAACATCAAAGTCGGTCAACAATTCATGCTATTCTTCCTCGCCATGCTGTGCAATCCCATTGCCGTCAACTCGGCTGTCGTCTTCGCCCGGTTGTATTGGTTCGAAAAACGATTCGAGGACGTCTGTAAGACCTCGAATGCACTCCGCCGAACAAAGTCGAGACAACGCACTATGACCATCGGAAGGGATGACCCTGAACAAGGTCGACCAGGCGTCGCAGGAAAAGCGATTCGGATATTACGAAACACCGGACGCAGTCAAGGTCATGCAGATGCTGAGAAGCTCGAGAACGGCAATGGAAAGGCTGTAGATTCGTCTGACACCTCGCAAGAGGAGCAGGAAGAGTTCAAAGGACACATGCCTAATCACCGTCCGAAACCCCTCACAACTCGGTCTGTCGATGATGTGCGGGTGCCGCCACAGATGGATCCAGAGCAACACATCCGCTTCCTTGAAAATCAACGAAATCCAAGTGACACGACGGCCCTGCGAATTCCCAGTCCTCGTGAATATGAGCAGGGGGACCGACCTCATGATGTTCATGCCAACTTTGATGAAAATCTATTGCGCCCAATCATGAGCGTACCCGAACCTCCCAGTGGTGATGAGACGAGAGCTGACGCGGGAGCTGCGGAGGACCGTGCGCCTCCTACACACATCACCATCGACGAACCACAGTTTCTGCGAGACCGCCAGGACCGAACTGCCACCTTTCCCCGACTCAACACTAGACAGTCCACGCAGCCATCACACACCTACGATCTCCCTGAGCCTGGGTCTTACCGTCGGAGGGGGTCAAATACGTTTCGGTCGCTGCATCGGGTCAATACGCCGCGTACACAGGAGCTCGCCCCATACCTGAGTTGGCAACCGACCATCGGACGGAACTCGTTTTTTCTCGGTCTGACCGAAGAACAGCGAGAAGAGCTGGGCGGGATAGAATATCGGGCACTCAAGGCCCTAGCTCTGATCCTTGTCCTTTACTTCTTCTGTTTTCACATTCTCGGCATAATCTGTTTAATACCCTGGATCCTTCACACGAGTTTCGGAAAATATGTGACAGAGCAGTCGCAGGGAAGAGTCTGGTGGGGTCTATTCACAAGTGCTTCTGCTTTCAACGACCTCGGTTTCACCTTGACCAACAATTCTATGCTCTCATTCCAGCGAGCCGTTTTTCCGTTATTGCTGATGACTTTTCTGATCGTCATTGGCAACACTGGGTTCCCCTGCATGTTGAGGCTTGTTATCTGGGCCACGTCCAAGTGCGTCCGAGAAGGCAGCCCCCTGTGGGAAGAGCTCCAATTTCTTCTCGACCATCCTCGCCGATGTTTCACCCTGCTGTTCCCCCGCGAAGCGACTTGGTGGCTATTTGCTATCCTCATCATTCTCAACGGGCTGGACCTAATCTTTTTCATCATTCTCGATCTCAACGATACCACAGTCACGTCGTTACCGGGAGGTATTCGATTTCTGGACGGTCTCTTCCAAGCTGCGTCGACACGAACTGCGGGATTTTCCGTGGTCAATCTGGCCGAACTCCACCCTGCCATTCAGGTCAGTTATCTGATCATGATGTACATATCCGTCTTTCCGATTGCCATCTCAATGCGACGTACCAACGTGTACGAGGAGAAGAGTCTGGGAATCTACGGGACTTCGTCCGAGGAAAACGAAGACGAGAGTGAGCCAAGCTATGTCGGCGCACATTTACGAAGACAACTGTCGTTTGACTTGTGGTACATATTTCTGGGAATGTTCATCATCGCCATTGTCGAAGGCGGAAGATTGCAGAATATCAACGAGTCCGCGTTCACGCTTTTTTCCGTCCTCTTCGAAATTGTCTCTGCGTACGGCACTGTGGGCCTTTCTTTGGGCTATCCGAACATCAACGCTTCCTTTTCAGCCGAGTTCCACGTTCTCTCAAAGTTGGTGATAATCGCCATGCAGATCCGTGGAAGACATCGTGGACTTCCCTACGAGCTTGACCGGGCCATCCTTTTGCCCTCTGAAAGCCTGCAAGCGAAAGAAGCCAAGGAAGCCGAAAGAGTCATGTCTCGTGTACAACGTCGGAGATCCTCCATAGGAGGGCAATCGATGATGTCGGCCGTCGACGGCAACATGGAAGGACGCCAATTCCGGGCTGAGACGGGTTTGTCTTCGGGGTTGCGGGATATCAACGAGAATCCAGAGTTCAGTCCCCGTTCTCGTACGAACACGAACAGATCACACAACAGAACAGGAAGCTTAACGGAGCATCAACTCCACAGCGACCGGCATAGTGAACCGCACAGTGCGCGCCGGGGTCTTGGTGTTGGAATGTTCAAATTGGCATCAGGCGTTGAGGCCATCAAGGAGGAGAAGCTCCGGGAGTGATTGCAGAAGAGCCGAAGAAGTTGTCAACCAAAAGCACTGTATTCATATTGACACGACGATTCCGACAACATCGATACATTTGAGCGAAGGCGAAGCGAGGAGTACTGAATTATATGAGCCCTCCAATTGGGCGCCGCATTATTGCATTGATATACAGCAACTTATCTACTGCACAAAGTGTCCCAGAAGACCTGGACCACAGTTTAGGGGATGGGTGCGCGAGGCGACCGTTATGTGCTTGTTTATGGCCACCTTGGCTCTTTCCGGGTTAAGTCGCAACCAATATTTAGCTAGACTGCGGACCTCGACACCAAGCCTCAGGGAGAATCTTAGGGGTGAAGTTTCCGCGAGAAAGAGATCGTCAGGATCAGCACTGTTGGGTGCTTGGGCGGTGCAAGATTGTGCCAAGCCAAGCCAAGACAAAGGACGTGTATTGTCCCGCCGCTCCAAGTCTTTTCTGAGCGGAGGAGACTTGATATCAGTCCCGATTGGCCGCCTGGTTCAATGCCAAGGCGACGACGTCTCACACATGGTCCCCCTTATGAGGTCGGCACCGCCATCTGGAACAACAGCAGATGGGCGGGGTATCTTCCGTGCCTCCCTTTTGGGTGGAAAAAGTCGCTAGTGGCCGTGTGATGCTTTGTTGTTTCTACAGTCCTTGGCTCGCGCCAACTTCTTGTCCTCCCCATAATCTCACCTGTTCCCTTTCATTTGTGTCCATTGCAGATTTTCTCATTATTCTCGCCTTTACGCCAACAGCGCCGTGAACAGACGGCTCTCGCCCTCGACGCCATTTCTCCCTTGAGTATCTCGCATACCGTACCACGTGGCAACTGACATTTCCCAACTCCCGCCGCCCCGGCCGGACTGGGCGCTACCTTCGTTAAAGTTCCCCCTTGTCACTCTCTTCACCCAGACCTCCTTTTCCGTCCCTCCGCTTCTGCTCCTGAAGTCTCGTTTTCAGGGTTGGATCTGAGTCGAGGGTCATTCTTCTGCGATTTCCATTCAATAACTCCATCTTGTGTGAGGACGCTCGACGCACGACCAAACATGAAGTCGCGCATATGTCCCGCTCTGGTGCCGCTGGCCGGCCTACTTTCCTTGACGAATGCGCTCACTCTGGACCTCAACAGCTTAGATTCGATCAAGTCTGTTACCTCTACATTAGCATACGATATGATGACCTATTATTCGGGCAATCAGTCCGGTCAAGTGCCAGGTTTACTGCCGGGGCCGTGTGACTCGACTGCTTGTTATTACTGGTGGGAGGCTGGCGCGATGTTTGGATCTCTTATCAATTACTGGCAGTATACTGGGGACGACAGCTACAACTCCGTCGTGACGCAAGCTTTACAGTTTCAGGTTGGACCCGAAGAGAACTTCAATCCTCCCAACCAGAGCAAGAACATGGGGGTGGACGACCAAGCATTCTGGGCATTCACGGCCATGGACGCTGCTGAAGCCAATCTGCCGGATGTTGGAGGCGATGCCCCTTCTTGGCTGGCTCTGGCTCAAGCAGTGTTCAATTTTCAATCGACTCTCTGGGACGCTGCAACGTGCAACGGGGGGATGAGGTGGCAGGTGTATTCTTTCAATTCGGGCTACAATCTGAAGAACACCATCTCCAACGGCGGAAACTTTCAACTGGCGGCGCGTCTGGCTCGATACACCGGGAACCAGTCCTATGCGGACTGGGCAATCCAGATGTGGGATTGGATGGAAGCGAGCCCGTTATTTCAATATCAGGATGACGTCCTCTACATCTGGGACAACACGGATGTGAACAACAACTGCACGGATGTGGCACATTATGCATGGACCTACAACTACGGCACGATGCTCATGGGAGCTGCTGCCATGTACAACTTCACCAATGGGGCTGAACCGTGGGGGACCCGGGTCAACCAGATCCTGCAGGGCGCCTTCAACCTATTTTTCCCCGCGGAATATGGCGGCGACATTATGACCGAGTTCCAATGTGAACCAACCATGGTGTGCAACAACGACCAAAGCAGTTTCAAAGCCTACTTGTCTCGTTGGATGGCGGTTACCGCCTTGATCGTGCCCAATACTTACGACATGATTATGCCCAAGCTGCGGGCAAGCGCTAACGCCGCGGCACAGCAATGTACCGGAGGGGATAATGGGCGCATGTGTGGGCGACGGTGGTATTCAAATTTTGATGGCTCCACGGGCGTGGGACAACAGGTATGCTCTTTTCGCACGTAGGGGTTAGCCCTCTTTCAACTTACTGACTCGGAATCAGATGCAAGCACTTGCCGTCATCGGAGCATCAACTGTACGTCCAGAAATCGCGCCCAAGACGGCCAATACCGGAGGCACATCCGAGAGTAATCCCGAGGCTGGGACGGACATCGACGCGGATCCAATCCAACACTCACCCATTACCAAGGGAGATCAAGCTGGCGCCGGTATTTTGACCGTCTTGTGTGTCGGCATCATTGTGGGAGGTACCATTTGGATTGTTTTATAGAGACTATATAGGAAGAGGAGGGCATTTCTGGAGTTTTTGTGTTGGATCTCGTCTTCTCCTGATCATGGGAAAGCCTACGAGTGTAGCGGGATCGTTTTGCGTTCAATTTGAATCATGTGTCCCAAGACAGAAGTGATACAAAGTACATAAACTGGTTGGTCGGCATTAGCTCAGTCCCTAATGCACTGTCCAGCAGTACCGAGTACATTACGTCGTACGAGTACAGTACCTACAGCAGTAGCAGATGGATGTTCACCCTCTGCCCCTTGCATGGGCCCCCCGTTACACACACGATGTGGGGAATCTCGCCCCCAGGCCAATTAATTACCGACTCACCGTTTTCGGCCAGTCAACAATCTTCCGTCTTTCGTCCTCCTAAACATTTCTCTCTTCTGCGCACAGTCAATGACGATGATGACGTGGAATGACTGCTTTGAACAGGACTGATTTACTTTTGAAAATTCAGACGTTTTGAACATACGAGACAGCGGGACGGATCTTTTTTTCCTACCGACTTTAACGGATCACCAGTTGCTCATCCCCGAACTGAACGAATTACCCAGCACGTCGTGCTCTACATGATCAATCTGGCCCACGGCGATGGAGGTCGAGTCCAGTGCGGTTTCTTCTCCAAAGATACCTTCGAATGATCTCTCCGAATCGGCAGAACCCAACTCAGACGAGGTCCCGAATCCAAGCCGACCATCAACAACGAATGCCGCTGCGTCAAGAAGGCACATCAAGGGCCTGTCCCTGAATTTCCCCGTCCTGGTGCCGACGAATATCGGATACTCGCAGTCTCCAACCCTGGGGTCTGGAGTGCAGAGTCCGATCGAATCAGCCAAGTCCTCGCCACTTACTCGAAGCGTTCCTTTCAGAAGCCCCGATCCCGCAGCCGAACCGCAGGAAACTGCCAAGACAAGAGGCAGCGCAGAGTTCCTAACGCTACTAGCGGCACAAGAAAGAAAAGTCCTCGAGTTGAAGGAGGAACTCCAGCGGGCAGAGGCGGACCTGCTGGTACTGAAGAAGCAATGGGCAGCCTACGAAGCGAACAAGAAGAGGGACGAAGTGAGACAAGTGAAGAAAAAACAGCCACTGGCATTGGGCGAGGTCGGCGGCGGCGTCGACGGAGTTGTTGCAGAAGGCCACCTAGATGAAGAACGAAGGCGGAAGCGAGCACTGGTGGAGAGAAGCTACACGGCTCAGCCAGCTACGGCGAGCAATGCAGGATCTAATGGCTTGACGAGAAAGGGATCGAAGCGAGTTTTCGAAGGGGGTCGACATACGAGAACTTTGAGCTTGCTCAGTCCGACCTCTACAAAGGTTCCAAGCAAACAGACGGAGGAGACACAAAGTCCGCTGGATCAGACACCGACCGCTGATGGTGGGGAATTTACTAGGCCTTCATTATCACGGATGGCGACCCTCGACAGCTTGATATCTGGCGATGCACTTCCTCTAGGGTTTGGAAAGACGTACAAGGATCTCGCAGCACATCGGAGATCTCTCCCCCCAGTGGCTGCAGATATGTTAGTGAAACAGGGCAAACAGGTTTACGACGGCGTTCGGGATGGTCTATGGACTTTCTTCGAGGACATTCGACAAGCCACGGTGGGAGAAGAGGGAATCAATGGAACCGTCGCTCAGCAGCGCTCTGCAAGGCCTGCTCAGAGAAAGGCCTCACGAAAGCCACCGGACAAACAGGGCAAATCAAATCCCAAGGGCAGCGCTGACACGCCCAATCCGCATCATATGGAACCGTCGTTCTGGAACGAATTCGGGCTAGACACACCACACAAGAACTCGGCTCAACCAAAGGTGGTGGAGAAGCCTAATGGACATGTTCAGCAGAAGAGTAGCACCGACTCATCGAACACGCCTAGTCTGCTGCCAGATTTGAACGACAATGATGACGTCGAAGATGCCTGGGATGCGTGGGACTCCCCCGTGAGCAATCGAGAACCCCTAATTGCGGGGATGGAGGACACCAGACAGAAGCCTGCTGTCGGAGAAGGTGGCCTTCCTTGGCCGGAGCTTGAGAGAATCACTCCAAGCAAGCTCACCCGGACAGTCAGTGATCTGATGAAGGAGTGGGATTCAGCTCAAGACGACCCGACCGAAACAACCGGACTGGAGCATGGGCAGACGCACATACTTGACAGCCCACATATGTGAAAATAGAGACTACGAGATCGACATGTGAGGAGCGCAGCGTTGGATTTATTTCCCGACTATGGGACCTTGTATATTGTCTATTTTGAAACTATCAATGCCACGTGATTGACTGAACAACATGACATAATGCTGTTTCCCCAGAGGACGGTTGATGGATCATTTTTGAATTTTCCGATCAAAACAACAACTCGATCTGCCGCGTGATCGCGATCGTGGCACAAGGTAAATTAATATTACCCCTACTTCACACACATGAGTGTTTATGAAGAAATCGACAGAATCAATATGTGTAGCACATCGCCCTAGCAACACAAAGTGATGTGAATGATTCTCGAAGGCCACCTGACACCTTGTGAAGGCGTATCCATCTCTTTCTCGGCCCTGATGGAGTGGGAGGGCGTTGGACCCATTTCAGTTCCTTCAAGTCGGGAATTTGATTGTTTCGGGACCAGCTCGGCTCGAATACCCTGTACAAGCGACTGGGAGAGCTGTCAATCTGGTTCAGGTCGACGTGAAGTACGGAGAACCATGGCACAGCGGGCCTGATTGAATGCAAGGCAGAGGGTAGAAAATATGGAACTAGAAGCAGTAACGGACCCCTGCATTAGCGTCGAACCTTCGCTGCATTAGCGGATCTTGAGCCGAGGCGCCTTTCCCCATCCGGCGGCTCGTTGCTATGGCAGCACAACGTCAACATCCGGCTCTGCCTCCTCCACCTCTGCGGACAAACGTTCATCTTGACGCACTACTATTACTACTCCTGCAGTGTATCCTCTATCTTTTTCTTTCCATGGCTGACTGTTCGCGGATGCACTAGTCGTGAGGCTTGGATCCAGAGCGCTACTATGCACGAGGCCCCTTTTTCCAAAATCCACGTCGCACCAGATATATCCTCGGCGCCTCGGACCCTGCAAACCACCATCCTCGCCTTTTACCCAGTATTCTCACATTCATTATTCTCTGTATCACCACTGCTCACCCGGCGCAAGCATTTCTGCATTTCTTGCATTTCTTGACTAGACTTGCATCATCACGTTTTGTGCGCAATCACCAATTGTACATGAGTTCCGGGTTACAACCAATGAACAGCACTTGGTGATTGGAGATCCATTCGAGGTGTTGAACCAGGAGATTACAATAACCACAGTGTCAAGGAGGAAAAACTGCGTCAAGAGAACAGCACGCCGCCATGGCCATGATTTCCCCCTTCTCCGAGGCGCCTCACCAGGCTACGGCAACGCAGCAGAGCTACTTTGAAATTCAAGATGATTCTGCGCACGGCGATACACTGGCGGACAAATATCAGATGCTGGAAGAACTGGGTAGTGGCTCGTTCGGTGTCGTGTACAAGGCCATAGAGAAGGCCACGGGTGAAGTCGTCGCTATCAAACATGTATGGAAGACCCCAGCAGTTGTCGGTACCCTCTTCTCCAGCTAACGTTGACTTGTAGGTTGACCTTGAATCTTCCGAAGAAGACCTCTCCGACATCCTGTCTGAACTCTCCGTCCTATCGTCATGCTCAAGTCCGCACGTCACAAAGTATCGTCTGGCGTTTCTGCGTCGGCAGACTCTGTGGATTGTCATGGAATACCTGGGGGGCGGATCGTGCGCTGATCTCCTCAAGCCTCCTCCCCATCGCATATCAGAGAGTCACATCGCCATCATTTGTCGAGAACTGCTCCTGGGCCTAGCATACCTTCACGGAGAAGGAAAACTACACCGAGATATAAAGGCGGCAAACATCCTGCTGGGCATGGATGGCCGGGTGAAGCTGGCCGATTTCGGCGTCGCGGCGCAGCTGGTAGGACTGAAGAGCATGAGGAATACTTTTGTCGGAACTCCCTTTTGGATGGCACCCGAGGTCATTCAGCAGGAAGGTCATGACGCCAAAGCCGACGTTTGGAGTCTGGGGATCACGGCCATGGAACTAGCAAACGGCGAACCTCCGCACGCCAACGTTCACCCCATGAAAGTCCTCTTTCTGATCCCGAAACAAGCCGCGCCACGGCTGGAAGGGCCCAGCTGGTCCAAAGATTTCAAGGACTTTGTTGCTTGCTGTTTAACCAAAGACGTCGACAAGAGGAAGAGTGCAAGGGAGTTGCTCAGCCATCGCTTCATACGATCGGCGGGAAAGATTGAAGGGCTACAGGAGTTGATTGTCCGAAAGCAAGACTGGGAAGCCAGCAAAGGAGGGGACAGAAACTTGAAGTATTACGCCGAAACGCTCAAAAACCTATCGCAGGCCCGAAATGACGATGACTGGGTGTTTGAGACTGTCAAAGCTATGCCCACCATGAATTTGAAGGAATTCCCAACCCAGCGGATGAGGAAGGCTGAGAGAACTCCACTGGACGGGTTGGAGCGAAGCGCCACGCAGATGATGGAAGATCTGACTCTTGACCGACGCCTGGAACCGGAACAAAGTCCTACTAAGTTGACGATGCGCAAAATCTCCGAGTCAAAACAGCAACAGAGCTATCAAGACCGAAGAGACTCGACAGATTCGGTGTCAGGCAAGAGAACGAGCAGAAAGAGACTATCCAGTGCCCAGGTACGGCAGCCGTTGGGAGTCAACATGTCATTTGGCAACAGCCCGAGCACAGTCCGACAATTCAGACGAGTATCACCCAACGCCAACACCAGCCCAAACACGGAAAATGAGGATCCGAACTCTAGCGTTATTCGGACACCGTCAAAGGCGAAACCTGGCTTGGCCTCTCTGGTGGACATCGAGACCTCGTTGCTCTCAAAGCCAGACAAAGCTTCCCGATTCTCCTCAACCGCGACAACCATCGCGATGGAGACCAAGGAGGCGAGCCTTGGCCGCAAACTCTACTCCAACGCAATTGGCATATCGTGTCAAGACGTCCTCAACGACACGGCCGACGAGGTCAAACGCGAGGCTGTTGCACGGTTGGCCGAGGCCTTTTCCGACTTGGAAAGCGTGGATCCAGATGGCATGTATCACATTATGCAGTCGATCATTTCCAAGATGAAACAGGACGACACTTTGAAGAGTATGCTGCCACAACAATCTATGACGATGTCGCCATCGAAGGAGATGCTGCAGTCACCTCAGAAGCTCCTCGACCCCTTACACGCGTCCATGGCATCACCGCAACCAATTGGCGCCAATGAGAGCAGACAAGTGACTCCGAGTACCCCGACTAAAGGTGCTGTGGGTGCCAAACTGGTCCTTGCGCAAAACAACCCGCACCTCAAGAGCCATCGACGGAGGCAGAGTGCACAAGCAGCCATTGTCAAGTCTCGCGACACAAGTCAAGTCTTTGCCAGTCCGTTACGGAACACCAGCGTCGAGGAGAAGAGAAAAACGAGTCTGTTGGAGGCAGACAGCCAAACGGAGAAGGAGATGATGAACGGATTGGTTGGTGGGCTGGAACACACGAGACAACTGGCCGACGCGCTGTTCGAGAGATGGTGCGAGGGCCTGAGGGTCAGATGGCCAGCAGTTTGAAAGTGAGGAGGGAGAGAGTGACACAACACCGCCATCAGACGATTTTGTGTGTAACTCTACCACTGAAGTGCTCCTTGCGAGGAGGAGAGATGGATGTGACAATGATCGAAAATGCTTGCTCTGGTAATGCCCACCGCATAGCGACATGGAGTCGGCGTTTCTGGATGTTTGCTTGCTTGCTTGCCTTGGACGGCCGTGCGTGTGCTAATATACATTCTGGGTTTCTTTTTCATGTGTGGTCTCGTTCAAACCACGAGGTGCGACGAGGCGGGATTTTTACGGCATCAGGGCATCAGCGAAAGGAAAGACAAAACAACCCCCCCCCCCCCCCCCGCCTCTCTTTTTCGCATAAAAGTCAGGCAGGGACAGGAACAATGACAGAGGAGGGGAGGAGAGAGGTGAAAGGGAAGAGAAGACAAAAGACAAAAGTTTTACGATCCGCTTGCGTTGCGTTGCATTGCTGTTTCGCATACAGTACAGTACAGTACAGGACTTTGACGGCCCCTTCCCCCGATGCGGACGAGAGTTTGGAATGCGGATAGAGCAGAAGCAGAGCAATGGAGAGTGTGCTTGTGCTTTGTATGTATGTATGGGCTTGTATGGGCTTGTTTGTAATATGTGCTTGACCATGTCTCGAATAGGTCCCCCGGGGGAGGAGGGGGGGGGCATAAAGTTGAATCTCGCCCTTTTCAAACCCTGGACTGGTGAACCAGTCGAGTCGAGTCGACTCGAGTCGTGGCGAGGCCAAGTGTCGTGTTTGTATCTATGTACCGAGTACTCCAGTCTCATCAGATGATGAGATCGAGGAATGCACGAGAAAAGGAAAGTGAGGAAGGCGTTCAAACACGGAGATACTGTCTATAGATATTAGATAGATAGAGTGCGTCGGGATTGGTGTCCAGTCCAGCCCAATTCAGTTGCCAGATGGTGCATACTGCATACATACACATGGATATGGAGACGGTCTTGACTCCGACGTCCTTTTACAGTACTCGATGTACTGGTCTCTGCATGTGTCTTCCCTTGTGTCTGCGTCTCTGTATGTGCCGTGTACCATGTGACATGTATGGACCTACAATACAACATCGGAGTGAAATGAACGCTCCTGCAACCATGTATATAACGACCAACAAACCCGCTAACCAGACATCATGTTCGTCAAGAGAAACCTCGCACCTCGTTCCTGTACAACAATAAACCCTCACACCTACAGCCCTGCTAGATCAACCATCATATGCCTGACACAAAAACAAGGCTCATATCACCATCTCCCCCCAACTCAAGCATCCCTTTCCGCTAACCACTTCCTCCAGCGTGGTGCTCTCAGCTGTCGCCATCTCTTTCCATAAATGTAGGTTGGTACAGCCGCAGCCATGGATGTCAGAACACACAGTCCAAAGAAAAGGAACGTATATCCGTAACCTGCCGCATTAATAAAGGGCTGGACCGAGTAAGAGATGGCAAAGTTGATGCAAGACGAACAGATGGCCAGTACCACCACCAGTTCTCCCGCAATCTGTTTCTGGTCAGTACAATCTCCATACCAAAATGTTCTCAGTGGCTCACTCACCCCCGGGAAGCATTCCATGGCGTACGCAGTGGCAATTGAGCAGGCAGAGACTTGGTGAGCAATCATACAGCCCACCCCAAAGCCAATGGTCATCCAGTGGAGTCCAAATTCAGCCCCCCAACCATACAGTTGATACCCGAGGGCTGCGTAGATAAAGGATAAACAAAGAGTCCACAGTCTCATTTCGGGCTCCTTCACTCCCGAGTTGCGTCGAGCACAAAAGATCACGACGTGGTCGCCGAGCACGCCAGTGGCCCATCCAACAAAGTTACCCACTAGAGCGGCAAAGAAGATCAAACCCGTCGAGGTCGTCGACCAGTTATAGGGCGCTTCGGTAAGAATCTCAGAGATGGTGTTGAAACTGACAATGCCAGCGGTGCAACCAAAGGCAAAAATAACCCCGGCGATGACCACATTGGGAAAGGTGAACAGCACAAAAGGCCTCCGGAAGTATTGCCAGTACGTAGTCCGATCTTGGGGGTAGTAGACCCAGAGCTTCAGCTTCTCCAAGTAGGTTCGCTGGGGAAACTGCGCCTCCAAGGTGGTGTCGTGTTCGATCTCGCTAGGACTCTGGCTCTGCGTCAAGGTGTCGACGGGAGCTTTGCTATCAGAAGCCTGCAGGAAACCCCTGGATCGAGTGACAGCACCAGCACTGGCGATTTTGCCGAACAAAAAGCGTGGGAACATTGTTTCCTCGAAAGTCAGGAGAAGAAGAACAAGCACGCTGGCGTCGATGATGGCAACAATGTATTGGGACCATCGCCAGCCAGGACCATCTGCAATGCTACCACCGCTGATGAGCCCCAGAATGCTGCCCAGTTGCTGTCCAAAGAGATATACCGACAACATCCGTCCTCGTTGGTGGACAAAGAACATGTCAAAGACACTCAACTGTATGACAGCTTGGTAAGCCGCGGTGCCGACTCCGTTGAGTGTCATACTCAACATCCACGATGCGGTTCCGTTGACTTTCCCAAGCCAGACGCCAGCGGCCATACAGATGGTAGTGGTAGCCAGGAAGACTGGCCGTCGACCAATTTTCATAGCCGTGGGGATCCAAAAGATGTTGACAAACCCCAACAGGAGATAGTTGAGGGCACTTCCACCATTCATGTTGGTCAGGCTGACCCCCGTTTCTTCGGAGACGGTGGTCCAAGCAGCTCCGAGGGTGTTTTCCCCAAATGAAAACGCACACGCATATAGTGCGAGTAGGAAGAGTTGGTAATACTTCTTCCAGCGACCCCATCTTAGAGGGTCACCACCAGCACCCGTTGGTTGAGGGATAAGGACGATGTCGCTGGTTCCACCCACGTGCGCTGCTTGCAGTGTATGATGCACTGGGGCCAATGGTTAGCTGCGATATTCGACACCTCTTCTCGAAAAGCTTATACTGACCATCAACGAGTTGTTCGGTGCCAGGCACATCAAGCTCGTAGATTTCGTCCGCCATATTGTCCAAGACAGTCGTGAAGAACCGGATGGCACACAGGCTAATAAGAGAGTGGGAGGCGAAGATGGTGAAGATGAAACAGTCCCAGCCGTTGTTTTATACAGTTGTAGGAGCACTTTGTCGCTTTTGGTCCCCCATGATATCGCTATTGCTATCTCCCCGCTCGGTCATTGATGCTCGGGCTGTGTGGAGACGTTTCTCAGATGAAAGGTCCAAGCGGGCCAATGAGAGGGTGACGTTATCTGGCCACGAGTAACGATCCTTAGAAAGTCGGCCTTGACGCATGGTGGAGTAGGTTGACTTGTCGCGTCATTTGGTCCGCTTGTACCTTCATGCACATGTGTGGGGCCAGACTCCCACTGGCGGGCAATCAGCAGGACGATCCGGAGAAGAGCGATATCTCTTTGGCCACTTGTTGGAGATCAGTCTATACGGTGACCGGACTGGTATGCCGGCCTGTGGGACGTGGTCGGCTCTGGCAGGATGTCTCATTCGACCCATCGACCAACAGTGGCATTTTGCTCACGCCAGAGACATGTTTCCGCAGAAAGGCGCGACAAATTGTTCCCAGTCACTTTCTGGGGAAGCACCGGCGTTGACTGGGGCTTCCCGCATCTCTCGTGCCCGCCAAACCTTTTCAATGACTCTACGGATCCTGATAGTGTTAACCATTGAACCGGTAAGCTTTTCCAGAGCGAATAGGATGAAAGGCCGCGCATATTTTGGAGCTGTGCCGGCCTCCCAGTGGAGTTCGAGGTCCTGGTCCGGATGCAGTTCAACAGCTGCAATGAAGAGAGGCCAGCTGATGCCAGAGACCAAATGAGATTCCAGCGAAGTGCTGATAAGGCGGAGAATCTCATGTACTTGCTGCGATATCCACGGTGTAGCAGGGTTCGCTCCGTTCAAGGCGCATTGGAGATAGACCTCGGCCGCGAGTCTCTTCAGCTCCCCAGCTCGAGTTAACATATCATCACTGTTATCCCACACCGTTTGCTTCAGCATGCCCAGCTGTTCCTCCAAGGCAGCTGCCGCTGCCTGGAAGTGGACCGTTTGACGACTCATCGGATCTTGTCGTCCCAACTCAGCGATTCTGCTAAGGATGGAGACCAACTGGGGGGAGCAACCGAGCCACGGCTCGCAGTCGGTCTGGTCATTCGCCCAAAAGTCGCTCCCGAAAACAGGGTCCTCGCCACAGGCAGTACGGCCCATGATGTCCTGAAAGGCAAAGAAGCGCTCGCAGAAGAGAGCCAGAGCACTAGCGTCCGTATTTTCCACCAAGCCTAGCTGATGCCACCTGCGAACGCGGATCAAGTCGCGTGCCCCTTTCAAATGCACCACCCATCGACTGTCGCATTCGTTTACGATCTCAAACATACAAAGCAGAAGCATGACGACCAATGTTTCGGGAAGCTCCGCCACCGCCACGGAGTCGCAACTTCTTAACTTGACCCGAAGAGCGTGGAGAGCACGGTGACTGAGGTTTAATGCTGTTGACTTGTATTGTAAAGCAGTTCGGGATCGATGGCAGGCAGCCAGTGCCAACATGGCTTGCATGGTGAGAGGCGAGGTGCTGATTGCAAAAGGAAGGAGCAGTGTTGCGAAAGGGGAGACAGACGTCAAGCTTGAGACTGTCATCGGGCATATTCTTTCGACATAGTAGGAAAGTAGCGAAGATTGATCTGACGTTTCCCATGGTGGGAGAATATTCAGCGGCGCCGCGATTCGGAGTTCGGAAGACCGTACCAGGCTCTGCGTCGTTGGCCAGGGACTGAGGAAGCATGCAGCAGTGGTGTCGGGGTCTGATGATGTCGACCCTGTAATTTGATGGGCATCGCCTTTCGTTTCAGGCGCCCATCGGACCGACTCCTGCAGAGTATCCACTGTGGTGTGCACGAAACTATAGGCATAAATTTCTGGGATAGGACACCACCACAGAGGTGCATGATCGTGGGTGGACCAGTCCGAAGTTGTGGAAGGCGAGGCTGTCTTGTATGGGTCCTTGGCCCAGACACCAGCTCTGCCAAACTTGAGGCCTTTCGAGACATAGTCTGTTTCCCACTTGAGGGTCGTTGTGTTGTCGCAATTCAGTCCTTTGAGTAAGCATTGGCGACAGACTGGCTTCTCTTCTCCACACTTGAGCTTTCTTGCCCGACATGTTCGGCATCCCGTCCGTGTGCGGCGCTTGATGAGCACATTGGTGGATTTCCGCGGCCGGGGCATGGGGACAACTACATGTCAGGGGCTAGATGCTCAGTGTGTTGACATGGAGACCTCGATTGGGAGGCTCCTAGGAAGGTGGCAGTTGCGAGATAATGAGATTGAGTGATGTTCGGATTTGAGCCAGGAAGAGCGAGAGAAAGGAATGAAGTGCACGAGGTATCGAGAGGGCGATTGGATGGAAATGTGATGATGGATCATGGCGAAGATGGAGATGTTGGACGTCGGTGGTGATAGCGGCGGGGCAGTTGGGAGGGGACACTCACTGGTTGCCTGCGCCTTTCAACCCCGCCTGCGCGGTTTGTCCACAGCAGTTTTTCTCGTCTGGACCTTCTTCCTGATAGTGCATCTCCGCCCACCACACACCATGACTGATTATTCTGGTGGCCACCCTGAGACTACGGCGATGATGCGGTTCGAAATGGAGCAGCAGCCCTGGCGACATATCTCGAAATGGCCCACGATTGTCATTTGTGACGGCTATTTAAATTCTCTCGTTATCCTCACACACTGATTGATCTATGTGTGTTCACTGGTCAAGAGATTGCCGATAACGCCATGTCATCACCACTCACTACCGACTCTAAAATACTCATTGTAGGAGCCGGGACCTGGGGCTGCAGCACCGCACTTCACCTGGGTCGTCGAGGCTACAAACATGTGACCGTCCTTGACCCTTATCCTGTTCCCTCACCCATCTCGGCTGGCACGGACTTGAACAAAATCCTGGAATTGGGCTCTTTTGCTGGAGACGATGCTGACGAGCGTTATGTATCGAACAAGTTGCTAGAAGCAGCTACGGAGGGTTGGCGTAATGATCCCGTGTTCAAACCCCATTTCCACGAAACTGGCTGTATCTTGGCGGCCACGTCGAACGAAGCTCGTCAGCACATGAACACGCGGGATGGGCCCAGCGAGGCAGGTGGGTGGATTCCGCTCAGGACCAAGGAAGACTTCCAAGCAGCCATGCCTAAGGGTGTATTGACGGGCGAGTTCCCCGGTTGGGAGGGATGGTGGATGCAAAAAGGAGCTGGGTGGGTTCACGCTCGCAAGAGTATGGAGAGCGCGGCTCGGGAAGCTGCTCGTCTAGGGGTCAAATTCATTACTGGCGAGCAGATAGGCCGTGTATCGAATTTGATCTATGATTCTGGCGACGTCCGGGGCGCCATCACTGCTGATGGCACTTACCATTATGCAGACAGGACAATACTCAGTGCAGGCGCCAGCGCGGCGGCTCTGTTCGACATGAAAGATCAACTTCGGCCCACAGCCTGGACCTTGGCCCACATTAAGATGACCCCAGAGGAAGCCAAGTTGTACAAAAACCTTCCGGTGTTGTTCAATATCGAGCGAGGTTTCTTCATGGAACCCGACGAGGATAATCACGAACTGAAGATGTGTGACGAACACCCTGGGTATTGCAACTGGATCTCGGACGCAGCTGCGCCAGATGCTGGCCAGATCAGCTCCCCCTTCGCAAAGCACCAGATTCCGATCGAAAGCGAAGCGCGCTGCCGGGAATTCTTGCGCGAGACCATGCCTCACCTGGCAGACCGACCTTTCTCTTTTGCGCGGATATGCTGGTGCGCAGACACGCCCAACCGGGCATTCCTAATTTCAAAGCACCCAGATTACGCCTCCTTAGTGCTGGGTGTGGGTGGCTCTGGACATGGATTTTGCCATATCCCCGCAATTGGAGGCTTTATTGTTGATGCTATGGAGGATAAACTGGACGACAAGCTGAAACAGAGCTTTCGATGGAGGCCAGAGACAGCCCAGGGCAGGGATTGGAAAGACTTGCAGGGTCGGTTTGGTCCGCAGGGCGCCAATCGGGTGATGGATTTTCAGGATATCAAGCAATGGACAAACATTGGCGAGGATCAAGAGTGAATGGGTGGTCGAAATATATAAAACTTGGAACAGGCACCCCTTCCCTGGAGACAACTGATCGACCGTGTCATGGACGCTAGAGAAAATTCCCCCTTTTGTGGCTGTTGAACCCTCCCTCCACTTCGTCACCAGGATGACCTGACACGCAAAAGAGACCCTACCACTTAATGTGCCTGGCACTCCAGCAAACAAACCGAGAATCTCGGCTACAATCTCGGTTCCAGGTTCACAACACCCATGAGGATTTGGGCTTAACTTGGCACATCTAGCTCTCGGTCATGTAAATTTTTGGCGATAGTGCTGCTGTCCATCAGCATATTAACACGTTATTCAGCACATTGCCAAGCCAGGTCGAGCACAGTCCAAAGCAACAAAGGGGGCCCCCGCTCGCCCAGTAGCAAGTGTGGATGGACAAGCGGGCAAGCTCGTCAAGCATGGCTTGCTTGTCGCCTCCCCACACCCTCTTGGTCAAAAGGTTCTTTTGCCATATTGGGAATGGCATCAGTTTTCCCCAGGTTGTGGAGGTGGGGCATCCAGCCAGTCAGACATCAGACCATGTTCGACCCCCAGTCAGAGTCCGTGCACCTCCGCCTTTCTGGCGAAGCCTAGAACGTGGCGAGTGGTGCGACGCTGTGAAGTGTGCACCTCGTGAACGCTGTGACACGCTGTGCAGCGCCAAACTATCCTGAAAGGGCTCAAGATTACGACCTTCCCACCTCTTCTCCCCCTCCTCAATTGTATTTGCCCGAGTCAGACGCACTCCCACCCTCGCTAAAAGGTGTGAGGAGGATTCTGGGCTGGTACAGGTACATAAAGGTCGCGAGTCTTCGAGTCAGCCAGCTTGACGCATTGTCATCTCCCTTTTTCTTATAGTCCTCACGGTGGACAGTGGATAGTTCTCCATCCAACTCTTCTACCTCCAGACGACTTTGTCGCATCGAACATTCCCCCCACAACGTCACAACAGAAATCGACCATGGAGGCCGACAAGACCCCTCAGCCCAGTGGGAATGAAGGCAGAGGATCTTCCTCGCCGTCGGAGAAGGAGACGGGCGCTCACATCGAGCAAGTCCGCACTTTCGAACGCGTCGAGGGCCATCCCGGCTACTATGAGAAGGACGGCCTGCGAACCTATGGCGACGACCAGGACCATGATCACGAGCCTCCAGTAAGCCTTTTCCTCCCATTTTGCCGTTCTGTACACCACCGCCCGCTTTTGTGAGCCTCCCCCCTTTGCTGATATGCTGCCAAAAGTGGACGACCAAAAGGATCATGAGTCTTGTGGCCATGGCGTTCCTCTGGACCGGCTCTCAGATCCCGGCCTATCTGCTTGGCGGTATTCCCCCTCTGATCTACTCGGAGATCGGAGGCTATGACAGATGGGTCTGGTTCGTGTTGGCATACCTCCTCTCGCTGGCATCCGTTTGCCCTTTTGTGGGCTCCCTGTCCGACCTGATCGGGCGCCGATACGTCGCGCTCTTGGGCTCGGGGCTTCTCGTCATCGCCATGATTGTTGCTGGCACTGCACAGGGGATGAATCAGTTCATTGGTAAGGACTAACCCCGTGTTCGCCTACACCTTCCAAGGGCAATGCGCGACTGACTGATTGAATAGCTGGCATGGGCATCTCTGGCGTGGGCGCCGGTATTTGCGAATTAACATGCCTCGCTGGTACGTCAGAACTGGCGCCTACACGTAAACGCGGCATTTACGTCGCGGCCTTGGTCCTCACAATCATCCCATTCTGCCCTTCGGCTCTATACGCCTGGCTCATTGCCGGCTATTCGAGCTGGAGATGGTGCGCGTTCATCTCGGGCGTCTGGGCCTTGATCGGAGCCGTCGGCGTCCTGGCATTCTACTTCCCGCCACCGCGGCCCAATTCTCGCGGCTTGACCAAGAAACAGATCATCGACGAGATCGACTTTGTCGGCGGCTTCCTCAGCATTTCAGGCATGATCATCTTCCTCGCCGGTCTGCAGTGGGGAGGATATCAGTATACATGGGAGTCTGCCCACGTCTTGGTCCCGCTCATCCTAGGTTTCTTCCTCCTGTTCGTTCTGTTCCCGATCTGGGAGATCAAATACGCAAAATTCCCCATGTTTCCATCTCGCATGAAGAAAGATGCGCGGGTGCTGTCTTTGACCCTGGTGATTACTGCCATATCAGGTGCCAATTTCTTCTCAATCTTGATGTTCTGGCCCACACAGGCTTTCAATGTGTACGGTCACGACCCAGTTGGTACGATATCCCCAAAGCTCAATCCATTGTTCGAGTGCCCCGGTCTAACTCTTGCCAGGTGTCGGAGTCAGAACTCTTCCCATCGGCTTCTCTATCCTCGGTGGTTGCTGCATCATCTTGGTTCTCCTGTCACTGTTCGGCGGACACATCCGTGAGCTGCTCATGGCGTCCTCCATCTTGATGACCGCGGGCTGTGGCGCACTTGCCGCTGCCGACCTCGACAACATCCATGCAGTCTACGGTATCCTTGTTGTCGCAGGTCTCGGTATTGGAGGAATTGTTGTCCCCGCCTCCATCATCACGACCATCATTTGCCCTGACGACATTATTGCCACGGTCACAGCCCTCACGCTGTCGATTCGCGTGATTGGCGGCTGCATCGGGTATACGACCTACTACAACGTTTTTGTCAACAAGTTCAAGGTCAAGATTGTCGAATACCTCGGAGCAGTCATGGTTGGTCAACTTGGAATCACCAACGAGACGTACATTGTGAACGCCATCACAATCACCGGTCTCTCCCTCCTAGACGAACTCAAACAGATCCCCGGCATCGCTGGCAATGAAACAGCTTACCAGATGGTGGTGACTGCCGGACAAGTGGCCTACTCCGAGAGCTACCGCTGGGTGTATCTGGTGTCGATCGCCTTTGGAGGGGTCGCCATCATCTGCTCTGCGTTCCTGGGCAACATTGAGAAGTACATGGACGACCACGTGGCGGTTGTCATCTAGTGGTGGTAGAGATTGCAGTTCCTGAGGGGAGCATGAGCATGATAGGAGAGTGTGCTTGTGTAGTAGTAACGTAAATAGTTTCGGCATGGGCAGTTGTTGACGAGGAAGATCGTACATGAGTCCTTTCGGTCACGACATCTCGCCCGATCTTATGCCTCGTGTTCTCCAGAATGAAATTGGAATATTTCAAGTCGCAAATTCCACCCACTGTTCCTCGTTGCTCTTGTCGAGAAAAGGGGATCTACACGACTGTGAAGCAAAGAGTCGTGCTCGTTTTTTAGGCATCCAGGGTAGATAGATAGAGAATCTAAACAATGCCGAATGATAAGGATCTCCATGATCTGGTATCACTGCTCCCTCCCTGGCCTCGAGATTTGGTAGGGAATGGCAAAGTTGACCAGCAACAAAGGGGGTCAGTGCCTGCTCGATGCTGATGTAAGCAACCACGTGGCAATCCTCATAGTACGTACGGCGGAGTATTCAGTGATGGCATACGAACTACGGTTGAGCAAATAGGCGACTTCCTTTCCCCTTCGATCCTCTCGTGCCTCTTTAGCCATTGCAATGCAGTCTCTTGCAGCCCCAGTTGGGTGCCAGTGGCTGGACTACTTGACTAGTGATATGCAGACAAGATCATCGCAGCAGTAAAGTAAAGATACTGTCCCTTCTTTGCTTCCCCCGTCATTACACCCAAGTCTCTCAACCCCTTGTCTTCTCGCTCGCTCATTCGCAAAGCCTACAGCACACTTCGAATCACTACACCCCATGATCGAGGCTGTCCTAGATATGGCTGTCAATGGCAGGCACTAACATGGGAACTGACTAATGGATCATGCGCGCGTCCTTTGAACAGCAGATCCTCCACATTCCAGACTGACAGTTTTGATCCCTTGCGGCGAAGCTCCCCAATCTCCCACATTCCAGTCATGGCTGTCAGCGCCCTTGTGCAAACAGCACCCGCGAAACTCGCCTTCTCCACCATGTTTCGGACTGCTGCGAGGTGGGTGATCAATAGACAACGAACGAAACGTGAAAGATGTGGCCCTTATGGCTAATCATAGTGATTGCGGTGGTGGGCGCGGCAATTCTCACCTGTACAGGGATCTTGCTTGCAATCACGCTGGAGCGACGCCGACATCGCCATATCATGAGAGCCCACGGATTGACCAGAGGTCTCAGCAGATATCATCGTCCAAATCTCAGTGCCTCCGAGCACAACTACTCTCACGTTACACATCCGACGACAGCTTTGAGACGAAGCGTGCAGCTCCCTTTCGGAATCATATCTATCGGGGGCGACAGTGCTAGCGAAGATGAACAGACGCGACTAGACGCGACGACCGGTCATGTCGACGATTTTGTCGAAGTTCTGCGCCCTCGACGCAAAAGAAGCATCCGACGGCCTTTTACTGGTCAGCCGCTCTATATCCCAAAGACCCGAAAACAGGGAAAGCTACGGAAGGCTGTACCATTTGATCACATCCAAAAATCCCCCCTCTCGGCTATCACCGAGTTCAGTGATCCTTCGACAGGCGTGTCACCAATGGTGCCCGAATTTCCATCAGAAACAACGGAAATTACCACAAACGATAAGGGTGAGGCTGAATCAGAATTTGATAACCCCGCTCAATGGCCCTTGAGAGCCGCAAGCACGAGAGCCTCCGATATCATCCCCACTGAAATCACGTCGATAGCAGCACGAGACAGCGTTCTCATGAGGAAAGGGGCAGCAAAATACAGTCAGGCGGCTGCTGTTCCTCGCTCAGCAAGTGCAGCCAGCATGGCTTCTTTGGCACCCGACGAACCCTTGCCACCTTTGCCGACAATTCAGGTCCCACGGAATCTCAAGGCAAGAACCTCAGATGCCAGTTTGGACACAGTTGGCAGCTCAGTCTTGGGGGCCTTTATGAGTTCGCCTGCGAATAATAGTATGGAGCGCAACGCTTCGAAACTCGATCCGAACCAACATACTCCTACGATGAGGCTGGGATACGAGCGTAAGTTCTCGACTCCAACACTCCAAGCGCCGCCTGTCAAACAAACGATACATGGTCTTTGTGCTGGCCAGCCGAGCATTCGATCGCTTCATCCGACCGTCGACACAGACGACCTAAGCTCGGGCAGTACCAATATCCTGTCGAATCCCACACCATACCCAACAATCATTGTTCAAGAGGAATCTTTCAAGGTCATCGATGCGAGTGGCTGGGATCTACCGCCACTCAAAGTTGCCAAAACAAGGCTTCCGTCGGACAAGCATAGTCGACATTCGATGATAGAACAGTCGAGAGTCGCCCAGTGCCGAGCGATCAGTGACTCCGCCACAAGCCTGCTCGCTGATGAGGATGTATTTTCTGTGCTGGAGGGTCCCAAAAGACCCAATTCAGTGGCGACCGGCAATTTTTTGAAGTGGGATCGACAAGGTAGCTTTGCAACGAAACGGCACTCTTTGTCTTCTTTAGATGGAGCAAAGCGAGGTCACAAACGGCAGAATTGCGTTCGCATAACTAATCTGCCCTATCTGGATTTGAGATCAAATGGCACCATGCGTTTGCCTGAGCTCAAAGAGGAGCAGCAACAGCTAGCTTACGTCAACAGGATCGAGGTAGATGAATCGTTTCATGGCTTCGACATCAGACACCCTCGACCAATGTTCCAGACCGAGCCATCGGATGCATGCACCAGACCGACCACGACTGCTATACCGTCTCCCTTTCGAAACCCACCCATACTGACGCCCACACCTCGCCCCGCGAGAAGGCAGTACATACAACGCCCCGACAGTGCACTTTCAGGCACACCTAGACCAGATTCCGAGGTCTTCAACTCCAGCCACATGGCTATGCACGTATCAAACCGTCACCACACGTCACCTCATGATTGGCCACTTTCGCCGAGCTCGCGACCCAGCGCTCCTTTGAGGAATACGCCACCATCATCCCGACAGCATGAACGGGTTCCAATTGAATCTCCCACCTTGCCCTCACCCGCGTTGAAATCAGCCTCCCTCTATCCTCGCAAGTCTCTTGTCCAAGGGCCACGCGACCCTCGAAATTCGACTCCGGGAAACCATGCGGCCTCTGCGAGTCCTCTCCAGAACAAGATTGGACCACACTACCGGATTACTAAGGCTCGTGACTCTAGCGAGTCGGGAGATTTTGCGCTTCGGAAATCAGTTATGATGCTACGGAGCATGGACTCTGAGGGTCGTCTGCTTGAGCAGCCGAGTACCAAATTGTCCCACTTTGGCGCAGCCGGATATGAAAGTCCTGAAAGTGTCGCGATTCCCTCTCCGCTGATGAATAAACGTGTCATGGGTCTCCGAAGCACGAGCTGTACATCATCCATGGCAAGCACACCTCGATCTACATCATTGGATAGACAGCAAGTCAATCGCGGCTCCAGTCCGTTGGCTCCGTCGGGCTCGAACTTGAACAGACCTCCCCAAACAAGGGTGGGAGTACGCACCTCATTGCACGGCGACTTCGACCTGACACCACCACTCATTTCCGTGTCGCCATCCGTGATGTCGATTGGTGGTGGTTCAATCTGGGAGGACGTCAGTGTGCGCGGTGAGAGCCCCGAGCCTGAAGTCCATGTGGCTCCGCTGGCTCTGCAGACCAGGACGGATCACAACCAGCAACGGCATCCATCGGCCCCGACACTACAAATTCGGCGTGATGAGGATTTCTTCAGTGCCCGGCGCAACGGGCAGTACCTCGTCCCACATGCACCTTTTGTGGGCTCTGATGCTGAGAACTCGCATTTGGTCCAACGACTCGAACGAGCTGTGAGCAGCGGTCAATGGAACCACAAGGATAGTTTCGTTCCCGATGATAACCCGTATCTGAACATGGCTCCAGTCCAGTACGACGTATCGGGTCAGCGAGGAACTGGTGTTTTCCAACCTCCAAATCGGCCCAGAGAGGAGATCGGGCTGGGCTGAAGGCTCGGGGACTCGATGGTGAGGAGTACATAACAGGAGAGGGAGTATGGTGAAACATACCCCCTCCTCTCTCCATGTTTACTTGCAAAGTCGACCCTTCTCCTCTGAGTATGTCGGATGGTTATTGAAATGATCGCGCTTGCTGTTCTGCTCTTGTTGATGTGGGTATGATGGATACAGGGCCTTCTACTGCTTTTCGACAAACATTCTTCTATTGTGTCACTTGTGCTGTTGAATCCTTCTTCCCGTGTCGGGTATTTGAACAAGATAGTTTCCTTCATTTGTCTTGTTACTTTTTCTTCTGCTTCATCTTCTTTACTACTTCTTCTTTCTGATGATTTGATGGTAGCCTAGGGCGGCGGGCTGGGAGGGTCGTGGAGCGAGCGCTCTGCATTGTGGATTGTTAAAGTGGCCACTGCCCCCTTCTATTTTCTTCTTTATTTATTTGATGATTTGCACCTTTCGATCACTATCCGTGGGATGGGTTCTATGTGTTGTTACTTTGATTCGGGGACTGGGGACACAGGCATGGACTTGTGATGAAAAGCGACCTTGAATTGAATGCCGGCTTTGACTTATCAGATATAAATGTACTGGCCAGAAATTGAGAGGTTCGACATGATCGGTCTTGAAATACTACAAATACCAGGCTCCTTGTTTGTCGCCGTGTCTCTTTTTGACGCTGAGCCGCGCGGGTTCTGTGCTGGGCAGACAGCATAATGCTAATGGTATTATCCTACTTGTCCCTTTGTCTGATTCATGTTGTATGTAAGTGCTCCTACGAAGATTCACTGTTTCTTTTCAGCTTTCTGCCAGTTCCTTGACCAAGGGTAATTGCATTCACTGGGCGAGGCTGTGTGATGAGTGTTCTTGTCCTGTGAAGCAAACAAATGAGCGCTTTGAGAGGATTGATGCGGACATGTTGATATAGGCACAAGAGTCCTGACTGATGGCGTCTGACGAACGGTTTGATGACCAGTTTACCATATCAATATATGTCGTCGATGACAGCTCTTTCTATACACAACTCAGGATAAGGACAGGAAGCAGTTATACCGTCACGTGAAATCGCGTCATTAGCGCGAACCTGTGCGGCGCGAAAAGTCGCGTCGTCCATCTTCTCTGCCTGCCTGCGCACCTGCAACCTCAACCAATCGTTCACCTCCCCACGTCTGTTATGCGCCGAGGACAAAGGCCTCGATGCCCTTCAAGTTCAAGTACCTCGTACAACTCCTCGAAGAACTCGATACAGCCCAGAAAAAAGCACAATCATCCTCAACGCGCCCTTCGCGGCCCTTGCATGAACTCATCATCCAGTGGTTCAGGAACCACGACTCCGAAATCGTCCGACATGGACCCTCCGCCGTGGCATTCCTGTCTTGCCTGCTGTTGGAGCGAGTGCCACATCTCGTCTATGGCCTGCAGCCCAAGCCCTTAGCTGGCGTCTTATCCAAGGCTCTGTTCATCGAGAACACATCCCGTAGTCGGCAGCTACTTGCGTGGGAGGCTACAGGTTTCGATTTTGCGACCTGTCTTGAGAAGTGTGTTATGAGCCTGGCCGAGAATGATCCACCGCCTGTCGATAGAGAGGTAACGCTGGAGGAGGTCGATGCTGTTTTGCGACAGCTTGCCGCCAATTCCAGGTTTGCTTCGCCCGAAATGAGGAAGCATAGAGATGGCGCTAGGTCTGAGACCCTTCTGCGATCCATTCTATCGCGGCTCCATAGCAAAGAGGCCAAGTGGTTTGTGAGGATGATTCAGAAGTCCTATGACCCCGTCCAGATTCCAGAGCACCTGGTCCTGGGATGCTTCCACTTTTTGCTGCCTGATATTCTCCCATTCCAGAACTCTCTCGTCGAGGCGATCAAAGTCCTAGGGCAACCCGAATTGGTCTCCATCCCTCATGACCCACCCCGTGCTCTGCAACGAAGGTATCGACAAGAATGCGCTCGACACTTGACACCCAAGCTTGGTGTCATGATCAAGCGCCAAGAGTATGAAAGGGCGAGGAGTATCAGGCACTGCTGCCAGATAGCGAACGCGAGGACGATGAGCATCGAGCGCAAGTATGACGGCTGGTACTGCCAGGTCCATATCGACAAGTCAAAAGGCAAAGACTGTATACAGCTATTCTCCAAGCGTGGTAAAGACTCGACGAAGCCTTGGTTCCGGCTTCACGGAGCACTGGAGGCCGGCCTACGTCTTAGTGAACCGGATTGTGCGATCGCTCAAAATTGTATACTTGAAGGCGAAATGTTGGTCTGGAGTCACTCGCGGAGAACCATTCTGCCATTCGAAAAGATCCGGAAATATATCCAATACAACGGCAGAGCGGTAGGCGCCGCTGCCGACTCTCCAAGATCGTCAGACGAACAATTGATGATTATATTCTATGACTGCCTTTGGCACGACAATCAGAACCTTGTCAACCAGCCTCAATATTTGCGGCGCCGTCGATTGGAGCAGATTGTCAGCGTTACCGAAGGTTTTGCTCAGCTCGGCGAGTGTCGGGAGATTAGATTCGGCACGAAAAGCGCCAAAGAGGAACTCCAAAAGTTCTTCGGACATGCGATTGAACAGAGATGGGAGGGGTTCGTGCTGAAAGGCCGCCGCGATGCCTATTTCTCAACTCTGTGGAACGCCAATGCGATCAAGTTGAAGAAGGACTATATCAAGGGACTCGGGGATGCAGCTGACCTCTGCATCGTTGGCGGTCGCAAAGACGCGGCGGAAGCAGACAAGTATGGCTGGTGCGTCAACTGGACGACGTTCTATGCCGCATGCCTCAAGAATAAGGAAGCCGTCCAAAGATTCGGGCTCAAGCCAGAATTTCTGATCATTGACATCCTGACACGTCAGACCATGTCGGAAGAGACGTTTCGGGAGCTGAATCAACGTGGTTTGGGATTCTGCTCGCCCTTTTCTGAATCGACCGAGCACATGAACGTCACCAGCGACCAGCCAGATATCGCGCGCCAACCTCCCACAATCTTGTTCACCAAGCCGTTTGTTGTTGAAGTGACTGGAGCCGCCTTTACCAAGCCCGCAGACGTTGCCTACTACACGCTGCGGTTTCCTCGTGACGTCAAGTTGCACTTTGGTCGGTCTTTGACGGATACTCACAGCTTTGAAGAGCTACAGGAGATTGCAAGAGAGAGCCTCACTCCTGCGGATCCCGAAGAACAGGAAGAGGTTGATTGGATCAGACGTCTCATTGAAGCTGATGGAAAGCGACATCAGTGTGTCGACCTCCACGCGGGAGGCACACCGAGCCCTTCGCGTTCATCCGCTGCCAGCATCAGCATATGTGCCTCGTCCCCTCCATCTGCCAGCCACATTCAGACTACCGGCGGACACCCATCGCAATCACCCCTGAGCAGTCGCAATCTTACTGTTATGCGTAACGGCACACCGAGCCCCAGGCTCACCCGCAGCCATGAATCGTCTCCTCTTGCATTGGCAGCAACCGATGAAGAGAGTGTGGGGCCGTCCGTAGGGCCAATACGACCAAGGTATGATGCCTCTGGTCTCGAATCGGGGGTCAAACGTAAATATGAAACTTCCAGCTTGGCCATGACGGTCGACAAGCGACCAAGAAATAATAATACTGTGAAGGGGCTTCTTACTCCTCTAGAGTCCTCTCTTCGAGACCAGATGACCTCTGTCCAACCCCATGAACCTTCAGCAGTATTCCGATCTCCACGAAAACTCACGGAACGGAGGTATTCTGCCTCCACCCCACGCGAACCTCTTGGTGAGCTGAAAAACGTCCGTGCCAAACCGGCGTCAGAGCAGAAAAGTACCACTCCAGCTTGGCCTGTTAATCACGGCGACGAGCTAGATCCTAAAAGGCCCGTCGGGAAGCTTGCAGAGAAGACGAGTCTCGCATCTCAACAAGCGAGTCCATGCCTGACGCAGCCAGCAGCCTCCGCTCTGGACAATATCATACTGACGGTCATGTCATCTTCGACGCTTCGCCTCGAGGACGTCAAGTCGGCCAATTGGCTGACGGTGGTGTTTGTGCAGCTCGTCGACAAGACATACTCGAAGAGCGTGCGCGACACTATCTACGAAACCACAAAGGCAGTTCTGAAAGAGTACAGAAGACGGCGCAGCGAGGAGAAACAACGGCGGCTGGACCACCGTGGGGAAGGTCTGGTACCGACAGCACCGATCCCTCGGCCACGACGGCAGCAGCAGCAGCAGCAGCAAAGGATGATTCTCTTTTACGACGAGAAGATTCGATCTCAATCTCAATCTCGGCCTCTACCTTCTTTCTCGGATCCGTCGTCGCCAGAACTTCTCAGAGGTGCAGGCGACGTGTTGCGGAGGAAGTCGTCCAAGAAGTATTTCGCGGGGGGATTGCTCTTGACTATCGACGAGGATAAGGACGAGGTTGTGTCCAGAGTCATCTGGCATTGGCGCGAATCTGTCATGCTTTTGGACGAGGTGCAGTACAAATACAGTATATGCAGGGTAGAACAGTCGTGAGCGAATAGGAGGCAGGAGACAGGAGACAGTAAGACGTCAGCAAGGATACCAGGATGTTTAGAAGTAGGTCTATATCACCACGGGTAGACATGTGGGCGTATCGACATGTGGGATATGTAAATATGTAGATATATAGTTGTGTAAATATATAGGTATGTAGGTATATATTGTAGGAATGTAGTTGTGTAGACATCTGGACATGTAGACACGCAGCAGACCAAACATCCCTGGACCATTATGACGGATCATGATGATCAGGATTATCCTCTCTCTAAAACAACCACGCGACAAAGGTGCGGTAGAACCAACCGCCGCGCTTCTTCCCCTCGGCGTCCCTCGCGGCCTTTTGGGCCAAAAACTCCTCTTCCTCGCGGTCGATGGCGTCCTTGCCGGTCCACAGATCCGCGTGGGCGGGGATCACGCGGGGACAGCGCGTCCACAGCTTGTACCCGACAATCATGATGATGTAGAGCGGGATGCCGAGGTAGCCCGTGATGAAGTTCTTGTAGTCGAAGTCGCCGTAGGTGGAGGGGGAGCGGACGAAGACGGAGAAGTTCTTGGTCAGCGCGATGAGGATGCACATGGCCAGGGCGCCGTAGGAGCCGGGCACGCCCAGCGGGGCGGTGTACGCCAGCGAGGTGACCGGGACGGACTGGGCGCGGCGGGCGCGCACGAAGCAGATGTGCGCCACGAGGATGGAGATCCAGGTCAGCAGGCCGAAGATGGTCGTCAGGTTGACAAAGTACCCAAACACCGTCTTGGAGTCGTCCGACACGTTCATGAAGGCCAGCAGTGCGAACGCGGCGGACAAGCCGAGGGCGTAGATGGGCACGCCGCGCGCGTCGGTGCGCTGGAAGAGGCGCGGTGCGTGGCCCTCGCGCGCCAGTCCATAAAGGGTCCGCGACGCGATGTACAGGTCCGAGTTGGACGCCGAGAAGACGAAGAGCAGGATACATCCATTCAGGATTCCCGGCAGCGCGTTGATGCCCGCCAGTTTGATGGCCACGACAAAAGGCGATGCGGACGCCGAGGACGACGCCTTGTTGGCGAACGCGAGCTCCTCGCTGTCGTAGGGGACCAGCATCCCCAGCAGCAGGACGCTGAGGCAGTAGAAGAAGATGATCCGGTAGAAGGTCAGCTTGATGGCGCGCGGGATGGTCTTGCGTGGGTTCTGCGCCTCGCCGACCGTGACGCCCACCAGCTCAGTCCCGAGGTAGGCAAACGTGGCTGTCCCGACCGTCGACCAAAATGCAAGGAATCGTCCCGTGGCGCCGTCTTCGATGTACTCTGCAAACGCGCCGGGGTTGTTCCAGTACCGGAACCCCTTGCGGTCATGGTCCGGCCCACCGCCCAGTGCGAGCACGAGAGACAAGATGATGACACCGACGATGACGATGACCTTGATCGTCGAGAGCCAGAACTCGAACTCGCCGAAGAAGCGAATGCCAAAGTAGTTGATGCAGACGATCGCGACCCAAAAGACGGCGATGAACACTCCGGGATTCACGCGGTCTCGGTCCACCCAGTACTGGATGATCAGTGCCCCAGCCGTCAATTGATTTGGTGTTACTATGATATACTTGAACCAATACCTGCGCACGGTCAGCCTTTTTCCGAAGGGATGTAGAGATGGGAAACCCACGTGTAACCGAGAGCAAACCCCAGGGCAGGATCGCAGAATCGGGCGGCGTAACCGGTGAAGCCAGACGACAACGGCAGCCAGGCGGCCATTTCTCCCAGCGCACACATGACAAGGTAGACAAGGAATCCGACAATGGTGTACGAGATAAAGATCGAGCCAGGGCCTGCTTGTGCCAGGGCTTTGCCAGTTCCGATAATCAGACCAGTCCCTGTAGTCCAAAGGTCAGGCTATACATCATTTTGTTGGTTGGCCTCTGTGTAACCCACCGATAGCGCCACCGATCGCAATCATAGTTATGTGGCGCGCCTTGAGGCCTCGGTGAAGACGAGTGTGGTCTTCATCCTCGACGCCACGAAGGCCCTGTTGGCTCTCTATGGGCGATATTGTTTCGTCTCTAATTTGCTTCTCTGCCACATCCGCGTCCGGGGACGAGGAGGAAGATCGTTTCTGGAAATCCATTTTGCAAGGCAATCAAACGACGATAGAGGGAATGGAAGGAAACACGACAGGCCAACTGACCTATCTGCTCTTCAGCTTCACGGAAGGTGAGAGAGGGCCAGAAGTGAGGAATGATCCAAGGAAGAGAACTCGGTACTTATCTTTTGACGCAACCTCGCCTGGCAAACGCGGGCAGACTGATCCCTCTCAGATCCCATGCTGATCAGATGTCGCCTAGACTTGGGCGTGTACTATGTCACATTCTAGCAATGACCAGGGATGAGGCTGTGCCAAGTATCCTGGGCAGACCAAGGATCGGCACTATGGGCGGGACTCCGTACCAGTGGCGTGCGTGACTGGCGTAATCCAAGAGGATTTGCGGGGGTTGGATGGAGTTGGTTCGCTGCATCGGAGCTCGAGTGATGAGACCCAAGAAATACCAAGACCTCTTGGAAGCCCAGGGAAAGATAAGAAGTGGGAGCTTTTTTGTATTACACCGGGGTCCAAGTTGCAGTACGATAGTAAGAGGGTGACATTGTAGCGGGACTGACCGACGAGGTTGACCCATGTCTGAAGCTGGGCGATGCAGGGCCAGCTTTGCACAAATCACAGATCGTAGTATCTCGCCATGTGTACAAAGAGCTGATCAACCTCGGAGGCGAAAGCTGGTGGAGACAGAAGCGCGGGAGATCTGCGTTGTGATAAAGGGCCTTCACCAACGTCTTTCTGGGTATTGCTGGAGATAGAGATGCGACTTGCAGGGCAGCACTCGGCAGAGGCGTCGTTGTAGTGTCCAGATTCATTCCGTCTGTCTTCTTGTAATCGCTCAATCTGGTACCAACAATAGCGCTGGTATATCTTGAGGAGTTGCCGTGGATAGAGGAACCCTATAGTGCTTTGATATCCCCATAGCAGTAGCCATCACTCATCAAGCAGCTTGTGGTCATCTGGATCCTTTGTGAACCGATGATGTTGCTGCTCCTGAAGGATTTGTTGATAATATTATTGATTGACTGAGTCGAGTGCGTTGTTGGTGCTGCTCGATAGATATATGTGACTGCCAGGCACATCCTATAGTCACATGAAATAGGTTCCTGGTGTCCTCATAACATACCTGAATGCGTTTTGCTTTTCCCATGGCCGTTCCCCTATTCCAACAGAATTGCTTGCTGGATTTCTATCCCAACCGTTTCAATCTCCCCTGAAAATGTCCCATAACGTTGAAAGCCAGCCACCACCTTCGCCGTCGCCTCCCCCTCCGGTTCCCGCCCCTGGCGCTCCGTCTATAAAAGGTTCCGAATCTTCTGAGCCCCAGACATCCTCACCTTGTTGCTGCTGCGGCGGCGGCGTCTGCGGTGGCTCACCGGAACCACCTTGTGAATCTCGAGGGTCCCAATAAGTATCTTCTGCGCCCGTTTGCTGCCGCCTAGAGGCTTCGTCATCGCTTCTAGGTTCGGATCTTTGTCCCAGTCCTCTTTGCATTGCTTCGTAACCTGCCATGGTTCCGGCACCTGCAATCGCGCCCTCGCCCATGCCTGCTGCTCCTGCGGCTGATCCAACTGCTCGGCCAGCTCCACCCAAAACGGCGCCGCCAGCTTCGGCAGCACCGGCAGCACCAACTGCTCCAGCCTCTCCAGCCCCAGCCGCTCCGGCTCCTGCTGCCCCACCGGCCGCCTCTCCACCACCTCCAAACCAGATAGGGAAGAAACCATGTCCTCCGCTATGACGGGAAAAGTAGTCATAATCAATCGTCACGGCGGTGGCGAGCATCACAGCTCTTTGATCGAGAGTCATCCCATAGGTGCCTTCGTTCCCTCCCAATGCTTCCGCATAGTCACGATCACCCTCCTTGTCGACCGGATGTTCCATCCCAGCAGCGTCCATTCGCAGAACATAGCTTCCAGTATCGGTGAATATTTCCCGCCCAAACCCGCGAAATTCGCGATTGACCGATCCAATCTTACGCTTGTTCTGATCTAGTAGAGAAAAATCCCAAGATAAGAAGGGCTCGTTGACGGCAGCGAATTGGACGAAGTCTGTGGTCGAACCAGACCTGTTGTTTTCAGCGAGTTGACTCTGCTGCAAGCTGGACAGTCCCTCTGGTCTCCTCTTCGAGATAGCGTGAGGCCCAGGCTCATTCAAGGCGAGATCATGGGAAAGAAAGAGATCGTATTTCCGGCGCAGTGGAGCCCATTGTGAATGTGTTTCGCCAATTATGCGCATTGACTCCAGCGGCAGAGGAGATATTTGTGGCTGGTCCACCGGGTCCGCATTGTTTTGTGGGATGAGGGCCGTGGACGAGGATCTTGGTGTGTTGGAGTGAGGATCCCAGGGATCGTAGACCCGAATGCGCGTATTGATCCACGAGAATGGGCGATGGAATCTCAACACCTCCTTAGAGTGGCGATCGAAAACGTGGGTAGTGAACGCGCGGTGTGTCGTGAAGAACTGCCTCCTCATAGTGTGCCCTATACCACCATCGTGCTCAGCCATATACCCGATGTGATTCCCATGGGGGTCGAGGATGACATATCGATTGGCTTGCTCGAAGCCGATCAACACATTCATCATTTCAAGTTGCCGTTGGACGACGATGCCGGACTGAGACAGGATGTCGGTGGCGGGGTGGTCGGACCTGAGGATGGCGTTGGCATCTTCTGCTATATGTACAGGGGCGAGGAGAGAATTGTCCTGGGGACTTGTTTCGGCGAGAAGGTCCTCCATCGACGGAGGTTTGGGAGGAGGATCCCTCTGTGAGGACGAGGATGTCGAGCCATCTTGGTCTTTCTTTGGGTTGGAGGCTGTGGACGACCGCCGTAGGTTTTCGTGGAGACATCTAGAGACGGTGAGAATTTGCCGCCTCGGCCTCAGTGCAGCGAAAGCAGAGGGCCTGAGGAGGAAGAGAGGTTGTGACATCTGGGATTACAGGCAGGATGTAACGGGTGTGATGGCTGTCCTCAAGGATTGCGCGACCAAGCAACTACTATTCTTCAAAAGTCAGAGCAAAGGATGTGACAGCATGTTGTGATGAATGACCTCAGTGGAAGTATAGCTTCCCGCGAGCTGGATTCATAAAGCGATTACACCAGGACGTTCATCCTGCAAGACGGACACCGAATAAATCCAATACTCACAGTATTCATTACAGATGTGCTGTTGGCGCAGTTTGGAGAAATGCAAAAGTGACGCTCACAAACCCCGAGTGTAGCTCCACAGCGTCAGAGCTCCGCGGGTCTGCTCCTCCGGCGAAATAGTTGCTCCGCGCCCGTGACGAATTATGCGACATTCAAAGACCTGCAAGGTCGTGAAGGATTCTATACCTCTCCAGAGGAGCAACTCTTTTTTTCAGGAGGATTATGTCATGCATCTGAACGGCCTGTTATTCAGCTTGCAACCCATTTCCTCCTAACAGCCGCACGTTTCGAGCCCAACCTCCCCTCCAAATTCCCGAACCACGAGGAGACCTCACATCCGATGTGGTCCCGCCTAATTTGACCCTTCAGGCGATCTTGAAACCAGCGATGGGGCTCAATGAAAAGACGGAGCAAAGCTGAAGATAGGAGATAGGTCACAATAAGACTCAAATGGTGTTGTCTCTCCTGCTTGGTCTGGATTTCGCCATCGCTACCACCTTCGATGAGCAGTATCAACCTGGCTGAAGTGCCCGAGATAGCGACAAAGTACGGAATAGGGACGAGCCGGTGTCAAAGGATCAACAAAATTGCGGGGGTGGCTGCCTCTGTCGAGCTATCAAAAGCCCCCTGGATCATTTTATACGAGCCCTAAGTATCTCTCCAAGCCATCAACCATTTTAGTCGTGTCGCCAACTCGGATCTGGAAGACCCCAACTCTATACCCGTACCTCGTACTTCGGAACCCTCAACCTCGACAAGAATGTGTCCAGAGTCGCAGCATGAGCTGCCACGGCTGAATTCTTTGGTGACAAATATCGAATCCCCACCTCAAGCAAAAAATGTGCCTTGTCTGCTTGTCTCATCCACTCACGGCCCAGAACTCGCCATCAAGACTTTTTCGCTCGCACAAGATACCGTATAACTGTTAGGACTGGGGTACCATCGAGCGTTAAGGGGCCACAGATTGAAGTATAATTGGAAAGGGCCTGGTTCAGGCGCCCAAGCACTCCACTACCGATAGGACTGATACACCATGCTAGGCTAGCGTTCTCAATGTCGCAGACTCCGGCCAACGGCAGGCGGGTAAGCAGGCTGATTTACCTATCAATCGCCATCCTTTTGCACAGTATAATCACCAGCAGCTTCAGCGATCCCCGGCCACAATTGACGCGATATCAAGTGCATTACTTTGCTGGGGATGATGGCCTCCTCTATACCAACAGTGAAAAGCCGCAGACTATGGCCAAGCCCAATTTCGGGTCCTGAAAACAATACCAGGAGCTAGGCGCTGTTACACACACCGGCCCCAGACACGGGCTGGGCTGTTTGGAAATATGGGGCGATGCACGTTTCAGAATGTCAAAATGGGCGCCTGCGTTCGAATTCTTCCTTGTCAACTTCTCTACATCATTCTTCTGTCATCGTTATCACTGTTGTTGCTATCGTGGTCGACGTCAACATCATGCTGGGCGCCATTGTTGCGCTCGGCCTCGTCGCCGCTCATGCGACTCAAGCGATCCTCATTCGCGACACCATTCTACAATGGTTCTGGCTTGCTTGTACGAAGTTACCCATTCCGTTGCCGTTGTGACAGATTATTGTGCTTGTTTACTGACTCTCACAGCGGTGGCTGATGACAACTACTTGTATATCACGGGAGGCGAATTTTATGAGCCGGAAGATGACGTGGTGACCATGTACTATCGTAAGAGACGATGGCTGCTCAAACATCTTGAAGCGCCCTTCTTCTGACCCCATTTATCTTTAGAGGGCAATACGCTTGTGGTCGACCTCAGACAATCCTGGACGAACCAGACAGTCGACGCTGTTACTTCAACACCTGATCCAGATGGAATGATATATGTCCGACAACCGATGGTATTTTACGACAAGACCCGGAACAAAATAAGCCGCTATGGCGGATGGCCGTACGAAGTGACGGATTTCCCATCTTTGCTATGGTCCTTCACTGCAGGATCGTCTGGTGTTACGTGGAAGAATGAGACGCCTCCTGCCACCGACGGCCTCGCAGCGAATTCGCCAGGCCCGTTCGCCTCGGCGAACGCCTACACCAATTCCACGTTCTACAACTTTGGTGGGAACGTCGTGAGCTCGTTACCCGACATGACGGTTCTGTCTGGCCTCGTCACTCGAGACTTTGAGGCTCAATCTTGGATGAATTCCACCGCCATTCTCCCCAACCAGAGCAGATATCGCACGCAAGCCCGCATGGTCCATGCACCGACTTTTGGGAACCAGGGATTTCTCGTCGTTGTCGGTGGGGAGGCCCCTCCTACGCAAGAATCTGTTTACGAGGCTGGCGCTCATATGGTCGACATGTCCGTCATCACTCTGTATGACATTGAAACGGGGAACTGGTATACGCAAACAGCGACAGGAGATATTCCACCTCCGAGGTCGGAGTTCTGTGCCGTCGGTGCATCGTCCCGGGGTGGTGCCAGATTTGAGCTGTAAGGACTGTTCTTTGCACCGAGCTCCATGATAGAGTTTTGCTCGACTAATAACGGCTCTCCTAGGTTCGTTTACGGTGGTTCAACAAACGCCACATTTGATTTAAACCACAGCTCCGACGAGGGCTATCTCAACGTCTACGCACTGTCCCTGCCGGCTTTCCGGTGGTTCAAGTCGAATTCGACAACTCCCGTGCGTCGAGCTTGCAACGCTTGCACGGTCATTGGGAACAGACAGATGGTGTCGATAGGTGGAAGATTGCCCAGCTCTCTACAGGCATTCGGCAGCGAAAAGGATCCCTGGCCCAGCGGTCTGGGGGTTTTTGATATGACCGATTTTGAATGGGTCGACCATTACGACGCAGCAGCTGCTGCATACGAAACGCCTGATGTGGTCAAGCAGTACTACTCGGAACGTTACAAGGAGCCAGATTGGAGCGACGCGACATTGGCCAGCGTATTTGGTATGTCATTTCTGTGCCCTCTTCGGGGATGTTGAAGTGCCTTTTTTTTTGCAAAACCTTTTCTAATGAGCCGTTTCTCTCCAGCGTTTACGCCACCCGCAAGCTCATCATCCGACAATTCGACTTCCACGGACGGTTCTAGCAGTTCTTCGACTGGGCAAGCCTCACCGACGCCCCCGGCAGTCGTATCTACCAAGAAGACCAACACCGGCGCAATCGTCGGCGGAGTGATTGGTGGCGTTGCGCTCCTCGCGATCATCCTGGGCCTGTGGTACTGGATGGCAGTGCGACGCCGCCGACGAGCCCGGGCAGAATTCGCCGCCATGGCGGACAAAGACGGGGACGGAAACACAGAAGTCGATTACAAGGATCAAAAGTACACGCCACCGATGGAAGCCGCGTCGACACCAATGTACGAAGCAGACGACAACTCCCGCTCGGAATTGAATGGGTTGCCGCCCAAACCGCAGCTGATAGCCGAGTTGCCTGTGAATGAGGAGCCGGTGAGAAATCCCGGCGCGGCCACGAGATGACACTTATTTGCACTTTTGTACAAACACACCAAAAAAAGAACGGTTGACGACCAATACACACAAGGACCGCTTTCCCCCCAGCGCTGGCGTTTCGGAATGATTTGCACGGGGTTGTGTATTCCTACCAGCTCACCTACCTAACTACCTACCCACCCACGCACCCACGCAACCCATCTACCTATGTATGTACCTATGTACCCATGTACCTACCAAACACATCTGGGGAGTGGGTAGATAGAAGATGTATAGACCATAGGGGGCTAGGCCACGGACACGGGCCAGATTCGTTTCTTTTGAAAGGACTTTGCATTACATTACATTACTCGGTACATTTCATTGCATCTCCGAAGTGGTGAGATAATGCCGTTGAGCGGCGTTATATCACGTCCCTGAGTTGCAGCTGGGGCCAGCTGGGCAATGGTCACTGGTAACACCTCGTACTCGCTGCTCCGACTTTTGAGGTATGAGATTAATAGATAAACCCGACTGTTTCCATGCTCTGTAGGTAGGGCATCTACCTCCTACAAGTACCTCGTACGCCGGTATGTTACTCGGTATGTTATCCCTTGCCAAGGCGAAGCAAAGGGAACATGAACTTTCCGGTTTCACATTCCCTGTGGTCTGTTCAGCGATCGGCTTCGTGGTTGTCTCATGTCAGGGGGGTTTCTCGACATATCTCACATACATTACATGCATTGCATGAATTACAAGCACCACAAGTAAAAGTACTAGTCCGAAGAGGTGTTTACTTGGTATCTACCTCCTACCTATCCAGTAGCTCGTGCAGGCACTGTATGACTTGTGAGACAGTGAGACAGTAAGACCGTATATGTGTGTGTGTGGTGTGTGTGTGTGTGTGTGCGGGAGACAGAGGGGGGGGGTGTGTGAGAGAGAGACAGTGTGTACCTTGTACTCGGCGGTCCACCTTCCCCTCCCGATGAACATACATATCATATCATGTCATGTCATGACACGGGACACTCTCTTTCACAAGTCTCTCCCAAAGCACGATCGATAAAGGCCTTTCACAGAAAAGTATCCGGGTAGGCATGTAGGTTATCTTTTATCTATTTGACATCCTCTACATTCCCTGTCGGGCTCACTGGCTTGGCCGTATTGTGAAGTCGTGGGAGCAATAAATACCAGCTTCGGGATCGCTGTCAGACCTCGACTCCCACTTCTGTTTAGTGCCCAGGCGCCTCGCTTTTGTATTGTCGTATCAATGTGATGACTATCACACGAAAGCCATTGGAGGTCCTCGGTCGAAGGGCCACCGAGCAGCGATGGTACGCATCCTATAACTACTCGATAGGGTTCGAGGCCTTGTAAAAGTCACTGTATTCCTCTATTGGAAGAGTCACAAACAACACCCAGAGGTGGCTCAGTCGCAGAATATCCAAGAACGACTTTGAATCCTGCTCTCCCTAGGGTGAGCACGACGGAAAAGGTATACTTGTTCTATAATCAAACTCCATGAAATGCCAACCTAGAATCCAGCCTTCTCCAATCTCACATAACACATTCGGGGATGGCGGGCCAGCTTGTTCGTGGCCGCCCAGCTGCTGACCTCAGCCGGGGTCTCCTTCAACTCAAAGTTCCAGATCATCATGACCAGGATGATCCGCATCTGGAGATATGCTAACCTGCGGCCAAAGCACGCCCGAGGACCCAGGCCGAAAGCAAGATGTGGTCCCGCCTGGGAGTCAAAGACCTCTTGACCAGCCTGCGAGTCGTGCACGAGCCAGCGCTCAGGTCGGAATGTCTTCATGTCTTCCTCGTCCTGTGTCCACTGGCCAACCTGGTTCTTGGCGGCTAAGCTGGAGGCACTGCGCTTTGAATCACTGACAGGCAGAGCAGGTGACAGGTACCCGGGCCCGTTCTGCATGAGAAACACATCTGTGCCCTTGGGGATGCTGTAGCCTAGCAGTGTGGTGTCCGTGGTAGTTGTACGAATCGATCCATTAAAGAGCTGTGCCGTCCGAGACATCTCCTCAATGGTGGCATCAAGGTACGGGACCTGAATCTTGATGATCTCTTCCATGGTTGGGTTACGTTGCTCTGCTGTCGCTGCAGCATACGCGGCCCGGAGACGGGAGCGGAGAGTGGTTTGCGCGGATTGAGCAAAGGAGAGGTATTTGACAGTCCATGTCAACGTTGTACTTGTCGTATCGTGACCACCAATGATGAACCCAAAAAGCTAACAGACATGTCAGTGTGCCATCTAGGCAGAGCTTGTAGATAAGTCACTCACCTCATCATAAATTGTGCGGGAATGGTACCTGGGTGGTCGACCATCTTTCTTTGCAGTCGCCCTCTCTCGCTGTAAGATGTCATCGAGAGCCGATCTCTTGGCTTGATGTCCGGAAGATAATCTGTTCAGAGACTCATCAACCATGTCGGAGAAGAGTTTCTCCTTGTAGGCTCTGGCTTTCCGCATATAAGGCAGTTGGCGTAAGATCCAATGGGCGAAGCGAGGGAAAGGCGCTTTGACGGATACCTCTAGAGACTCTGTAAGCGTTGCGATCGCTTCAAAAGTTGCCGGGCGATGGAACTGAGGGAATAAGATTGGGTCGGTGAGGGCCTGTGGAAGATCAAATTTCTCAGCTCCCAAAAGTTGCTGCAACTGCGCGAATGTGTTGCTCTCTTGGATTTGCAGTCCAAAGGTGGTCGCGAAGATGACATCTAGCGCCACATTGTATATGTCTTCACCAGCCTCAAAAGCATGCTCCTGTGCCACCTCCGTCTTGAAGTTCCAAAGTTTTACAAAGGTCTCCGTGTTGGCGTATATCTGTGGGCCACCAACACCATGGAGAAAGGCAGGTGTCATGAGATCTTTCAAGAGGTTTCGGTGAAGTTTGAACCGATTCTCTGTCGATTTCATACTGATATGCATATCTGGCACCAGCCCCATGAAGACATCAGCTGTGAAATCAGATCGGTCGAACTCTTTCGTCCGACGAAGGAGGATGTCAGAGCTCTCGCGGTGATCGGATACGATGACCCAAGGCCGGGCAAAGGGCCTCCCAAAAACTTGCACAATAGGCGATTGATGTTTGGTGATCTGTTCTGTGATCCACGGCCAGATTTCCTCAGTTTTGGCGATATACCTCATCATCTCTGGTATGTCGCCAAGGAGAGATCGGGTTGCCGACTCGTTGTATGGAATGCCAGGAATGGGCTTGGGAAGAAGCCTGCGATAGCCAGTGTAAAGCAGGACGATACAGATAGCGACGGGTATGAAAAAGGGAGCAGTCGCGGGCATTGTGTCAATGACACGGAGAGCTGATAGTCCTATCATGGCTGGGGGATGTGTTTGCCAAACGGACAGAGAAGAGGCAGTACGTGCTATCTGACCACGTCGAGCAGGACCGCCCGACTTTATGTCCTCTGTATATCCTGCGGACATTCCAGGGTGGACGCTCGTCCGTTAGCTCTTACCATAGGACATCACCACGACATGTCCGTAAAAGCAACATTCACCACTTGCGGGTATCGCGGCCGAGAATCAGGCTCTTTCTGTACACCCTTGGGCCGTCTGACATGGCAGTGTTGCCTGCGTGCAACCATGGTGATGAGTTCGTCCGACGAATCATGGGAGCTCGATGATAGGTAGCGGCGCTCTCGACCGAAAGCATGTCTTCGCCATCTTAATGCAATGTTCGACGTCGTAGGCTGTCAAGGCGAGCATATCGTGTCCAGATGCTGACACGAGCACTGGAAGGTGGGGTTTTCAGGGACTATAACAGGGATCATGGTAGCGGTACCTCGAAGGGTCTGATGCCACTGGCCCTGAGCCAGCAGAAAGAATGTCACCCCAACATAGATAGAACCTCGTCACTATTAGTACTCGGGACAAGAAAACCTCAACGGAATTATATCACGTGCTCAAAACCAACTGTAAAGAGGCGTGAAAAAAGGGGATGTTGCGTACTCGTATATGGGGATCGTCATCGTTGTCCATCTACCAAAGACAAAATAAAATGTGCCGCTGGAGGGGGCACCATAGGGGGCTTGGTTTGATTGGACAGGCGGGTGGCTCTTCACCCGTCAAGGCGTGTTGCCGGTTGAGGGCCCAGCCCATTGGATCTTCACGAGTGGCTTTCTCGCTAAGGATGCGAAACCTCATGGCTCCAAGGAGGTCTAAGCCTGGATGGGGAGGTCAAGATTGATTTTCCCGGGGTCGCACTCCAGTCATGGTGTCATTGGAACTGCGGCGGCAGCGGCATCTGCTGGGATCAAGAAAGCCACCAAACTGCGCTCTCAGACAAACCACTCTCGGTCCAGGCAACACTGTTTCTTCTGATCCATGGTCGTCACCACTGCTCTAGGAGGGTGCTTGTCTGGTCTCGCAACATGTCTTTCCGTTCGACACTGTACATATGGCCCTTGGGTCGCCAGCTTCTCTTCGTGTGAATATTGATTGCCTCCTCCATCCCTCCACGATTCCCGCTGAACTCAGTACGTGTCAGTGGCAATGCTAGGCACGGAATATCGACTGTGCTGAGAAGACAAGCGCAATCAAGACCGAATATCCTCTCTCCCGCCGGGTTCTTGTGGTCGCATCATGGCTCTCTTTGTGCGCCAGGTCGTTACCTTGACTCTCAAGAATCTCCTGCTTGCTTTTGTCCGGCGCTGGTTCTCGACCTCAATCCGAGCGTTTCTTTTGCCCTGCGTCTTTGTCGGCTTCCTGTGCGTCAACCCTACTTCCATGCTCTGGCAAACCCTTCTAACCTCTCAGATCTTATGCTCGCTTTCTGTTTATTCCTCCCAGCGTCTATGGCATTGGTGACCCCACGCCGATTCGAAGTCTGTCCGAAGCGCTGGATCTGGTCTCCGGTGGCAGAGATAAACTTGTTTTCGTGAACAACGGGTTTACAGATGGTCCCATTCAATCAGTCATTGAAAAAGTCGTGAATGATACTGGGTCATTTGGTGGTCGCGTCGAGATATTGTCACAAGAGGAGGAGCTCTTGACTGCGTGCCGGAACTCGATCAGAGGAACGTCGTCATGCATAGCCGGTGCTGTCTTTTTCTCCTCACCCTCTGAAGGAGAGGCTTCTCGGTGGAATTACACTATTCGTGCAGATGGCGGACTTCAGTCCAAAATCGTGACCGACTCCTCCAAGAACGATGTCGAGATCTACTTGCTTCCCCTGCAGCACGCCATCGACCGTGCCATTTCGGAGGTTGAAGCCGGCACTAATGGAGCGACAGTTCTGCCTGATGCAGCAGAAGAATATCCTTACACTTCCCAGACCAAAAAGGAGCGGCTGAGACGCATCCGAACCCGATATATGGGAGGCATCATCGACATCCTAGCTGTGGCTTTCTTTATCGGGGTAGTAGGTGTTACGTATCAGCTTACTGGAGTCATCGCCTCGGAGAGAGAGAATGGTATGGCCCAGCTTCTTGATTGCATGATGCCCAATTTGAAGAGATGGCAACCACAGATGGCACGAATTATCGCTAACCACCTGGCATTTGACCTGCTCTACGGGCCGGGTTGGATCATCATGGCAATCATTCTTTGTGCAGGGGTCTTCAGCAACACTTCAGCTGGCATTGTCATCATCTTCAATATTCTGGCCGGACTGTCGATGTCATCCTTTTCAATTCTGGGAGGTGCGTTCTTTAAGAAAGCCCAGCTGAGTGGAATCACTTCTGTCATCGTAAGTCTTCTACTTGCCATCATCGCGCAGGTCGCCAGCAAGGCCGGCACAGCATCTGTCGCCATACTTTCTCTTCTTTTTCCACCTATGAATTACGTATACTTCATCATTTTTATGGCTCGCTGGGAGAGACAGGACCTTGCCACGAATCTGGTGAGACGGGCGCCGAAGAACACATCCGCTTTACCCGGCATTGCTCTCTGGATCTTTTCGATAATTCAGATTGTTGTCTTCCCAATCCTTGGTGCTTATGTCGAACGTACGCTATATGGAACAGCGTCGCAAAGTCGAAAGACCACATATTTAGACGGCACTGCCTCTATTTCATTGTCTGGGTTCACCAAGGAGTATCCACCTTCGTGGTTGGCGAGAGTTCGCGCATTCTTCACGAGGAAACAACTTACCACTGTACTCGCCGTTGACAATCTAACCTTAGATGCCACAAGAGGCCACATAGTGGTGCTACTGGGCGCCAATGGAAGCGGGAAATCCACCACTTTGGACGCAATAGCTGGTCTCAGTTCCATCACCTCTGGTGACATAACCGTCAACTTTCCCGAGGCAAACACAGGCCTAGGGTTTTGTCCTCAGAAAAATGTGCTATGGGATGATCTGACCGTGGAGGAGCATGTTCGCATCTTCAACCGCATCAAGAGCCAGAAGCCCTCTTCGAAAGAAGAAAACCTGCAACTTCTGGCCTCATGCGACATCGTTCGAAAGATGAGTGCCCGTTCAAAGACGTTGTCAGGAGGTCAGAAGCGCAAGTTACAGCTGGCTATGATGTTTACTGGCGGCTCGCGAGTATGTTGCGTGGACGAGGTGTCCTCGGGTCTTGATCCATTATCACGGCGGAAAATCTGGGATATTCTGCTTGCTGAACGTGGGTCGAGGTCGATCGTTCTCACCACACATTTCCTCGACGAAGCTGAGCTCCTTGCTGATCATATCGCTATCCTGTCGAAGGGCATTCTGAAGGCCTCGGGGACTTCGGTGGAGTTGAAACACAAACTCGGCTCTGGATACCGAGTCCATATCTATCACACCCACGGGTCTCAGCAGCTTTCAGCGTACATGGATGTTAATCATGTGCGACGAGACGATCAAACAATTTATGCCCTGACAGACTCAGCAAAGACGGCAGATTTTCTACGTCGCATCGAAGGCGAGGGAGTCGTCGAGTACCAGGTCAATGGTCCCACCATTGAAGACGTCTTTCTGAAGGTGGCTGAGGAGGTGAGACGGTCGGAAGGACTGGCGGAAAAGGCGGGCACCGATCCCATCCTCCAGGAAGTCGGTAGTCACAGCAGTACTGAGATTGACCCCGACAATGCTTCCAAAACAATGATCAGAGATGAGTCTTCGGGAGAAACCCCTCAGCTTCTGGACGGACGTCGCATCAGCATGCCTCAGCAAGCTCTGGTACTTTTTTCCAAACGATGGGTCGTACTCCGCCGGAACACTCTTCCCTATCTTGCGGCATTACTGATTCCAATCATTGCTGCTGGACTCGTCACTCTCTTCCTCGACAATTTTGAAAAGACGACCTGCAACCCGGCGTCATTAGCTCTGGTGTCCGATATTGAGTCGTTATCATCGCAGATTGACTACGATCTTGTGGCAGGACCACGAGATCGTCTGGGGCAAAATGCAATCCAACTTTTCGCTTCCACACTCGCCGGCAGCACGGGTGTCGCAGGAATTGCCGCAAATACAACAAAGCTGCTAGATTCTATCCATCTCGTCGATACCCTCAATGAATTCAACAACTACATCGAGACCAGGTTTGCCAATGTGACCCCTGGAGGCTTTTTCCTGGGAGACAAAACTTCACCACCAACATTTGCCTGGCAGGGAAACGGAAATCTTGCATTTTCGGTCATTATACAGAATGCCATGGACACCTTGTTGACCAATATCTCCATTTCAAATCAATACCAAGCCTTTGACGTGCCTTGGGGTGCGGATGTTGGCAAAGCATTGCAATTGATCACATATTTTGGGCTCGCCATGGCAGTCTACCCGTCTTTCTTCGCCCTGTATCCAACAATTGAGCGGCTGCGCAACGTTCGAGGACTCCATTACAGCAACGGCGTCCGATCGGCACCTTTGTGGCTTGCATACACTTCGTTTGACTTCGTCATTGTCGTCCTTACCAGCTCGATCACTATTATCATCTTCCGGGCAGTGACCGATGTCTGGTATCACATTGAATACCTCTTTGTGGTGTTCTTTTTGTATGGCCTGGCTTCGACACTGTTGTCGTATGTCATATCCCTCTTCTCGAGGTCGCAACTCGCAGCCTTTGCATTCGCGAGTGGTGGTCAGGCCGTGATGTTCTTGCTTTACTTTATTGCTTACATGTCGGTCCTCACCTATTCGCCGATCGATAAGATAGACAGGAACGTCAATATCTGTCACTTCACAATCGCAGCCATCTCTCCCGTGGCCAACCTGACCCGCGCACTTTTTGTTACTCTTAACGTGTTTTCGATCACCTGCAGAGATCGAGAATTTGCTTCTTATGCTGGATCAATGACCACGTTTGGCGGACCCATCTTGTATTTGATTTTGCAATCATTCTTGCTCTTTGCGC